TGTTTGATCTAGCACATTGGACGAAATGGCTCGTCTTATCTGTGAATAGCACAGCGGAAGCCTCCGAGTCTCTTTTAAATTGGGACAAAGAAACAGCATTGCCACCATCTTTAAAGAAGCTGGCAGTTAGCGACATTCAGATAGCTCAGCCTACTGAGTCCGACAAAGTAATCGTGCTGACTGGGGCAAGTGGATTCCTGGGCCAGGCACTTCTAGCCTCCCTAGATTCAGATACACGAGTCAAAAATATTCATTGCATTGCGGTTCGTAAAGCAATTAGCCAAGAATCTATCCCACGTTTTGCCAAGGCCGTGATTCACCAAGGAGATTTGAATCTTCCGCGTCTCGGGCTTTCGGAGCATAGTGCGCAGGCAATATTTTCCTGCGCCACTGTGGTCATCCACAACGGTGCTGATGTCTCGTATCTGAAGGGGTACTCATCCCTTCGAATTGCAAACCTGCAGTCTACCAAAGAGCTTGCGGCTCTTTGTCTTCCGCGATTAATCCCTTTCCATTATGTTTCTACTGCAGGAGTGGCCATGTTTGCAACAGGCGCTCTCGGTCCCGACAATCAGTTTGCTACGGCTTCAGCTGCCTTTTATCCGCCACCTCTCAACCTCTCACTTTCCGAATCCGGCCACAATTACATAGCCATGACAGCTTCTAAATGGGCCAGTGAGCAATTTCTTGAGCGTATGGTGATGGAAAAATTCCCCGCGTGGCCTATTTGTATCCACCGACCTAGTTTGATCGAGCGAAAAGATGAATCTGGTGCTGGGCTCGACATTGTGAGCAATTTGCGTTATTATACACAACAGTTACATGCTGCACCAGTTATCAATATCGGTATTTCCGGTACGCGCTCGCTTGGGAAACTTAATCAGGTACCTCTGAGCACTGTAGTACGTGGGATCTTGCAAGCTGCACTTGATGAACCTAATATTGAGGGTTTTTCAAGTGCTAGTAAGACTCGTTTCTTACATCATCTGGGCGATGTGTCACTTCCTTTGGGTGATATACGATCATGGGTGGCTCAAGATGGGGATAGAGGTACGGCTGTAATGATTGAGGAGTTGCCTATTGATGAATGGACAAGGAAAGCTGGCGAGTGTGGCATGAATAAGATGGTTATTACACTGCTTGAGAGCTTAATTGGTGGAACTGATGTTGTATTTCCGGAATATGACTAGTGGTCCGCTCTTAATAAGCAAAGCCTAATCAATATTACATACCAACGGTAAATTATTCTCTTGCTCTTAAATCTCGAATGAACTATTCTTATAATAAGTCTTACAAGAGTTGAAGTCAATTTATTTTTGTGTCATTTGTTTGAATCTATAATCATAGAATAAAATCCGTATAGGAATCCATAATAGAAGAATGAAATCTATAATACGGAAATCGATTTTATAATATATTACTTATATTTGAAAATTGAAATTTAAATACTATGGAAATGACATAACTCTATAATAATTCATTTAATCGATAACGGTATAAGAGTGTTTTCCTGAATAATTAATAAAAAATTTCCCTATTAAATGTAGGAATGTTATTCCTATCGGGCTAAGTAGATCAAAGTACAGCGATCCGATATATGATTGTCATCTCCCTTGGTATACAGGACACAGACAGAATATCACTCAGAAATAACAATCACAGAAGGTCTATTATCAATACATGTTGACCTCCTGGGATTTTGTCAGCATATGCATGTATATTACATGATGCATATAAGGAGCAAACAAAACTCAACTTTTAATTCATTCTTTCCTTTTTGGTATACTGTTTGTTTGCTTTCAATATTTTGATTTCAAAGCACTTTAATTCCGAAGGCTGAATACCTAACCTTATTCCTTCATTTTTTGAATATATACTCGCAGCTTAACTGCTTAGCTAGAGAATCAATCAATTCAATCGGATGCTCTTTCTGGTCTCAATAAACCCAATAATACATGAAGCAGGGGATTTAACATTTCATCACCGCATGGTACACTCTGTCTCGGAACGGGGGATGGTTTCCGGGAGCCGAACTGAATACATCATCCTCCAAGGTTTATTTTCGCCTAAACGATGGTTATATGATACATATGGTATACTCTCCATTACCATGAGATTCCTCATAAATCTCATCGCCGATCAGCGCATCAACCTCCGAATCAAAACCCATGGCAAATTTACTGGTAATGCTGAATAAACAGCCTATCCTTACAAGTTTCTTTCTTGTCCCACCCGGCCTGAGGATAAGGGCACGCGCATCACGGAGATTTTCAAATACCAAGGGAAATAAAAATAACACTCCGCTTCTAATCTCCTTCAATTCCTCATCGGAATGTAGACGGTCAAAGGACATGCTAGAATTTAACCCAGATCCAGAGGAAGATCCAATCACTTCTACGAAGTGACCATTTCTATATTTAGTCCGGGTCGTTGTGTGATTTTTGGACGCAGTGAAAGAGTGCCGTCCGATCTTTAATTGACCACGAAGTCGAAGAAACCCCGAAGTTACAGGTCCGAACGGGTCTTCTCCAAGAATTTTTGTTTCAGCTTCGATTATGGTGAAACTGGGAGGTTGGATTCGATTCATATCCAGAACCATGTGACGTTGGTAATCTGCGTCGGTCCATTGGTACCACTTGATGGAGGCATCGGCATCTACGCCCATTGTCCAGTGAGCCGTAATTGACCTACCTGTAGATGAGGCCCACTATAACATTGGGGAGTCAGCAAGGGCCTGCCAGTAAAGACTTTGAAAAAAGGGAGGAAGCCTCAGATGTAAGATGTTGAAGATAAGGAAAGTTGTAGTACAAGGCCCGGAATGAGGAGGACAAAATCAAAGAACCAATTATTCTCACGCTCCAAGATGGTGCAACGTATTTGGAAGGGCACTCCCGATGATCGAGGTCAGATCCGAATCCATGCCGGGTTGCTGACCACCCCAACTGCCTCTCAAGCTCAAAGGACCACATACCAGCCAGATATAGCTTATTTGTCGTTGGTAAGTACTTCCGAAAGTTGCGAGACACACCAGCAATTGCTATTAGTATATCCTCTGGGTAAGAAAGAACAGTTTTGCCATACGTCTGCAAAAGTTGATGCCAAAAGCTTCGGAAATTGAAGTTTGAAACAAGAGACGGAGGGAAAATTAGATGATCATCGTGTATCTTTAGACCAGGTGCAATGACAGGAAATGTCTCCGATGCCATACTTTGCTGACATTTCCAGAATACTTCGCCCTTGAAAAACTGGAGTGTTCTTTTTGAGAGTATCCTCTCTTGTACAACCCAGCCACGTTGGTTTAACGGTGCTTCCTTAATAATCTGATGCCATTTGGTCCGATCCAACACCGTTATCATCACTGGACTTGGTAGTTGTGGGTAATTTGTTCTATCATGCCTTAGAAATAGAACCTCGTCCACTGTGGAGTTTCTTGGAGAGAAGAGACCTTCTGATCCATCAGAAGCCGAAGAGGCCGCAATGCAGCAAAATGCCTTTCCGTAAATATGAGCCATTTGTGGTGCCTCATTGAGCCAGTCGGCTTTTGAATCTTGCATAATGCATAAACTATCGACCCAAAGATATTGGACATTGAAATCTCGCAATAGTCTTTTCCCTATGTGAATAGCATCCTTAAACGTTTGAGTGAGTTGAGATACAGGTAACTGTTGTTGAAAAGCTTCAAAGTTCTTAGTTGTCAAAGTAAGAATCGGTGTTTTGCCCCAACAATGACTTAGTGTTGCGTACAAGCTATCTAATGGTAATTTGGACGATGAAATTAACCTTGGAGGGTCACATTTGAGGTCAATGAGGCGGGTGGGCAAACGGCCTGAAGAATCGTCCGACGCTGACTCTGAATTGCATAATTTGTGCTGATTCTGACATGTCACGATTGATGAGCAACAAAAATTTTTCCATCTTTCCTCGGAGAGCTTGACGATGCTAGTTGAGGACTGCGAGGTTTTATGAAAGTCGTGGTAGCCTGTGTTTGAGTATCAATAGATATTCTCAAGTTTTCCATACATAGGCTTCAATCTATTATTTATAAATTTGACAGAATAAAAGAGAAGCTCACCATTCACTACATCCAGAGCTAATACCAGATCGATTCCCACCTCTTGCTCTGAGTCCATCACACTTGTCTTGCAAGAAAGCTTGTAGTAGCCTGGGATAATATCTGTGGCACGTTCAACAAACATAGAGCTTATAATGTAACGCTGTGCAATCTCAGTCAAAGATATCATATCGATCTTATTGTTGTGAGAGAAGTATCGACCGTCCCCCCAATTTTGAAAGACACCCCACGCTACAGCGCAAAGACGGCAGCCTCCTTGAGCTCCGTTCAATATCACTAACATGGTAGGTATCTCCTCATCTGGTAAATCAGACGTAGGCATACATACCATTGGAACTCCAATGTGTGTGCTATAGAAAATGATACCATCGCACAGTTCACAAAGGCTTGTGATTTCATGGTCGCTTGAAGTTTTAGGAATTCGAAAACTCTCGTTTTCTAAGTTTTTGCTAGCCATAATATTAAGAGTCTCGCCGTACGGTGCATCCAATTGTTGTTAATTGCGATGAGGACTGATCATAAAGACAGAAGGTGAATGGTCTTGATAAGTAAATGATTCAATGAAAGATGTGGATGAAATCACCGGTGGATGAGAAGTAGAAGACGAGGCGTGTAATCAGCATTGTACCGCGTCCTCCACGTGATCATCCCTTGGTACCGCTGACCTCCCCATCCCTGGATACAATTGGAGATGAAAACCTTAGCAGCGATCTAAGTATAATATACAAAAGCGATGATCTCTCACATCACATTTATTAAGCTTCATTTGAGAGAACATATCAGTATCAATATCAATATTCTAAGAAAAAAGAATTCTTTTTATTATCTCATCAAAACAAACAAAATCAGTTTATTAATCTTTTTTAAATTTATAATCCATAAACAAATACAGAACCCGTGCTCTCCACTAATGACCAGGTATAGGCACTCATATCTGTATTTAACCTCTTTAAGATAGTTATTTTACACTATAAAGGTTTTATAAAATAATCACCTGGAAATACCAATAGATGTTATAATATCTAAAAATAGAAAATATATGATTGTTTTATATTTTTTTCATTTAAAATAAAAATAATACTACTTATATTAAATAATTAAAAATATTAGATATATAAGTTATATAATATCTCTCCTTCTTCCCCTTCTTCCTCTCCTTCTTCCTCTCCTTCTTCCTCTCCTTCTTCCTCTCCTTCTTCCTCTCCTTCTTCCTCTCCTTCTTCCTCTCCTTCTTCCTCTCCCTCTTCATCTCCTTCTTCCTCTCCTTCCGCTCCTTTCAATCACTTCCCTTTTAATTCGTCCCTTTCATTATTCTCTAGACTTTACATGCTATGAGTTCGTGGCCAGCACCACGTACAGTTGGGAATTTAACCTTTTACCGGCTCACTTCGGATACAGCCACCGAGAACAGCAATAAGATATAGGAGTTTGATGGTTCTGAATTGGCATAGAGAGGCTTCTTGCCATGTGAGACTCGACAATACAAGGGTCCATCAATGATAGCCCTGTCGAGTTGAATGACCTCAGGGCACCATCAAGTGTTGGTAAAGTTAACCTTAAGTGAAGAAAGGAATGGAAGGTTTCGTCTTGTTATTACATCTATGAAAAAACCGTACCCATTGACTGACTGCGGACCTTGGGCCTAGTAACAGTAAAATTGATCATGGGAGTAGTTTACCATAGATTAGACGGCGGTGGACTCCTCGCAAGGTTTAAAATATAGTTGAACCTCATCCTGCCATCTCAATGTACTCAGGCCATGCTCAATTAACTGAAATCAGACATTGTGCCTAGTAACAGTAAATTTGATCATGGAACAAGTCTGGTTGGAGCCAAGCTTGTACTGATACTTTTGATTCGTAAAGGAAAGCTAATCTCAAAAGAGTAGCTAGTCTCAAGAGTATAGCAAACTTCATGATGGACGAAGTCTGCTTAGGGTTAAGCCCGGATATCTTTTATTTTTAAAAGAAAGCTAGTCCCAAGAGAGTAGTTAGCCTCTTGAGAGTAAAAGAGTAAACCCACTTGATCAAGAAGAAATCTGGTTGGGTTCAACATTGTACTGATAATTTTGATTTGGAATCAAAGTACAAACTTCCATCAGAAAACTCAGCCGACCTGATTACCATGAATGGATTCAAGATCCAAGAAAAACTTCAGGTACCATATACCATGCTTCAGTTGTCAACAAAGACATTGTAGACCTGAATACTATGGGCAAATAGAAGTGAAAGTCCAACTTCTTGTAGGAATGAAATGAAGTTTGTTTTAGTTCCACAACTTGGCACGTAGAAGTACAGTTAAATTTCAGTTCTTTGATCTGAAAGATCGAAGTGCGACAGAATTTTTTTCTTGGATCCGAGAGGTGAAAACGTGACAGGTTTTCTTTTTTGAATAAGCGGTCTGGGAAATACCCACAAAAGAAAAATGGGTTTTCGTATTAATCTTACACAAGACATAATTTGGCGATTTAGTAATAAGAGGCTACCAGTACTTCAGTAGTTCATCAAGTGGCGCGCGCTTAAAGTGGTAGTACACCAGGTACTGCGACAAAAGAGTTAGATGCACTGGGTTATATTGAAGCAGGTCAAGATGCTCGAGAAGGATGTCTGGAAGGACGGAAAGTAGATTACCAATCTCTATTAGATACTAATAATTGGAACCACCGTTGCCAAAGAACGGAGCAGAGTTCGACGCCAATCCAAGACACAGAAAGCACAGTGAAAAATCTGTTGTTGATTTCTGATACAGGCAACAACGCTTTGAATCTAACCGCAGCTAACATACTTTATGTGATCGCACTGGGATAGTCAGTAGCCTTGATGACTAGGCCGTTTGTCATATGTATCTTCTTGGTAAGAAGCAAGCAATGCAGACATGTAGTCTTTATGCCGAGAACAGTAGCGAAGAAAGATGCAAATCTTTGCAATAATTGGAAAAAAGCACAAGAATGGAGTACCTTACATGTAAAAGAGTACGAAGTTTCTAATCTACCAGAGGAAGATGTGACACGGATGGTTGTGGAGGAAACAAGATCAAGGTTGGAGGAAATGAAGACTTGGAACAAAAAAAAGTTTCGTATTGAGTTAGAAGGGGTGTTTCTAGAAAGTAAACGTAGAAACATGCCTCTAGATTCAGAATATGAACATCATGAGAACTCAAATGCCTTGCATAGACCTTTGAATGATGACCAATACTCCAGTTAATGGAAGATAATGAAATGAGTGGAGTGAATGAAGATGGTGAATTAGACGGAGATGATCAAGTGCATGGAGAGGATGAAATGGATGAAGTGGATGAAGATGTTATGAAGAATAGTGAATGCTTGGAGCAGTTTAGAATGCGTGGTGAGCCCGTGGCAGATATTGCTATAGTAACAGCGCCCTGAATTAGCCGAGTACTCTTTCACACCAAAAATCAACTGTTTTACTTGCGTATAAACTAAGAGACTTTGAATATTATCCGAGTTCAAAACATTCACTGAAATAAGACTACCACCAATTTTGTTGAGAACTGAGATTATCATAATTTATTAAAATAGCTTAGCTTATCGTCGCTAGCTCGATCTGATTCTATTTTCTTTCGCACAACAACAATTCAGTTTCTTCAAAATTTACAACACAACACAACTCGCAACAAATCTTTACAATCCTTCTTTACATGGATTCTATACTGATTTGAGATCATTCACAAACTATTCTCCTTCAATTGAGCTTCTCTTCTGTCTCAAGCTATCGAAAAGATGAATTACGATCATGACGATGATGGCGAGCACATAAATTTTCGATGTTTAGCTGACCCACGTTTCTTGCAAGTTACAGGTGAATTGCCAACTGAAGACTTTCAAGGTATTCCTTATTGCACAACGCCGTTTGGAGCTTTGTTCAATGTCACACCACCATCACCAATTTATGATGACTTTGGCAACATCACGAATGCTCCTGTCCCACGTGTTCTTAAGCCTGAAGAGAAGCAAGCCAGTACCAAAGAAGACTATCAGCCTCAGGATCGTGTCGATCTTAGCGTTGGTTTTTTCTCACACAAAACCCAGAGAAATTAAGTTTATCTCAGAGTCATCATCCCTTACGAGCAATTGCCTGACACTGTTGATGAGCAGTATTGTGGTCCTGACGGTCTTACCATCAAGCTCAAGTTCTTCGCCAATAATTTTGAACTCACTCCAGCCAATATCGAAAGTGAGAATTCCGGCGAAGATGACCCAACTGATTCACATCTCATCAAGCTCTTTTGTGACCATGGAGGAGATGGCAATATTGATGAAATTCCCACCATTGTCAAATCCACTCCTTTTTTGATAAATTTGGCAAACATAGTGAAGCACCTCTCAAGTTCAGACTCCATCGATAGAACCTCCAAGCCAAGAATCTGAAAACAGCTCTCTCAGAAAACCTGATGAATAGCATTTCTTACCCAGGAGACCCTTCTGGTCCTCTTCGCATCACCACATTGCTAAAGGTCATCATAAGAGGTACCGACTTTGACTTACCTCTATACATCCTTGAGGACCGAATCCATTCTCTCGAATATTCTATTATTAAATTTTTGAAAGATATGAGAGAGGAGCTACACAATGGCAAACCTTTCCGTTAATACTTATCTCAAAACTTCACACTTAATACCAATACTCCCATTATCGATTCAAGTTCATTCATCAAACCAGTCGGTGTGAGACCTCTCATCTATATATAAAAACAAACCTTGTACACCACACTCGAAGAGATGATTACTCGCCTTACTGTTGGCACGAAGCAAATGCTGGAAGCTCGATGTCAACAGAGCAATTATTATGAGAGCGAGAGAGCGGAATCTCGAATTTTCAAATCTCTTAATCACTTCTTGCATTCGACCTATCCCAACTTCAACAGTATTGATTATCTCGCACCCGACAATTATAACTCTCTTTCTATGGAGGCTTGGTCTAGAGTCTTATTCATGCACGATAATCGTGTAATCTCTCATGTCGATATGCTGGGTCCATTAGTTACTGAAATCATGGCAAAGTTCATAGCACCCGATCAACTTTGTGTTATTGAATACCTCAAGAATGCTTTGACAAACATCCATGAGAAGACTGTAGCCATCATCGAAGCTTTTCCTGGTACAGGGAAGACAGAATTCCTTGTTTATGCTATCGTGACTATGTTGGCTTAGGAACCCAAGCATCCGATCGTATGTATCAGCGCTGAGAACCAACCTCCTGATGCCTTGGCCAGCGCTATAAGCCGAGCAATTGAGGACGTCTGCACCACGCAGCCTAAACACGCACAGGTTTTGACGTAACAGGTGATCATTCGTGTGTACCCCACATCTACAGAAACTAGGTACCTCGTCAAGCTGGCAGACAAGTTGACAAAGCTCGATCTTGAAGCTGATGCGAGTGTCATTCTCACCACGCCTTCGCAGGCTCAGAACACTAAATTCATGCGCAACTTCCGAAGAGTTCATGCTCTATTCATTGATGATGGTGTCTTGCTCACAATAATCGATCTTATTATGTTACTAGCCATTTTTGATATCGAGAAAATTGTCATTGTGGGAGACATTAAACAATTGACGCGATAAGGACTACCCTTTACATGGGGACAAGGACTCGCTCTTAAAACTACTCAAAATGTGATAGCCTATTTCGCGGCAAACCATTCACCAATCATCATCCTCGATACGCAATGTAGAGGTGTCAAGGGTATTATGGAAATATTTTCCAAATTGTTCTACTATGGTAAAATCAAGGACACAGATTTGCCCAATAGGAGATTCCCGATAAAGGATATTATCAAAGATGCACTCAAGAAAGTGTTCCCGATGCAGGATATCTCCAGATTATACTTACTCATTGAAACTATCAACATTGGAGAAGTCATGGATAAATCAACCAAGTCATGGATGAACCTGACTTCAGCGGCTATGAATGTGAACCTAATTGAATATTTCATTCTCAAATATAATACTCTTCCATAATCTATTGCTATCATTTCTCACTATGCAATACAACTAAAAGTTTATAAGCATACGATGGCAAAGTTGAAAATTGAATATCCGGAGTATGATTTTGCAAAAGTTTGCATTCAAACTACTGATTCAATCCAAGGAGGATCTGTAGATATTATTCTTAATGATCCTGTTCGTACCAAATCACCTGGTTTCACGAATGATTTTGGTCGCAACTCAATTATGTTCACCTGTGTTACATCATTCCAAATTGTTACTGCCAATAGTAAAGATATGCAATGTGTAGATTCTCACACTCCTATCATTATACAGGCATTCGACATAGCGAGACGTTCAAATTCATGCATTAGAATCACGAGAGGCATGGAAAAACACGAGAGGCTTCTCTCTCATCGATATGTACATACAAGAATGGTCGGAACTGGTGCCAACTTTGCGGCTGCGACCCAAGCTCCAACAGACTGTTGATTTTCATCAGCTGGAAGATGAAATATGAGGATGTTGATGGATGTGTGGGTCATACCACTATGGCTAACGACATCAACCAAGTAATTGAAGATATTTTTACTATGAAACCTTATTTTGTTCCACTTATACCTTTGCTGGTGATGATGAGACTGCTTCAGATGAGGACGATGCAGGCAAGAAGAAGAAGAAGAGAGTTACCAAGCGTCAGCGTCAAGATTTAGCGGTTGCTGCCATCAGATTTGAAGAGGCTAAGAAAACATTAACCCTCACCTACAACAATAACGTCTCCAGGAACAATGAAGCTCTCCCCATCATTTGAAGAAGATTATGTTGGCGACTTTTCCCTTCTATCTCTAAAAGATGCACTTTTGACTGATGGATTGTTCCATCTTGACGACCCTAAGTCGGGATTTTGGAGCGCTAACGAAAGAGAAAATGTTGAACCCTTGGTTCAATTTTCGGATGATGGTAACGAAAATTCCGAAGTTTTTAAATTCGTGGTTGATTTTACAGCTGATGGTAAGGAAACTCAAGAAACAAGCAATGGATGGGGTAACGACACTTAGATAGTCCAGCCACCTTGTCTCTATGTGAATAAAAGAAAGTCAATGCAACGAAATTGAATGCTTTTAATAAACTACATGATCTCACTTAGTGAATATGCTCAATGATCGATTATTTCTGAGATAGCTAGTCTGAGTACATAGGTAGCATGCTAGAATTTCCGAGCCAAATAAAATTAGTCCGATAATAGTGATCAAACATGAATATCAATATTGTTGAGATTGGGAATCGCGGTACTTTTTGAACCTTCTTCTAGACGGTCTTTGCCATGACAAACGTTGAAATGGAAACCAAAAGATAACCATACTTTGTTTGTTCTTCTATTCTAGGGCAACTAAAGGTACTTACCACTTGAGTTATCTCAATACTCTACCGCGGTATTTGATGACTATTTCTGATTGTTTAGAAGCGGTTACGATAATAAGTGAATATTTGAGGTGTTGATTGAAAACACATAGTTGCACACTTTGGATAAGTTTCATGTAGGTATTAAACGCTTTGTATTACGCATTCTCACTGCCAAGTGGCGTGAAGTGCTTGATTTAATTACAAAATGTTGTGTAAGCCAAGCAAACGGCTATGTAACTCTATCTAAAATATCTTGATATGATAGTTTCCTGTTTCTCCATCTTATACGCTGCTTTTTTTGCTCTTGCCGATTGATGATTTGGATCAGGTACAGGTAAATCAGCACCCTTCATATGATGTTTATGTCCAGGACAGCCATGACACGCAACGACTGGTACGATAGCCCCTTCTCTATCTCTCTCATCATCCATCACTCGGTTGCGACATTGCTTGCTTCTGTCGGAATCATCGGTGTTCATCCAGACAGAATGACAGGTACTGGCGAAGTATGGTTCGTGATATGGACATGATTTGTCGCATATGCAGAGTTTGGTTCCATCGCCGCCACATGATCTGTGGTACATGTATAACTCCTTACACATGCTGGGCTGGAGTTCTTTTTTTTGGGTTTTCTGGAGCCCCGTCAGCCTAACGATTATTATTCAACGGGGGAGAAATGATAACCCTACTTTTATAGCTGAGAGTAGATTATCAACAAAAAAAACTTTTGTCTGTTGGTCTTAAGATAGCTGCGATGCTTCCGACTTTTGTACAGTTCATAAACTGGAAATCAAGAGTTGTTCTGTTACTGTTTTCTGTAACTGGTTCAGCCTGGTGATACTTATGCATCGATGCTGAAATGATAAACCGTACTTTTGTCGCTGGTAGTAATCAATACAGCCAGAGTTACGGGCTACTGATTCAAGATATTATGGTTATTTTAAGAGTTTTTTACGGTTCACAGAAGCCGTAATGTTGTATAAACGAACGAGTGGTTGAAGCGAACGAGTGTTGCTATGTCTTTGACTTAGTTGTATACGATATCAAAATTAGGGTACAACACTTACAGTTTTCTAAGAACCATTGATTTCTATGTATCGACTCTTACTATTACACCTGAGGTACTGCATGCAAGAATTATAAATATGTTGATTGAAGGGGTAAGTTACTATGAAAGATGGGAAATCTGTATATATATATCGCTCCTCTTACTAAGCTAGTTTAGCTAGTATAGTATGAAATCCCAAGATACGAACTACATAGCACTATCCCAAACTAGAGCCTCATCTTTCCATCTCCTCCAATACCCCTCTTTCATTCAACGTCCGATAAACTGCCGATTGAATTTAAAACATATCTCATTATTTCCACTTTGAAATCATGGAAGTTAGCGTGCAAAAATATGGAGGAAATCTCGAGAAAAATCGGCAGAATATCGTACTTTTATTCTGAAATACCATAAAAATCAGAGGGAAGCAGTGCCTCTGCTTTTAATCATGGCTAAGGACCGCGGCCGTTCGAGATGTCGAGAAGGGGTATGATATCACCTTCATTAAGATCTTCCTTGGGTATTTTTGACTTTGCAATGAGATCGGAAACTTGCAAATGTAACGTGGTTGCTCAGCAGTAGCCGACTTTTAGTTTGCTGCTAATAGCCAAGTCTTGTAGTCTTTTGGACTAGACTAGAAGGCTAAGAGAACCTATGCAGTAGCTAACGATAACGAAGTGTCAGTTTACTTATTGATGACTAAAAATTGATGAAATGGTTTGATATCATGAGGGGAATTTTGAGAGGGAAATTTCTCAGTTAATTTCAAGTTTTTAAACGGGTTTCCAAAATTCGTACTCACTATTGAATTTCTATAATACTAGTTTGTTAATGCGATAGGATTCGCCAGACACTTCAAAATGAAAGCACGCCAGCTTGCGGGATTTCATTCTCACAATTGATGGCTATGAAATGACGGGTGCCATTATCATAATGAACAGCTTCAATCATCCCTTTAGTTTATTAAATAGCTTCCAGAAATGTGGAAAACGGGAGATTCTAGCTTATTCCAAGATTATTCAACTGAAGTCCCCAGATAGACTTTCGAGTTCTTACATGCAGATTCTATTTCCAACCTCCTGGGATGTTTACTTTCATTAACTCCATGCTTCAGAAAGATTTTAAGCTGTGATCATCAAGTTTTCCTTGAAGACACTAAGACTAAAAAGAATAAAGAACTGGTCTTACTAACGATTGAACCAAGGGCTTGGTGTTTTGCCGCTAGAATTGGTGGTCCGGAACTATTAATACTTATAGTTTTCTTTGTATTTGGACTGAAACAATGTCTTGTGTGAGGCCCGGGCAAGACCTTCTGATTTCTTTGAGCATGGAATCAACAGAAAAACAATAAGATTGTTTATTATATATGTCCTGTTCATCATGTTTAAAATTGTTCTGCCGGCTCTTTTGACACAATAACATTTTATACACACGCATAATTATCATCGAATCAATCAAAATGGCTAGTCCAAGAAACCCAGCAGATACCTCGCCTGAACCAGAATTCCGGCTCACTTTCGGTGTTGAAATAGAATTTATTTTAGCTACTGTGGATGAGGGTAAAGAGAACCCTAACCCACGAGACCCCCGTGAGGTAAATGAAAAAATACTCTCGGACAATGATTCCATCAATTACGATATTTGCAGAAAACTGAAGGAAGCTGGCATTCCAGCAACAGTGCAGGAAATAGATCATAAAGACTCAACTGACTCGCTTGACATAACAGCTACCAATTGGCTTTTGAAGACCGATGTCACAGTCGGCCTAAGCGACCCAGATGACAAGGACAAGCGTTATATCGAATTTAGCTTGGAAATGTCATCTCCACCATACTACTACGATGAAGCTTCACAAAAAGCCGTAGAAACGGTCTTGAAAGTTATCAGAAAAAATTATTTAGTTCGCGTCGACAAAACTACAGGATTGCATGTTCATGTTGGAAACTCATATCATGGTCTCCAATGGCGCGTACTACGCAATTTGATGGCCATTGCGTGGACTTACGAACGCCAGCTCTTATTGATATTGCCTGAGGAGCGCGTAGCTAACAGATACTGTCAGCCCCTCCGGGAATCAACTCTCGGTCTTCGACATCCTGAGCTCACGCGTCTTGAATTTCTTAATCGCATCTTGTCGTTTATTAACAACCGGCAAGTCATTTCGGAATTGATAGGCACTGAAGTTAAAACTCGTCTCGGCTTCAACATAAGGAATCTCAAGACACCATTTTCTGATCATGCTCCAGAACGCACTATTGAGTTTCGTCAGCATCCTGGATCATTCGAGCCGAAGGATATTCTACATTGGATACATATATGCGTAAAGATGGTCGAAAAAGCATGCTTTATCAAGGGCGAAGAGCTGTTCAACCGGCTACGAACCGATGTTGAAAAGCCAATCGGATTTGGAGAAGATGACGTTAGTACGATTGACTATCTGGTGTGGCTTGGCTGCCCAGCTCAAGCATACTACTACGGTGAGGGAATGATAGCTAACAAGGCGCAGATTGAGAAGAGAATTAAGGAGGAAGCGAAGAGAGATGCTATGGATTTGGAAATGTATCGTGAAGAAGGTCATGTTGATGTTCAAGGTCGTCTCAGCGTGGGAATGTCGGGAAAATGACTATGGCATCGCCCCGGGTAGTTGGGATTAGGCTTGAGTTTCTCAAGTGACCTCCAAGCTCCGGAAGGACCTTGTCGCCGCGCCCGAGGGATTCAAAAAGTTCATCATCGTGAAGTCCCTTATCCCCTCCTCTCTTTCATATATCCTGCTGGTCGACTTGTAAGCATGTAACTATGCTAGTAATATATTGAAGTATGGTATGAAATTCTTATCTGCTAACAACCCTCCTTTTTCCTTAAAATATCTCAATACAATATCATATCTCCAGAATCAGTTTGAAATGTGTGTCTTAAATGAAGTGGAGTAGGTTTTTGAGTGTGTGAATAAATATTGAATAAATTGGTTCAAAATAACAGATCTTTTTCAACATGTTGATGATTTTTCATATAATTAATGAAGATTTCCAGTGTAGTTCGGTAGTCCAGAACTATTGAGTACCCTTTGAACAGCTAATTTGTTTCGATCGTTAGGAATGTCAATTGCCTATATGCTTGGATATATACAATCCATCGTGATCTTTCACTTGACTGAGGTTGGCTTAAAGCTAATTTGATTGCGGCTATGGTGCTTCCAAAAACTAATTTAGCATTGCTCTAGCGGAATGATATATTAGGCATACCCTTTTATGGCTCATGATTTTCATGTGATCAGTTGAGGCTGTAGATGTGCTTACAGCTAGTCATGCATAACACATCACAATCACAATTTTTTGTAAATTGTACGATGTCCCATTCGCTGTCGTTTACGATGGGAATCTGAATAGTGGGGCGGAAACAAAGCTGGGGTAAGAAACTGGCCAATACAAGTATTTCCTCACCATGTGCGTGTGGGCCTAATGATGACTGCGCCTTTAGTTATCTTCCAGAACACTTGAACAACACCACTGGTGCACCTCATCAGCTTCATATATGTGGTGATCCCTTTTCCAATGACATTTGCTACATTTTCTCGATTTTTCTTTCATTTCACACCATATACTCAAGCATTATCATATAGTTAGATCAAGATGTCACTTGATTTAGGAATCGGTCAGGTCATAACCTTGACGCAGTTATCTTGGGACACTCTTCAAAACTCAATAAAGGCAGGCGATGCCTATTCACATCTTACCAAAGAATTAGGAAATCTATACACTGTATTGGAAAGCTTACAAGATCGTGCCGACTACCGAGCATCACTTTTAAATCAAGAGAACGATGGAGTGTTAGTACGACTACATGGTGTCCTCGACGAATGTTATGATATGCTCGAAGATGTCGATAGGTCTTTATCCAAGTATAATGGCTTGTCCGAGGATAGGAACAGAGTTAAGAGGCTGGGGCTGAAGATCATGTTTGGCAACACTACAATGAAAGATATGCCAGAAATCAGGCAAAGGGTAGCATCGTATGCATCAAGCATTCAACTGTATCTTAGTATGCTACTGGTGAACTCGCTAGGAAAGGTTGAAGAAAGTACGAGAAATCATATTCTGGAGACGAAAGGGCTCCGAAAGGAGTTCCGCTCGTTTGCGGATTCACAGAGGCAGAATAGAGTTAGGGAAGAATCGAACAGATTCAGAGATGATGTAACAGTGCTCACGACTCATCCTAATGATGACAAGGCTGTTTGGAGAGATTTTCGAAGGAAAGCAATCAAGAATGGCTACTCGAGTGCTTTTCTGGATGAACATATGCCAGATCTCCTCGAGTATATGGAGAAATATGGCCAGGAAGGTGCATCAGGTACTCCAAAACTCCAGAATGATAAAACCCAGGGACGACAGCGATTGGCCCTTCCTTCAACAGGCCAAATGCACAGGACCACGAGCACACCAAGATTCCCCAACTATGGCTACGATGCTGATTTAGAAAGCTGCGCGCCTCATCCCAGAAGACCCAAATCCTCCAGAGAGCTGAAAAATATGGCTGATGATGAGATGAAGTCTGCCACGCGCTTTGGTAATTCCCGTAGAAACGAATCACCACCAAAGGAAGCAAACTTTGGAGATGTCAATGACTGGCTTTTCGAGTGTCAACGAGCGACAGGACGTAACTCCTCAAATAAAACACCAGATAACTTCGCATACAAACCAAATACTTCCAAGACTTCGAAAGAGCAGGAAAGAACCTATATCTTGGCAAAAGAAAGGCACAGAGAACCCCCAATTCCTGAGTATGACGAGGATGACGAGGCTGAAGAGTACGACAAGGAAGAGTATCCTCGGACAGACTTACCCAAACGGAGGGAAACCAAGGGTGCTATACTCAGCACAAAAGAGAAACAAACAAATTCCCCACTACCCGAGTACGACGAGGCCGATGAGTACGATAAGCACCAATCTCACAAAACGGATAGATCCAAACGAAGGAGAGCCAACGCCAAGAAGCCCCACCTACCTCAGCGAGCAAGAGAAGTCACATATCCCACAACTCGAACTTCCGGCCGAGGAAATCATTCCGACTCTGTCCATGATCAAAACTACACTCTTCAGTCTGAAAGCCCACGTCTGAATAACAAGCGTAGTGATCCTCGCTTCACATTTGGTAACAGCACTCATAGCAGGCCCAGAAGTCAAAGATTGAGAGATGATCAGAGTATGTACTCTGAGAATTCAGATCAGTTTTCATTATCTGAAGAATCAAGTGATGAGACCTCGGTGTACGACTCAGAAGAAGAACAAGAGCATGTCAAAGCTTTAAAGCCGTTGAAATTCAATCAATTTTCACCACCTGAAGAATATGGTGATGTGATATCATTATACGACTCGGATGAGGAGCGCGAGCGTGCCAAAGCTTCGAGGCTCATGATGAAACAGCACACCAAATCTATATTTGGCATTTTTAAGCCTAGAAGAAACCCTCATAATTCCTACAACATTTGAACTCTGAGCTGGATTGCAGATATTGGATGTATTTATCGATTTGAGAGTTCTGAAAGTGATGGGGGTTGGGGTACAACTTGCATGAGTTATGTTATGATGAAATGACGTCTGATGAGTTATGGAAGCCTTCAAGGAATAAAGCATTGTAGTTAATTAGCACAAACGGATATGAATCTCTTAATACACATTAGGCGGTCCTTGATCATTTATCAGATACTCTGAGGAAGGTTTGTGGATGTATTTTCGCACCTTTACCAACGCCGTTTGTTCTGTGAGGCGCTTGTAGTATGCATATGCGTGTTTGTATAGATTAAGATATTTTAGGGTGTATATTATCTAAAACACCGCGGCGAAGTAGGCGAGACCCATGATAGAAATTGAGAACGATCGACATACGAAAAAGAACATCCTGTATAAGCTTGGCTGAACTACATGTTGAAACTTTGACTACACATCATGAAAACTGGCGAGTAGTTTTAAAGTTACTAAACTAAATTGTTGCGGCAAATAAATCTCAGGTAACTTGCAAAAAACCTCGTTGCATAACTAAGTTGCTGATATCAAGTAAACCACCAAACCTCCAGACAAACGCGAGACATTCTATTAATATGCTAATGATATACCAATTATGGATATGCAATGAAAAAATACGGATCGCTTGATCTTCTGGGAACGCGGGATGCGGAGCAAATTTTACAAGTAAAAGTGTGTAACTAGCCTATTCTCTTAACGTTAAGCACCCAGGACCAGAGCCTCAATGTCACTGACTAATGGCAGACAATGGAATGACTCATACCAATTAGAAGATTTCTCACATGAGAAACTGTTGGTAGGATAGGGGATAACAGCAGTACTCAAAACAGGTGAATAATATTGGATGGTAATTGATGTTGTGTTACTACATACTACAATAGAAGGTAGAGGTTATGTAAGAATGCTGAATAATATCATATGATCATGTTCCGATAGAACCCCAAGTGATGGTAGTAGGTGAGTAGATGGGTTTGCCCTGGTAACTCACTGGGGCTCTCCAGACTTGATAGAGGTAGCCTGTTAATCTTATAGCAACCACCTATAGGTCGATAGCGGACTATAAGTAGTGATATGCCATAAAAGGTGTATGTCAGTAACATAGGTACAAAGTCCTACCACATCGAGTTTGATATTTGCAGCGCTGGATAAAGGGTAGGGTATACCCAGGGTAACCTAGGATACCTATTGAAGCTTTGTAGGGCAGGGTAACCATCTTATAAAATGCTTCGAGTGCTGTGGTACCCGCGGGCATATATCGCGTGAGGTTATACATAATATTCATGTCATATCACATTATATAATACATATATCATGTGACATCCATATCATATGATGCCTTATCACATAATACAGTATGAGACTATGTGACATCACATGATAACATATCATAGGTACAATCATATCTAGAAACCTATAATACCTCTGGATGATAATGTTGGACGATCATATGATATTTAACCTGTGGTACCCTGGCATCCGCCGGTATTTCTGGGTAACCACCTTATAGAGGTCAAATGGTACGGGTGCCCAGCCCTGGATATTTGATATTTGATATGTCAATCATGAGTGAGAGTGCGAACTCATGGTGCGAAGCGGACTTAATGTAGGATGATCAAATAAACGTATTGTTCTAGCAGGGTTCAAGGACTTGTTTGGTATGAAATTCTGCGGGATGGGTATGGTGGGTTTTTGTGGTTTTTTATTTTAATTGGTTTTAAGAAAGACATATTTGCGAACACTACAAGATGCTAGGAAAGAATATATATATGTGTATCCTAGGTATTTCTCTTTATTATGGTTGCTGCCTACATTTCTTTGAATTTATAATTCATATAGGGAGATGTGGATAGCCTCCGTGTCTGTCACGACGGTATTGATGCAGAGCCTCAGGAGTATTGTGTATAGTCTGGTTTGGTATCCGGAGATGAAGTTGATATATCAAAAGAGAGGGGATGGAATGTGAGGGTATATAACATATATGATTGGTTTTCTTGATAAAATATGGTTGGTGAGGTAAATAGCTAATCTTCTCCTAACTATGTATCTAGAATACAAGAGCGACGTGGGCTAAGAAGAGGAAGGAGAGTGACTGAAGGAGAAATAGCTCTCGGCTGAACATGCTAACGGATTCTGAAATTGTCAAGCAATAAATGAGGATTGAATCTTCAATTGGTACAGATACAACTTATCTGATATCACTGCACTGAAACAATAAGCAAATATACTTCACCAAGCTACCAACACCAAGCTAAGTAACTAATGGGGCCATGCTATTTTCATATTCGACGTGCCTTTCATGTGTGAGAATCTTTATATTGATAAATAGAAAAGCGAAACGAAAGAATAAGGCACAAAATATGGATACTACCTTAGTGTACTTGATGTGCGACATTCATATGATGAATAATTTATCATAAGGATTTTGAAGTGAGGGGTCGCAAAAAATGGTGGCTATGTACGTACTTACTGTACATTTGTGGTTCAGCCATCATGAACCCTTGTTATTAGGTTTTACCCATGAAACTCGTGGATATGGTGGCGAAAGTAATCATGAACTGATGAAAGCCGTGGAAGATATCGTAGGATGCTTACTATGGGGTACTTATTCATGAATAGTGTTGATTAATGATGAATGATGATGTATAAGGAATTAGCGAGATTGGTACAGTAGAAGTCCATCACGACGGTAAATTAATGTAAGATCTTGTAATGTTTGGTATTTTGATGGCTCGCGAGTGTCGGTCCATCGAGCGAGCAGCTTGCGGCTTGCGGCTTGCCCCATCTATTGTCCCTGGGAGCATCTACACGGAGGATTCTACCAAAGAAAGAGATTTGCTTCGCTTGAAGACGTATTCGGAAACGGAACTCCTGACTTCAGCCTTTTCATAAAAAAAAGTTCCGGAGTTTTGTACGTTCACCATTGTTCTTGTGTAGTAGTGTTGAGGCTGGGGGTTGCTGTGAATGTAGAAGCAACCATGGACTTTTAGCCTATGAAAAATATAAGATAAATCCGAGTAACGAATAACTAAACAGTCATTTTGATCATTATAAGGACTCAAAAAGTGTTTTATTTATCCATCGTTGTAAAGTTTTCGGTACGGAGGTCCGATATTCGCGGCCCCTTGCATTACTCAAAAACTCATTAAGATCATGATTGGGTGAAACAGTTGTTCATAGTGTCGGATACTTACTAGGTACTAGGTAGGTAGCAATCAATCACATTGTCTAGGGGATGCAGCGAGCCGCGTACTCGAGGACCCAGGCTAAATAACCAATTTTGGTAAGAACCAAAAGTCTGAGCTTTTGATTTTTACTTGGCTTACCTAATAGTCACAATGTGATTGTTTAGAACTTGAGACCACCGGCGGGCTGGATGCCGAAAAGTACTCGAGTTCTTGAAAAAGGGGTAATTGTACAGGGGTTGTAGAAGGTGATCAGTCGATCATTGGTTAATTTATCTGTAACCCTTCGTCAGCTGTTATCAGCCCTACTAGGAGTCATTGATAAGAAGCAAGAGGTATCTCAAGTCTTCTCTTTTCAAAGTTTACTCCGTCCACTTTGAAAGTTAAACAGATCCACGCAAGCAATAACCAACATGGCACCACGATCAAGCAACTGCTTCTGTCATTTCTTCACGTCAAGTTACTCAAATCAGAGTGTTGTTGATGGTGGTGATTACGAATTCAGATTCAATGAAGAAGAAGAAGAGAAGTTACAATATGAACCTGGTAAGTGACATATCATGTCGTATACATACATCCTGGAGCTGTACAAGATAAGATCTCGGAAAGTGTTCCTGTACTAGTTACCACCTGTGTTTCTTTTCATCCTGTAATTAGTAATTACTACTCTTATCGTTCATCCGGACCTTTGCCCAACAACAGATAGAACTACTCAGCCGGACATTCTCCAACCGCGGCTCCCACCATCACGTACAGCCCCCACAGACACCACAGCCAAAGATCAGACGCCTCTAACCGCGACTCGATAAGCAAAAAACTTTTTTCCTGTTTGATAACAGGGGACGGCTGCGGATACCCGAAACCCAATCAGCGGCCGAGTTCCTACAATTACCCCTGGATGGACAAACAACCGCGGGTAGATCAACTACATCGAAGGATTTCATAGGACGTCGCTATGTTTCAACTTTCCATACCCATGTTATTGTTTCAACGATCAAAACAATTTTAGAAGCATCCCTGCCGTTAATCCTGCAGGTGCTACATAGGAGTGCAGAGTAGTACCCGTACAAAAATAAGTGAAATAGGATGCGATGCCAGCTGGGTCGAGAAGAAGAGTTCCTCAACTTCTACGTCTACTTTGTTCAATTTCCCTAGTTGTAGCCTGGTGCTCTACTATATGTAGACTTCCATCTGTCACTCCTTTCAACCTTATTTTTTCTGCATTCAGGATCACCACACTCCTTATTTTCGTTTGTTTTTTTTAGTTGAACTGGTTTCCTTGTCAATTTGATTCTGTCATCATGCGATTTTCACTCCTTCTTTTGGCATCAACGCTGACTGCCTCTGTTGTTTCAGCTCAGAAGTATGTATTTGCGCACGTTGTTATGGGCAACACTGCCCACCATACCACTGACGATTGGGAAAACGATATAAAAACTGCTCAAGCTGCAGGCATTGACGCTTTTGCACTCAATGTTGCCACTGGCGATACCAACACTCCAACACAGGTCGAATATGCTTTCGAAGCTGCCACGACACTCGGTAGCAGCTTCAAATTATTCTTTTCGTTCGATTATCTTGGTGGAAGTGGTGCTTGGCCAGCTACTGGTGACTCCTCAGTCGCATCATATCTCAATCAATATGGAGTAAGCCCTGCGTACTTTAAGTTCAATGGACAAGTCTTTGCATCCACTTTTGAGGGGGTAGATAATGCTGGAGACTGGACTCCTGGGGGACCTATCCGAAGCGCTGTTCAAGGTACCGCAGGCTCCATCTATTTCGTTCCGGATTATTCGAGTTTGGGTTCTGCTGGGTTCGCTGCCCAACTCAACAATGTTCAAGGTGCTTTTAGCTGGGATATGTGGCCTTCTGGACCAGTAAATATGACGATTGATAATGACCTTGCTTGGCAAGAGACTTTGGGAAGCAAGGCTTACATGATGGGTGTCTCACCTTGGTTCTTTCACAGCGACGCGAACCCAATTGCATGGACCTGGAGAGGCGACGACCTTTGGGCTGAACGCTGGCAGCAAGTCCTTGAAGTTCAACCTCAATTTGTCGAGTACGTATCTCCAATAACCTTATTCCCTCCTACTTTTAACTGCTTATCCAAACATGAAAACTAACTTCACCTCGCAGGATTGTCACTTGGAACGACTGGGGCGAATCATCATACATCGGGCCTTTGGTTTCCACGGACGAAGTCCCTGCAAACTCTCTCAAATACGTTGAAAACATGCCTCACACGGATTTCCTCAACCTTCTACCCTACTATATCAATCAATATAAGGGAATCAAGACGAACTCCACCGCCGATTCCATGCAATACTGGTACCGCACTTCTCCTGCCGCGAGCGGTCTCGTTGGCGGGGTCCTTGGCAATAATCCCACTCAAGGTCAAATAGAATACAGCCCCAACACTATCTGTGAAGACAAAGTATTCTTCACAGCATTATTGCAATCAGCTGCCGATGTACACGTGCAGATTGGTAGCTCCCCAGTGATGAGTTATACTGGGTCGGCTGGTTTAAACCATTGGCATCAACCATTCAATGGACAAACTGGAAATGTGACATTTTCCATCGTGCGAAATGGGCAAATGGTAAAGAGTGAGGTTGGGACTGAGATTACGGCCACAAGTACCCTGGAGGGCGGGCTCTCGAACTATAATACATGGGTTGGAGGGTTTTAGGTGGAATTCGATTGAGATGGATGGAACAGCGGGGCAAAGGAGCATGGTGTTGACGAGTGATGATTATTTTGACGTGGAGTTCGATTTCAATTCTCTTCTTTATGTTTTGGACAATCTTGATGTCGAGAGGGTCTTATCATACCAGGTGAAGGTTTATTTTCACCTCACTTCAAGATGGCGTATAAGAGAAGCGGAAAATTATGAGTCCGCACCGTCGCTTAGAGCCCTCGCCTGGCAATTCCCTCGATATCAGTATTGTGCAACTGGATGCCTATCAGTGTATGTACCTACCATCCGATCAATACACTCCAACGACATTTACCAGATCAGGAAAATATGGGACAAAGCTAGACAGTTTGATCTCATGGCAGGGCCTGACTTTTCTTTCACTCTTTTTTACACCTTGTGTCTATCAACGATAGACACTGAGGCTGAGCCTCTTTTCTTCTTCTTTCATATACCAATATTTAGATACCAACATCATGTATATATACGCTTTCGGAGCATGGATTACGGGCTATAGACTATGAGCTATGTTGTATTTTAAATATGTTTCTATCACTTTGTATATTAGATCATTTGGAAAGATACCCATTAGGCATGTAAGATTACCTATTGCTTAGTGATGGAAAGGAACCGACGTTTAGAAAAAATATGCACTTGGTTTTTTTTGGTTATATGCATATGTCTTATTGCATCTTGTTTTGGAAAGAACTCGTGTGTTAATTAGTTGATTTGATCGGTACGCGGGTATACGGTTGCACTAACACGGAGCGTGTCTTAGGGCACCTTTCGCACTTGATGGCTTGGAGATATTACATGCAGCTCTGTGAGGTTGGGTCGAATCGTTCGCCTCATAAATTATGAAATAGATGAGATCTTATATGTGATATATCCAATAACCGAATTAGACCTCCCATATCTCCACCACCAGGAAAAGGTATGCATGATAATATGTGCTTTGGGCAGGACATCGATTCCAGTTGCAGATCTCTGAATGGATTGGATGTTTAATCTGAACATCTTTCTCGGACGACCTCTTGTTTTCACTTGAAAATTCTCACGATCATCTGTGGCTCTTGAGACGACTTGAGGTCTTGCTCTTCGAATTCATGAGGTTATTGGTGATGGAGATTTCTAGGATGTTTAATAGTTGTAGATGATGTAACTTTAATTCCTATATTTGGAAGGTCGTATCTTGTAGAGCAACTGCTTTATCAGACTTATTCCCAAAAGCCGGCGTCGCAAAGCCCTGTGTATAGGTAAGTGATTTGGAGTTATGTAGGCATGTTTTGATGATGATATCAATTGGTGCTTGAACGCCGTAGCTAGAAGCAGAAAATCGTGGCTGGTGACCCCTAGTTTAGCTTAAGCCACACCACCACAGGAGCACCAGCCACAGGAAGTTGGCGATAAGCGATAAAAAAAGTTATGTCAAAAAAAAGTTCTGGCAGTGAAATCATGGTTACAGTGAGGTTTTGATTTTCACTGTATCTCATCAAAATGCCGCCATCACAACTTAAGAGGCTAAAAGCCTCACTTCGAGAGCAAGGAATTGTCGGTCCCCAGCAATCGAAGAAACAAAAGAAACAGAATGCACAGAATGGCGCAAACAAGGAGAAGAAGATCAAGAGGAGCGTCGCGCTCAGTGGGATTCGTGATCAGTTCAACCCATTCGAGATCAGGCAAGCCAAAGCACCCAAATTTGAAGTTACGAGCAATAAAACACTTAGCGGGAGGATCTCGAAAGGTATCAAGAAACCGGGTGTTGCGAGGGGTCTTGCTGAAGAGAATGTAAGTTTGTCTGGCATCAAGTGGGACGACTGCTAATATTTTATCAGCGCCGTAAAACTCTGCTTGTTGAGATGCAGAGCAGGAATCGAGTGGGAGGTATAATAGATAAGCGTTTCGGAGAAAACGACCCTTCAATGGCTCCTGAAGATAAAATGCTCGAACGTTTCACACAGGAGAAGCAGAGAGGCCACAAGAATAGCTCGGCGTTTGATCTTGAGGACGACGAAGTATCTGGTGAACTTACACACATGGGGCAATCACTTTCTCTGGATGGTCCTACAATTCGGGATGATTTTGATGATGAGGGCTTAGAACTGTCGGATGCTGACGACCACGAGTCGGACGAGGAGCGACAAGCACGAAAACGCCGCCGAGGCTCAAATTCTGAAGGTTCAGACGAGGATGAGGAAGGAAATTCTTTGCCCGAACGAAAGAAGTCGAAGCAAGAGGTTATGAAAGAACTTATCGCTAAATCTAAAATGCACAAATATGAGCGTCAAGCAGCCAAGGAGGACGACGAGGATCTGCGAGAAGAATTAGACAAGGAAATGTCGGGCATTCATGAACTTCTTCGCGGCATGGCTGCTAAACCACCACCTCCACCGCCTGCACCACCCGCGGATATTCCTGGCATGAATCCGGAGCGGATAGCATTGATGAACGGGGGCGATCGAGCAAAGTTGGAAAAGGAATACGATATTCGAATGAGGCAAATGGCGCAAGACAAGCGATCCCAACCTACAGAAAGATCGAAAACAGAGGATGAGAAGATGGAGCAGGAATCAAGAAGATTGAAAGAATTGGAGGCGAAGAGATTACGTCGTATGGAAGGTGTGACCGAAGATAGTGACGACGAAGAAGATAATAAACCACGAAGAGTTGGCGATGAGGAGGAGGAGGAAGAAGAGGAAGAGGAAGATTACGGATTAGGTTCTGGTATCAAAACCAGACCTAGTGCTGCAGAATTAGGTGCCGACGATGAGGATGATTTCATCATAGATGATGATCTCGTAGCGAGTGGCTCAGACATCGATGAGTCGGAGGGCGAATCTGATGAAGAGGATGGTGAATCTGATAATGAAGACGACGAGTTTCTCGAAGGCCTGCTTACCGAAGAGGAGGCAAAGAGACCGGAGTTCTTGACCGGTGCAAATGCTCCTCTTCCTGAGGTTGAGATGCCTACCAAAAATGGTGTTAATGGTGACCTTGCTTATACCTTTGCATGCCCACAATCACACGAAGAGCTTCTTGAGATTACCAGAGGTATCGCTTTACTAGACCTACCAACCGTTGTACAGCGTATCAGAGCTTTGCATCATCCTAAACTCAACTCAGAAAACAAGGGAAAGCTAGGAAACTTTTCTGTTTCCCTCATTTCCCATATCTCTTACCTCGCCAACCAAGCTCAGCAACCCCCTTTCTCCGTACTAGAGAACATTATCCGACACATTCATTCGCTCGCCAAAACGTTCTCTCTTGAGATTGCTAATGCTTTTAGACGACATCTCGACGAAATCAATCAATCACGAGCCCTATCTCTTAAAGCCGGCGATCTCGTGATTCTGACGGCCATCGGAACGATATTCCCTACGTCAGATCATTTCCATCAAGTAGTTACCCCTGCGATCCTTACTATGGGACGATATCTTGGCCAAAAGATTCCTCAGACTTTGTCTGATTACACAATGGGAGCATATCTCTGCAGTTTATGCTTACAATATCAAAGGTTATCGAAGAGATACGTCCCAGAAGTGGTAGGCTTTATTGAGAATACTTTATGTGCTCTTGCGCCTAGCAAGCTGGCAAAAATTCCAGGTTGTTTTCCATATCATGAGCCAAAGAGCTCAGTTAGGATCGAGAAGGTCACGGAATCGGACCGGCAGATCGCCTTTTACGACTGTGTTGCACTAGAATCATCAGCAGATGATGAAGAGTCGTCAAAGGCCGCTTTGCTAGAGGCAACCATCAAAATCTTAAACGCAAGTGCCGATTTGTGGACAGACAAATCAGCCTTTACCGAAGTCTTTGAACCAGTCTTGACCATCCTAAAACACCTGGGAAGCAAATCTTGCAGGTCAAAGCTCTCAGAAAGTAGTCAAGTAAGCCACCCAGAAACCAACACTTCACACAAGTGCTAACAAACCCCTAGACCCTCATCCGCAAATCCAGATCAAAATTCCAAACCATGCTACAGCTAGCGCATCTCGCTCGTCGCCCTCTCGAATTACATCACCACAAACCCCTCGCCATCAAAACCTCCATCCCCAAATTCGAAGACTCCTATAATCCAGATAAACACTACGATCCTGATCGTGAACGTGCCGAGACGGCTAAGTTGAAGGCAGAGCATAAGAAGGAGAGGAAGGGCGCCATGCGCGAATTACGCAAGGATAGCAATTTCATCGCGAGAGAGAGTTTGAGACAGAAGAAGGAGAAGGATGCTGCGCATGAGAAGAAGATGAAGAGACTTATTGCTGAGATTCAGGGTGAGGAAGGAAAAGAGGCGAAGGCTTATGAGCGGGAGAAGGAATGGAGGAAGAAGGGGAAGAGATAGATAGATCCTTGTTCAAAAGGTCTGATCTAGGTGCTGCTGTGTGTCATATGCAGAAGCGTAAGCACGTAATTTTTGCACTAGTGGTGGTGGCGGTGGTGTGGTGTGGTGTACATTTAGGATTTATAAATTAATCAGAAAGCCACGCATAAATGATAAGAGATGCCGAAATTTGAAGGTTGAGAGAATGAGATTTATTCTTTACATGCTTTCCTTTTTATAAGATCATGTCTTGCTACTCAATATATTCATACTCGGGTCATCGTCATCGTCATCGTCCCAGTACATACTTTCGAAAATCAATTTTGTTCTAATCGCCTCCATACATGCATTATCCTACCCTACTCAGGATTCTAGATCACACTCAATTTCTCAATCTCTCTTCTCAACTCTTCATTTTCCTTGGTGATACCACTGTATTTATTAATCCAGTCGAACACCTCCTTATGCCAGACTCTAGAATTCTCAGGCTTCAACACCCACTATGACACAGCAGCATTAGCGTCCGGCATTCACTGCAATAACCGCATATACATTTCAGGAGAGTAAAGACAACTCACATGATTCTCATCTGGGAAGGTCAAAAATCTACTTTCCACTCCACGTGTCTGCAACACGTTGAAGGGGGCGAGACCCTCTGAGATGGGTAGTCTGTAATCTAAATCATTATGGATAATTAGATGGGGTGTTTGCCAGTTTGCAGTGTGGCTGGCTGGATTCCATTTCTGGTATCCCTCAGGGTTGTCCCAGAGGGTACCTTCGAAATCATGATGAGGGAAGAATAACTCTTCGGATGCGTATTGGTTCAGGGTTGAGAAGACACCATCGTGGGTTACGAGAGCCTTGAATTTACGGCCCAAATCGTGGCCTTGAATCCAGTTTACCATGAATCCACCATAGCTAGCTCCACATGCTACAGCACGGTTGGTATCGACGTAAGATCTAGATGGATTAATATTGCTCAGATATGGGGAGCGGGTGGCATGTTCCAGGAGCTTACAGGTTCTTCTCAATGTACTCGAACCCTTTCACAAGGTCAATATATGGTCGTCCTCCCCACTGGCCTTTGATACCATCTTGCAAGGCCATACCATAACCACTGCTTCCAGTGGGGTTTGGAGTGACCACAACATAGCCTTGTTCGGCAAAGACCGCTGGGTTCCATCGCGTGCTCCATCCCTCATTCCACGCACCTTGTGGCTAAGTATAATTAGTAACATAAATATTCGTTGTTAAATGTTAAATTACTTACTCCACCATGAATGAGGTACGCAAGAGGATACTTCTTGTTTTCATCGAAGTTTGATGGTCGAACTACCCACGCGTGGACTTTATAATCTTCGGCTCCTGTGAACCAAAATTCATCGACTTGCTTCTGTGAAAGCCCGAAAGCTTTTCCCTCATCAGAACTAGATGAAACGGTAATTTTTTTGGAGGGTTCAGCAGGGTTAATAATCGAATAGACGCTGTTATCAATCAAGGAATTCCCACTGAGGAATAATTCACCACTTGGAAGAACGTGCTTGTCCGTAACTGTTCCGTTACTGGTTAGAGCTTCGGGTAATTTTGTAGCGAGGCGCGGAGAAGCTGGTAGCTTGAATAGTTTCACTCGACCGTTCTCTTCCGCTGTTACGTATATTTCTTTCCCGTCTCGACTGAAAGTAACATTCTCGGGTTTCAGGTCCCATCCACCTTTTCCGTCCTCCGTTTCGAAGAATTCTTGGACATTTGTGAGGTCAGTAATATCAGGTATCAACAAAAGTCTTGTCTTGTCACTCTCGTATTGAATGCCTGAATTTTGTTAGAACTTTTTCTGTCTAAAACAGTAAAATTTCGTGTTGCGTACTTTTCATTCTTGTGAAAATCACCGACTTTGCATCTGGGGACCACATTGGCCCTAGACTGTAGCCTTTTAGATTGCCAGTCTCGACCAACTGGGGAGTAGGAGCTTCAGACTCTGTGAATGTCTTTAGGGGAATGTAGTATAGATCTGTTTTCGTGTAGTTGGCTGGGTCAATCTTGGGATCTTTGGCAACAAAAACTATGCCGTTTTTGCTGATATCAAAATCCCCTGTTCCTCCAAATGGTGGCACTGGAGACTCGAGAGATATTTTATGGCCCGCTAAAGCGTTCACCAGTTCAGAAAAATGAACATTACCGGAATCCCTGCCTTTTGTGATCGTTGCATACCAGATGGCGTTCTTGTTTTCCGTAACCCATGAATCCCATTCTCTCACAAATAGCTTTGAGTATGTTTTAGCCGTTGATAGAGGCTTCTTGGCTGTCTCAGCATTATATAACTTTCCAGATGGAGTCGCCAAGCCTAAAATAATGAAAATTAGTTATACCAGAAGCAAGATTATGTTTTGAAAGCCGATATATCGTCCAAAGATTTGACTAAAACTGTAGAACATTCATATTGGTCTATTGTGTCACATGGAGTTCGATCTCCGGTTGAAATGGTAATCCAAAGAGAGAGAGAGGAACAAGTGTATAACAATTAATACATACCAGTAACAGCTATGGCCACAACATCCGGAGCAAGAACTGTAAGCTTTATGTTAGAGATAGCACCGTCGAAGGTCGTGACAATCTTTGGCCTACAAGCTGTCAACAAAAGTTTCTTCGTGGAGGGATCAAGTCATATCTACTTCTTGTCCGGATTGTCTGCATCAGCAAGCACCAGATGTGTAGCTCCTTCCTCTCCAGACCTCAACCATAGCACCTCATTCTTCCATCCTAACCAAACTGGCTCACTGTCACTCGTATCATGGCTCAGAGTTGAACTTTCACCAGTGGCAATATCTAAGACATTGATTCTGGAGCTCTTGGAGTGAAATTGAAAAGAGTAGGTCGATACGGTATATAACGCCAATTTACCATCTGCGTTTGGAGTTGCTGGTGATCTCCGAGGTGCAGAAATCAACACCTCGGGGGTGAATATGGAAGAACTAACACGAATAGTCATGGTTTGATGGTTCAAATTTATTCTATTCAAGGTAAGAAGAAAGTGACGATGTTTCGATGGATTAATTGAAGGAGGATCTGATCATTGGAATGGGACAACAAATAGTTGGATATGGTGACTTCCACACCGCAATGGCGAGCTTCTTCACATGCGGAAAGAACCCCGCAAATATTGTACACAACCGAAGCTAACCTTGAGGCATCATTCCTGGCGGTGACAAACGGCAGTACTGATGGTAAGATCTTACTATATCATCCTTCTCTCGTATCTCATGATCGATCATATCATAACTTTCAACTTCACGATTGAATATAATCTTGAATGTGCTTCTCCTATCGCTAAAATGCATCATTGTTATTTATTAATTAGTTATATCGCCAAATGATCTTGTTGGTCTAGAAGCTTGCAAATAGATGCATTTGCAAGGCGCACTATTATTAGAATTCTAAGCACTCCCTACCACCTACACCCTTCCTTACCTTGCCGGCGACCAAAAATAGTCCCCATCTATTGATGTTGAGTATCATTCCGAGCTACTGTTAAGTTTCTACACACTATGGATAGTTTCGTCTATATGATAGAACCGATTCTTAATTTTAGTCTCCTTGGACTTTTCCATCTCATCTAATTATGTTTTTATTCATGATCCCATTGGAACGACTGTATTGAGGCGTGCACATCCATACCACCCTAGGTCATGCATTTCGATGCGGTGCAACCCATCCTCCAGTATTGGAAAGCTGAATACGATCTTCCCATCTGGGGGCCAAGCCTGTTGAGGATCACTTTCCATGTCCGCAATTTGGACGCAACAACTAATGATAGGGCTGGGTTTGGTTCGGATTTCCATCTATCCCAGACCTTCAAGCTTACAAGTACCATTTCTTACATTTTAATACTACTTTGTGCTTATATGTTGCTTATTGTTTTTATATAGTCGTTCTTGTTTTAAGTATGCTTCTTGCCGTTCATCATTCGATTTCTTTTTCTTCCTTTTCTCCCTCTCTTTCTCTTTCTCCTCTTATTTTATTGAACTATTAATTAAGTCTACGAATATGATGGCATTTCGAGAATTCTTACTCCACTTTATGATAATAGCAGTATGCGGAGCGGAGATTGTTTTCAAGTCTCCTTCTATGGGAGAAGTAGTCGGTCCAGGATCGTATAAAATAAGTGCGAGGGATAGTGGGATAGTACCCACGCTCGAGCAATTTGACGATGCGAGTTGGGAAGTGGTGCTTTTCACCGGAAATGATACTGTTCCCGTAAGTTTTATTCCCGTTCTTGGGTATCTACGTCGAAGAAGAGAGTGAATGGAAGCAAAAAATTGCATCGATGAACTAATGCAGAATCTTAAACATATGTACAGGTTGAACTTTTTGATTATAGACTTATAGGATACAAAATGTCAGACCCCACAACTCAATCCCCTCCAGTAAATATCAGGAATTATTCAGCCCCAAGTGTGGAAAACAAATTGTAAGATACCAATTTTTGCCCTCCCTTCCGAGCACCAACCAATACAAGCCAGTTTCTTTGGATATCGCTCTTACCTCAGATCCAATGAATCTATTTGGGTCACAGCCTACTCCGACCGCTTTACTCTCACCAATATGACCGGTAATTTTTCTGATGAGGTGGTTGCCGCCAACAACAAAGTCGACTCCATGGCCGCCCCATACAGGACTATTTCCTGTGGAGCGAAATCTGGAAGAGAGTGTGACCAAAAGTTATTAGAAAGCCTGGGACTGGGTGCGGTGACGGGAGACTCCGCAAGTGTCAGTAGCACAACAGCGGCAACAGCGACAACAGATACCACGGCAGCAACGAAAACAACAGATACAACGGCGACAACAGCGATAACAGGATCGACCGCGATGAATTCGAACTCAGCTGCAGGTCAAGTAAATACCAACACAACCAGCAGTAAAAAAACGAGCGGAGGCATGATTGCAGGAGTAGTAGTGGGTGCTATAGCGGCGGTATCCATTACGATCGCAGCAGCTGTGTTCTTGTTAAAGAGAGCGAGGAAGAGGAGGATTTCCAAAGGAGAAATGGTGATAAATGATATGAGTCTCACAGGTCAGAAGCCGGGCGCATTCTACCAGAAGGACACTTATGGAGGAGTGACAAAGAATTATGAGACTTACAATATCAGTAGAAGAGCAGAAATGGACAGTGACAGAACTTATGAAATGGGTGGAGATCATCATGGTTTCGTGGAGATGCCTGGGAGTTCGTGAGCTTCATCCACACAATCATACAGGTAAAGTGGCCATATTTCGGACAGCTACTCGTCCCATGTACTAATTATGTGCACAGTATCTGCAAGGGTCGAGTCGTAGTCCGACGATGAGAGATTCTTGGGTTTAATCCATTGCATATATGTATTCAATCCACTTAAAACCATGAGCGTACTTCAGGTATTAAGCCATTCTTAGAGAACCCTTTTGAATAACGAAAACTTTCAAGTTGTTTCGAGTTTGGGACTCCGTTCAGCATCATTGAGACGCTGACTTGAATACCTGTGGATGTTTGGTTCTTCAACTTGAGTAAGTCATCCGTATATTGAACGGTACAAGATTGAGGATTTAATGCTTTCTAGCACATATTACTTTCCAGTATCTCTCTCACGTCTGTTTCTATAACCCTAGTGTCTTTTTGGGACAGTCAGAGAAAAGATTGAGTTAATATTCTCGATATCGCTCGACTACAACCAGGAAATGTTATGATTGACAAACAGTTGCTGTATCTGCTTAATTCTAACAGCTAGGTTTCACGGAAACCACCTCCTCTCATGAATAGCTCCTCGCTGCATTTCCTGCACGTTGTATATGTTTATCGATCCTAATTGTCGATTGCATGACTAGTCGTTTTCGTGGGCACTTAACTGTAGATCTTTGTCTTCTGCAATGTTTATGGCATGGCCTTTTCTTTAAATCTATCGAGTCGCGTCTTTCACAAAAAGAAATTTTTGGTATATGAGTGTTAGGTGCTATAATATTTGGTTCCATTCTAACGTGTATGAATGATGCGTCATGTTGGTCTAATGCTGATGATTTCGAGGGCTGTGAGATGGGTTTACAGCATATATGCGGGAAAATGAAAATTGATAGAGGACTGTTAAGTTTACATAATTTAGATACCTTGAAAGGATTTGTTGATTTTGATAAAGATGTTCTTTTGTTTACTTTTTTTTTCTCCATCATAAGTAGATTCTGAGCATCGAAACATTTTGAAGGCTGGCCTTTAACCCCGCAAAGGATGATCCCTCTAACACTAGTACTTAGTCAGGGGACTGCTCCACAAGGTGATGTGAATTGCCCTTCGTCACCGCCCGATATGATAGATTTGTACCTAGCTTATGATTCTAAGCAAAATAAACTACTCTCGAGTCGTATACTTCACAACATTATTATTTCCACTTCTGAATGTATTATCACCAAATATGGCGATGATATCGCCAGTAGGGCAGGAGCGACTGTTATTTTTAGGCTTGGGAATCACGACTTATGCTGTTTTGGTCTTTGTGCGTAATCGCCTTATCCACTTTCGCGAAGCAGCTACCATTCCACCCATCGAGAACAAATCCCATTTCATCGACCAGAAGACCGAAGATTCCTTAAAACTAAGTACGCTGGGAAAGTTATTGGACAACCCAAACTATGGAATTCAAGAGACTGCCTCCATCATTGTCTGCGAACGTGCTCTGCACAATGAATCCGCCATCAACAGCCTACTTCATGAGATTAGTGAACCAGATTATGACCGACGAGAGAAGGCAGTTAGAGCATTTATATTGATTGTAAATGGCTGTGTGTATTCCTACTCCTATTCCTAATATCTGGTGCCTCGAATTGATTTAAATTTGTAGCAACTGTCAAGCGAATACATAAACCAGAAACATACGAAGCACTTGTCAAGAGTCTGGAATACTCTGTAGACGACTACGAGCACCATGAATACGATTCAGATTGGGACAATTGGCACCTTCGCGACATAGCGGAAAAAAGCTGTCTTATGATAATACATGAATTAATTTACAAATACGATGTCGAAGAACTTTTGAACGCCGGGTTTATAGAACGTTGGCTGGTGAAAGAGCCATGGGGTAGAACTGCAGAAGAACGTTTGAGTAATTTCATGGACTCCCTCAACAAGGAGAAGCTCTTGAACCGGGTGATAGTGCCATTGTTTAATAATGAAAGGGGCAGGAAGATGTTAGAAGAGGCGAAACTACTACCAGCAAGACCTGATATGGCAGTAAGGCATCTTGCTATGGAAGGGAGTGCGGATCAGGATTTAGAAGATTTTGAAGGCATTTTTGCTGAAAGAAGACCGAGGGATCAGAGCACGGCAGAAGAGCACCTCAGAAGGCGTCATAGGGAAGCTATGGTTCTAAATGATGGCACAAGGCCACTTGAGCGAGGCGACATCTATGAAAATCAACAACGACCCATCGGATCTATGGAATGAAGTGAACATCTTTTTGCAAGAAGGAAGGTCACAAAAAACTTAGGCTTCAGGCGAAGTCAGAAAGTTTGCTTTGAGCTCTCTGATCAGTCAGTCCGTGAGGTACGTCCATATTCAATCAACGATATATGATACCGCCTCGCCCTTATGGTTTTCATATCAACACACTAATCTGGAAATAGCTATGGAAAAATAACACTCTACTTTATGTACGTGTACGAATTTTACGGCGGAGCGACAGGAAAACAACAGGAGCATAGTGGTACACTGCTTTACTGGATCAGATATCAAGCTCCTAAAATCCGTCACCGAGGTTTAGGGTTAGCAAGGGTAATGCTATCGGTGTCAGATATCTCGACATTACCAAAGCATAATCTATAACTTCTAGGCAGAAGCTAGGTAGAAGCTGTCGGGACCAAGAATTCGCAAGCGAAAATCGCAAGAAAAGCGAAGTCTTATAAATTACAAAAACAGTTACCAAATTTGATCACCTGATGGCCGAACTATCTACCTAGGGATACACTTTGCACTTTGCACATTGCCTACAAAATACTCCGTTGAAAGCTCAGATGACAGATTATTATGATGCGGATGCTTACCTACTACCTAGCACCTTTATGGCTGTACCTGCGTTTGATTGCAGGGAGCAGGGATGATCCTCAGATCAAAACAAATATCGGATAAGCAACGAAGTAGTAGTTTCTGAATTTCTTTTTCTTCCCTTTTATCTGCTAATGAAACAGCCAGCTATATATCTTCTTGTTGTTAATAGCCAATTGACCTTTATGAAGTCTCTATTACATTTCACCTCTGTAGATTTTTGATACTAATTGGCTTGCTGCTAGATGTGATTTGTGCCTCTTTGGAAGATTGATTTTTGGTATTCCCCTAGAAATAGAATATCTTATATTGGATACCCACAACTCTGCGATAAAGACGCGCCCTTCCAAGCTGCTGGTAAATTAAATCAAGCTCATCACCTCAATTCAAGAGAGAGAGATGGCAGAAGCAATAAAGCATTGATCACTTGAAGACACGGTAGAAGATCCTTTGAATGGGGGTAATATAAAGCTCTAGGCATAGACAACCAACTGAAGCTTAGAGAAGGTCAATAAGGCTTTTTCTGGACAATCTAATGATGATGAGGAAAGCTGCTTTACGCCCTTTCGAGGAGAAGAGTGGATTAGATCGGATTTACACCTGCAGAAGCCTTCACGATGGGTCCACGCTTTGCTTCCATAGGAAACGATGGAAACAATGGAAACAATAGAAAGATTCACAGAACAAGGAATGAAAGGAAGCATGATTTGATTACATTCATGTCCACTGATACCATTGGCTACACTGCTATATTGCTAGACTTTGACCTTCTTTCACTCTCTCAGCTTTCACCGCGCATCTGTGATACCTTCTATTACAGGGATCGGATGAATGTGCCTATAAACAGATGTACCGGCCTTGCAGCTCTCTCCTGCAGATTGCATGCATTCGCACTCTTTTCCTCATTGCTTTGAGTGGTGCTATAGTCTTCTATCTTCTATCTTCTGTCTTTTATATTCTACCCTCTACCTTCTACCTGCTATTGATGAAGGAGTTCCCTTCTACGTACCTTCCATTTTCCTCACCTCTTCCCCACAAGTTCATTCATGCATTCATTCATGATCTTTTCTTACTAGTATCTTAATATCATTCATTCACTACCGTACCTTACCTACCTTGCGAATTCCCCTGTAACAACATAAGATCCAACCCATAGGACAACAACCCATCAATTCATCATCATTCAGAACTTCCATTGTTAATTAATAAGATATCGAATTGAATATCCATTTTAAAATTGTTCAAGTAAAAAAATTAGGAGTGAGCTGGATTGAAGGTGTCGCCAGATAATCAAGAACATTGATTGGTTGATATTGGTAAATTTTGTGAGGGGTGTGTTATACAGAAAACAAATACTATAAGGCGGTAACTTTCGGTGGTTTGCACAAATGTCGACTACAAGAATCTCAACTCCAAAAAGGTCTCCAAAAAAATCGACATTCACTAAAACAGGAATTCAAGTCACAAAATCAACTCCCAATCTCGGTGCCTCCTACAATTTGGCTTTATTACAAGCTTCAGGAGCTTCACCGGTTCTTGCACATTTTTCCAATAACGGTCAGGGTTTTGGTCTAAACAATCCTAGGTCGAAGCCATCTCGACAAGTCTCACTCGCATCCCTTACCTCAAATTCACTGGCGGCAATACCGGATGCTAGTAAAAGATACCCTCTTTCAACCGTTTTTGATGAGGATATGCCACCAGCAGGCAACATGTATACACCTTCTCGAGTTGGTGGTGGGCCCGATGAGTTGGAGGTGGGTGACATAGTTGATGTTCCTGGTAACATGTATGGTACTGTCAGATTTGTCGGCAGTGTGCAAGGCAAGAAGGGGGTCTTTGCCGGAGTGGAATTGGATGAGATGTTTGCTTCCAAAGGGAAGAACAATGGTGATGTTGAAGGGTGAGATATACAAGCAACTACACCTGTAAACAAACAGTGAGCTGATTGATGGATGATACAGAGTTCACTACTTTTCAACAACAATTGATGGTGCCGGAATCTTTCTTCCTGTCAGCAGAGCAACAAGACGTAGCACTCCATCTTCTCATGATGATTCTTTTCCTCTTTCACCGGCTTCTCCATCACTGAGCAATAGGATTGGCAGGCTTGGATTAGACGTGAACACTCCACCAGCACCTCACCTACCGAGGTTCAGTCAATCAGTTGGCCCAGGTAGAATTCAAAAAACCCGACCATCGATAGCCACACCAACCACATCACGACCAGAGTCTCCAGTACGAAGAGCAGCCGCTGCTAGGACATCAATAAATGCACCCGGGCAGAGAGTCCCATCTCGATATGGAAGTCCTGCAGCGGCGAACTTTGGGCAGAACATTAGAGGAGTGCAAGATGCTAGAGACCCAAGCAAGAAAGTCGGTTACGCCCCAACAAATGGCATGAAGACACCAGTCCCTCCACGAAGTGTTTCGGCACTTGGCACAGGGAGTAGACCTGCAGCAATGAACCTCAGTGATGAAGATACACCTTCTGCTGGAATTACACGGACGGCAACAAACGGGAGTGTGAGCTCAATCTCTTCCTTCAACGCAAAGTTACGACCTGCATCAAGATCCGCCTCGCGTGCGTCCCGAGCTACTGACGACGAGGTCGAGCGATTGAGAGGTCTACTGGAGGAGCGCGATCGGGAAATAAAAGCACAAGCTTCAATCATAGAAGACATGGAAAAGACTCTTAGTGAAGCTCAGTCACTGATGGAGGACAACAATGAGAACGCGGGCGGTCATAGAGATAGCCGGGGAAGCATGGAGGACAAAGACGCAGCACAATTGAGAGCAATAATTCGTGAAAAGAATGAAAAAATCGCCATGCTGACTGCTGAGTTTGATCAGCATCGAGCTGATTTCAGAAGTACAATAGACACACTTGAGATGGCTGGTGCTGAAACCGAAAGAGTCTACGATGAGCGCATGAGTAATCTTGTAATGGAGCTCAGGACGATGCATGAGAACAGTCATGATGTGAAGCATGTTGCTGTACAACTGAAACAGCTAGAAGAGCTTGTTCAGGAGCTTGAGGAAGGTCTTGAAGATGCGCGGCGTGGTGAAGCCGAGGCTCGCGGTGAGGTCGAGTTCTTGCGTGGAGAGGTTGAAAGAACTCGATCTGAGCTTCGTCGTGAGCGGGAGAAAACTGCTGAAGCTCTCAGTAACGCAAATCCTGCTACGGGTGTGGGTGCAGCAACACTTTCTAAAGAGATTGCACAAAGAGATGACGAGATCCGCGGTTTGAAAGCTATCATTCACTCGCTTAGCCGAGATGCCATACCTGATGGGAATTTCTCGGATCATGAAAAGACACCAAGTGTTACACGACCAGGGCTACATCGAAGCCGTACGGAAAGCGCTTCAGCTTCAGAGGAGGAGCGTCTTAGCCGGGAGAAGTTGGAACGAGAAGTGAGCGAACTTCGTGCCGTCGTAGAAAGTAAAGACAGCAAGGAAGAAGAAATGGAGCGTGAGCTAGAGGGGCTACGAAGGGGAAGTGTCAGCAATTCTACTACGCAGCGTACTAGTGCCATTAGCAGTGGAACTGCAACCCAGGATAGAAACTCTGTCCGAGATTCCAAAGGCACAGTTGGAAGCTGGCGGGACCGCGAAGGAACATCGGATGTTCACCACCACAACTTGGAGTCAATGCCAGAGATTGACGGTTACTCTTCAGCAGCGGAGGATTTCTGTGAATTGTGCGAGGCATCAGGTCATGATGTTCTACATTGCCCCATGTTCGGTCCTAATGGTAATAGTGGCAACTCTAGAGAGGAGTCTCCTAAAGAGCAACGAACAGGAAAAGACGTTGTCATGGAAGGACTCAAACTATCACCCAAACTAGCGCAAGAAGAATACGAACCAGCACCTTTAGCACCAGCCAAGAAGTCGTCTGATGACTCGCCTATTAAAACCATCCCTAACCTCATGGACCCAGGTGCTGCTCCAGGAAAAGCAAGTGGAGTCATCAATATGGACAAATGGTGCGGTGTATGTGAACGAGATGGACATGACAGCATTGACTGTCCGTTTGAAGATGCATTTTAGGAGATTACAGCTATGTCTTTTTTAGGATACACTGTCATACCAATGTCAATTTTTTCCTTTTCTTTTCTTTGTTATTAGTTATGGGCAAGGCCACATTGCATTGCAAGGAGTGTTATCCATGTGCAATATACCCTTTCCTTTCGGTTCTCCATTTCATGTATATTTTTCATGCGATGAGTATGAGGGGAGGGAGATGATATTTTTATGAGGCTTGGATGAGATGGAACTGGTTTGAATTAGAGGATGGGTGGAGGCACTGAAGGGACTGAAGGGAAGGAATAAAACAAAACATGACATGGACGTAATGATCATGTAGTATACTTTGTTAAATTAATGATCCCATGCTTATATTTAATTCTGTATTTTTCGATGGGAGTTTCTCGTATGCTACTAGCAATGTGATAGGTTGGTGAGTTATTCCTGGGATGAAAGATGAAAATCTTCATGATGGATGGCTATGTTGGTTAACCGTTTGTTTGTAGAATTATCTAGTACTGTTATGTAGATTTATGAGATTTATAGGAACTTTTATATAGCTGGAGAGTATACTGCTTTGATTTTTCTTAATTATGATCTTGAACCTTGAATCCTGATTATATACAAATATAAAAAAAATAAAAAGATGTTTATATCCATTAGGATTCAGGAATATTTCAATTATTATTTATATATACAATTATACAAACAGGCAAATAAGAAGACAGACAAATAAGAAGACAATCTTCTATAATAATTTCTCTTAATATTACTAAATATGTTAATTTTTATGTAGGAATATATATACATACAGAAATTTCACAATTAGATGAACGAACGAATGAATATCTATGTATCATCTATTATCACGAACTCTCCTTTCCCTGTTCCTTCTCCATCCCAGAAAACGTAACCCTCATCAAATCCTCCAATTCCGTGAGCGTCATCTCCTTAATTCCAAAAATACAATTATGTACTTTTTCGAAATTTCCTCCGAAATTGAAATTTCTCTCGTTATTTGGAGTTGATGTAATTGCATCTTTAGTGGTTTCTTCTTTTTCTTCTTTGAATTCTTCTTCCTGGATATCCCATTCTTGATCGGGGGTAAGTGATTCTGCGATGGATAGGAGTTGGTAATGCGTCACATCGATATCTTTGATGCGGATGGGTCGATTGGCAGTTTCACGGGGATGGGTAAGGATGCGTCGGATGGCTTTGGAGAGGGAGGGGAGAGTGGTGAGGGAGATGGGGTGGGTTTTTGAAGATGGGGTGAGGGTTGCACTGTGCGTGGGGAAGTGGAAGAAGGTGTTTTTTTGGAGGGATGGTTCGAGGATGGGGTTGCTGTAGAGGAGGGTGTAGCTTAGTGTGGTGGTGCTGGTGGTTTGGTCTTGGAGATAGGTTTCTATGGCGAGTTTTTGCGCGAAGATGGGATGGTGGGTTATGTGTTTCTGGATGAGGGGGTTGCAGAAATCATAGCTGTATTCTGAGGGGATGAAACGGTGCACATGTGCTTGGATACAGGCGTCTATGAGGAGTTTTTGCACGGGGATCGCGCGCGGGGATATAGTAGAGATGACGGCATCTTGGTCTGTGACGGCTTGGGTTAGGGAGTCCAGGGAGCTGTAGTCGACTTGGATTATTTTGATGGCCGGGGCGAAGAGTGTTTGGTAGGTTGTGGAGTCTCGGGTTAGGATTGTGATTTCGAAGAGTTCGGATTTTAGGAGCTCTTTGAGGATTGCTTGGCCTATTTGGCCGGATGCCTAGGGTTTGTTATTTGGGTGTAATTTTTTTGGTGTGGAAGGGGGGACTAACACCTGCTATGGCGACTTTTTTGATCGTTATATCGTAGGTCATGGTTGGGAAGATTTATGATTATTTCTCGAAAATAATGTGTATGATGTACAGTTAACTAACGATAACTGAATGCGATGCGATGAAATGCGATGAGATGAGAAGAGATAAGCAAATCCGAAAATTAAATAACAACTTCTACTATTTCCTTGAGCTCTTTATACCTACACAATTATCATACACCTAGGTATTAGGACATTCTCTTTTCTCTTTCTCGCCCTGCTGATGATTATGGGCTGACGAAATCACACCACTGAGTGTTCCGATATATCAAAGGCCAAGCGATATCAGCACTTGATTTTAAAAACTCCATCGCTCTTGGCCGATGTGTTTGTTTGTTCTTCCATTTGTCCTAGACTCCTAGATGTAGTTTTGTTGGAGTTTATATGGTTCGATGGATGAGGGTTTATTTTCCGTTTTTTTTTCGTGGATGGTGTTGGTGTTTAGATGGATGGACTGGTGGATTTTACCTGGTCTGGGCCTGGGTAATTTTGTGAGAGAGGATAAATAAGAGTCGGTTAACGGTTATTTGACTCGGTTATGTAAAGTTTAACTTAGGTACCCGTCGCATAAAAAGATGAGATGAAAATGTTTTTGGTTAATTGAGTGTAAACTTACTTGACTAGAGTTTTTCATGTCATTTTGGAATATTATAATTTTCTTTTTGATAATGGCAAGTCAAAATTTGCGAAGTCCTTGTCTGACAGTCAATTGGCAGGAAATCAAGCAATGCTAGATCTGACTAGAAACATTGCATCAGTTTGAGCTCAAACGCTCCTGATCTGCTCTACCACGTGCCTGCCTGCCTGCCCACGAAGAAAGGAAAGCTATCATCTATCCTCCACTGAACTGTAATTGCCCATTCTGTTCCACATCCCATCGTACTTACCCAGAAACTATTCAAAATGGAAATCATCTCTATTTACTCGTCTCGTCCCAATTTCTTTCTCTCATCTCGATACTTCCATCCTCCACGATCCATACCAGATTAAATCTTTCGACGAGTACTTATCAATTTCTCTCTCATCTTTACAACTTGTGACATTCTTCCCTCGATTTTGCCGGAAAGAAGACTGAAGGTTTCGTTTGGAGGACTTTATTATATAACGGGATTATACTCGCTCTACTGGCGCTGAAAATCATCAACTTGAGCCGACATGGGTGATAATTTTGATGACCCCGAAGACCTCGATGCGTCGGACCAGCCTTCTCCTATTGTATCCGATGCTGATGACGAACCAAACCATAAATTGGGTGATAAATTAGTGCTGATTAAGACTAAGCATGGTCACATTATCAATGAAATCATTCGTACTTATGGGCAGCCCGAGACAGAACGTTTGAAGTGCATACTGGGCGAGTATCTTCGTGGAGATTCATATCTTTATATCAGTCTCTGCCCTATTAATGGTGATATTCAAAACGCCTTCGCCTGCATTGAAGGACCTAATCTGACCCCGTATGAAGGAGGTATCTTCTGGCTGCACGTTTATTTTCCGGTGAATTATCCCAGTCACCCACCCAAAATGCGTTTCTTAACACCAATTTGTCACCCAGACATCAATGAAAATGGGGAGTTCTACCATAAAGAGCTTTCGTTAGAAGAAGATGGATACGTTCCTCCTATCTTCACACGAGACATTCTCTGGTCGGTATTTGAGATGCTTGACCAGCCTGATTTTAAGGAATTTATATTTGAAAACAGTTATATTTCTGAGTTTGATGAGTTCTTGCAAAAGGCAGAGCTTTACACTCAGAAATATGCGATGGCTAAAGAGCCAGATGAGACAAAACTGGTGAAAGATTGGCTAGAACATTTCGATCAACAGACCGGGGCTGTCCAAAGATCCGACACTCAAGAAACGGATGATGATGCACCCGCAGATGCTACTGTTGAAACATGCCGGGTCGCTCTCATCAAGTGGCGGCAGCAGATATGGGAAACGCGCAAAAAGAATCAATTCAAGGATATTGAATCCATCATACCAGACTCTGCCATCATTACCATATCTAATAATCTGGATAGAATGTTTGCCGCGGAGATCCTACTTGAGCAATTAGACTTGGAAGAATGGGATGCACGCACGCAGTTTCTAGAAGACTGGTCTGATTCTTCTATTCGGAAGTTGTTGAAGGATGTATGCGATCACTGCATAGAAGCTGTTGTTCAGCAGTTGGAGAAGGAAAAAGAGGACGCCATGCGAGCTACTATGATAGATAAGCATGAGCAAACCTGGAATCCAATGTGGTTCAGAGGATGATCTGTGTTCTAAGGATGAGGGGTCAAATTCTGATGTGACTCACAAATTAAAGAAGGCGCGGGGATGCTACCAAAGGTTTCAGGAGAGGCAAGAAAGGCTTCAGCAGGGCGATATTAGGGGTATGTATATCTACGAAGACGTAGTCGGGATCCATTAATACATAACACGGCAGGGCGTACTGATTATAACCTAGATAAAGTCACTTGTGAAGACACAGCTACGTCGTTCCACCAATGCGACACGGCCTTTGATACGGGAACAAAGATGAAATATTTCTGTATAGGGAATCCGAGTCATAGAATATATGATACTTGATCGCATGAAGTTATCATTCTTGATTCATCGCCTTCTTTACTAAATTATTGTGAGTTTACCTAGGCATTATACATGAACTTTGCAGTCAAAAACCTTATCTAATCCAGACTTCAACAGCATTTAAAGCGCTCTCTCGCAGCTCGCTTCAAGAACCAAATGTTACCTTCTGGTTCTGGAAAAAGTCACTACGTCCATAGAACACCTAGTGGTCATCCATAATCCCTCCTTCTTTTCAAGCCTCGAGTGTCAGAATTTTGCAAAGACATAGGAATATTCCGGTCATCTTCACAGATTAGGTAGACTGACGGGAATCACCAAAGTAGCTTTTGTTTGGAAACTGGCAAGACTCTAATTATAGTTCAGACTCCGAACCACTGATCGTTGGATTACCAAGATTACGACAGTGCTTCTGTGAAGTTTTTATTGTTAGGGATAAGGGATGATCCTATCCTATTAATTATTACTGTATACTCATTAGCTTTGAGTACTCAAATTCAATTACTCGTATTCGCAACACTATTGGAGCTTTTCTCACTAGTAGCTTTCGAAGACTGCTTCTCCGTGTCCATAGTAATATCGTGGTATTTTACCCCCTTTATTCCCGCCTTGGCCGATTTCTACATTTTCTAATATCCCTTTCACGGCGAAGAGTATTATCTCCCATCGATTTTTGACAATATGCTTTGAAATTCAATCATCGCTTGAGAGCTCGGCATTCGATATCAGGTTCTCGATACGATTCTTTGTGTTTTCGAACCTCTCCCTCAAAAGAATTATAACACAGCCTACCTGCCATCGACCCCACGTTTCGCTTTGTTCCATGGAGATATCACTCATCATCCAATGTCGGAAATTGTTTTCTTTGATTCTAGAATATTTCCTCCTCTATGCTTCATTTAAATGGTATTCCTTCTCGTCTTTGTCCCTATAATTTTCCTATTAGTCAACGTGGTCAGGATGCATTATTCGGAAAATGCCTATGTCCATCCCCTTCAAAATAAGGTCACACGGGCACACCGTTTGCATGCCGTTTCAATTTTGCCATGGCCTACCATTCGCCGTCGAAAGCCCAGTTTTGGACTACCTTGCCACCGGCTTTGGAACCTGGTGGTCGTGCTCTTGCCCATTCACCCTCGCAGTCTCACTTACAGCCAAGCGTGCGTGCACAGTTGGGTCCTTGGGCACAGTGGGGTCATACTTCGGCTTCTTTGAATGGTTTGGAAAATATGAAGCGCCCCAGATTAACGCACAGCGTTACGACGAGTGAAAGATATCACTTCAATAAAGATCCGTTGCCGGCAATTCCTGGTGTGCTGGCGAGGAAGCTAACGAGGGGTAGTAGGAGGCTTGATGGGAGGTTGAATGAATATGGAGATCCTGTTCCGAGGCCTTGTATGGATATTTCTGGGTCGAAGAGTTACGATGATGATACGTCTCATGGAAAAGAAACGATTCATAAAATGGAAAGGACTCAGTCTTCGCCTGAAGCTAGGACTTTACCTCCGCCTCCTGATCCGCCCATGACGAAATCGGCAACGAAGGTTATGCAGAGAACGGATTATGATCCTACTATGGAGATAAGAGAGGGGAAGAGTCCACAGTCATCGTTAGATATAGTTACAGATAGATGTGACGATTCTGATAGCGATTATAGTCAGGAAGATGGCATGGATTCACCTTTAGATCAACAGGGCCATGTCGTTGCTTCTGTTCCTGTTTCCCCGATGCAGAAGGATGAGATAACTTTCCACTCTCCCAAAAATACCTCTAGTCATGCATCAAGTCCAGCCACCTCGACACCAAATTCACTAGTAATATCACCGGAATATAAAGAACGAGTATCAATGTTTATGCAAGGCCATTCAAAAGTACCAAGTAATAATCAAGATTCACCCCGCGCCTCAAATCTTGAGGATTTGATAGATCGCGAAAGAATGAAATACGAACATCAAATTCATCGTGAGTATCCATTAAGACATGGTCCTCATAACGATGATATCGCACTCATGCCACCGCCGCTAGCATTACCCCCAAAGCAAAGTCGACAAAGCTATTTCAGCGAAAGCCCAGAAGATTGGGAACCACGAACCCCTGTTACTCCATTCTTGGGCAACGGACAGCAGCAGAGCATGCATGTATCCTCTACCGTCTCATTTACATCATCTACGGCGGCACGAAACACAACATCGACAGAAGCGAGTAACCCTCGAAGGAAAGATTTTTCAAGTGGTAAACACCCTATGAAAAGTCCCTTTCCATTTCTCCCAATTCACAAAACACCAGACTCTTCAAAAGCGACAGGATTAGCGGGGTCATTGGGTGGGAAGTTCTCGGGTGCCTTCAAACGACTATCCGGTGGTACGAAAACAGTGCCGATTGAGAGAAATGTGGTGATTCCGAATTCTAGGAGAAGTGCGACAGGTCCCGATACACCAATGCCGAAAAAATCAGGGTTTATGGGGATCAAAGGAGCGCCGGATGTGATACAGAAGGGTAATGAACATCTTCATGATGTGGTAGAGAAGGTAAAATTGAAGGTTAATAAGAAAGAGAGGAGGAGGAGGGAATTGAAGAAACAAATTATGGTTGTAGGGGTTATGGATCAAACTCCAGGTTCGTTGCCGTTTCTCATTTGTTGTTTTCCTTGATGCTCGTTTCTCGTCAGCAAAGTACTGATTGTTTTTTGTAAATAGATGGGAGGGCATCTGAATGGCTTTGATAATGGATACGAAACTATGCAAATGTAAAAGGAGTAGTTTGATTTAAGACAGTGTAGTCTTCTCCAATAGCTTCGACTAGAATGCAGCCTTGAGAACTCGCTGGAGTTCTTTCTCTAGCGTAGTACTACTAAGTACCTGCTTTTAAAAGGTCAAATATAGGCCGAGTTTTTGTTGCACATCTTTGGTTGTGTTAGATCAATAGATATGGAAACACTGCTCTCGTCCTGGGTATAATCCCTTGGATGAGGTTTGAAACTCTATTGTATACTTACTATATACATTAAATGTTAATGATGATTTAAACACAGCGACCACTTCCGTCTGATATGCTGTGTGTGTTGAATCAACCGAATCTTTTGACTAAAAGCATTTGACCCGGTCAATGATTTAGAAATTCAAAATCATTGTCATCCCACAGGTGAAGAGATGTGCATGATTAATTCTTCCGCCGACGAATCATATTCTCTTATAACGTAAATAATGTACCTGCAGCACCAACCCCGCATCTTTGTGCTACCCTCACAAAAGCTTGGAATACAATATAGCCTTCGTATTCCAAGTGCTCATGACTCTATCTCTCAGATGATGCTCTTAGCATTGTCTTCTTCCCTGAGATATGTTGATCCCCAAACTTTGACTGACATTTCTGATTGTTATCAGGGTCGGTGAAAGATGTCGAGGTAAGTTGTTGATCTGCCAACCCTTCACGTGCCATGAAATCCACAGTTTCACGGCTTCATTCCTCCACATCCCCGCGCTTTCCATCAGCTTACCCCTGTCTAAACTCCACTTCTGCGTAACTAGCGGCGTAGAAGAAGGGAAGCTGAGCTGTTTGAAACAACCTTCAACTACTACTTCCTACTCTTTTACTAACTACATCAATTTCATTCAGTTCTTTTCGTTCAAATCATCTCGAATCCATCAATAATCTCATCCAATTGCCAATTATGGGTGGTGAAACTTTACCAAAGACAGAGCTTAAGAGCTCATATCCTCTCAGATCCGAGGGTCCCAAGGGTAAATTGATAGCTAATCTTTACAAAGATCGAATTGGTCAATTCTATGCCACTGGACAATATGAAGGGAAGAACTTACGAGCGTATGCCATCTGAACTTCCCTCTGTTCTTATATTAGCTAATGATTGTTGATAGAATGTTAAACGAAGGAGTCGCATCGGGGGAACCACATATCAAACTTTCGGTCTGGGATGCTCCGGATCTTACTCGACCGACTTTCAAAGATGCGACGAGCCACGACTTTAGATCAACACATATTGGTGAATCGTTTGGTCCTTCGTGGTCAACTCATTGGTTCAAAGTACAGATAACGGTGCCGTCAGAGTTTCTGAAAAAGGACCTGTTGGAGTTACATTGGGATGCAAATAATGAAGGAATGGTATGGACTGAGGATGGCAATCCTCTTCAAGGATTGACCGGAGGTGGCGAGAGAGTCGAGTGGATTCTGCCAGACAAATTTCGAGATGGAAAGGGACATACAATTTATATTGAGATGGGTAAGATACAAACATTGATTGATATAATTACCAATGCTAATGTCAACTATAGCATGCAATGGAATGTTTGGTAATGCCCCTGGTGGAGATTCCATTCAACCGCCGAATCCGAATAAATATTTCCAACTTTCAAAAGCTGAGATTGTTGCCGTAAACGTGGAAGCCCGAGCTTTGTGGATTGATATCTGGGAAATCAATGATGCTGCTAGGGAGTTTCCATCGGATTCATGGGAACAACATAAGGCATTAAGGGTTGCAAATGAAATAATTGATGCTTTCGAGTTGGGAAACCAAGACTCAATCCTTAAAGGCCGAAAAATTGCACAAGAATACCTGGGCGAGAATGTCAACTCATCTAAGGTCTATGAGACTGGCACAAAGCCTATTGTTTATGGTATTGGTCATTGCCATATTGATACTTGTTGGCTTTGGCCATGGGCCGAGACTAAAAGAAAGGTTGCTAGATCCTGGTCGAATCAATGTGATCTTATGGACCGTTACCCTGAGCATCGATTTGCTGTCTCACAGGCTCAACAGTATAAATGGTTGAAGGAGTACTACCCTTATGTGTTTGATCGAGTTAAGGAAAAGGTCAAACAGGGAAAGTTTCAACCTGTGGGAGGCAGCTGGGTCGAGCACGATACTAACTTACCCAGCGGCGAGTCTCTTGTACGCCAATTCTTGTATGGCCAAAGATTCTTCGAAAGCAATTTCGGAGAGAGATCTAAGACATTCTGGCTGCCAGACACATTTGGTTACTCGAGCCAACTTCCTCAGCTGTGCCGTCTTGCGGGAATGAAGCGTTTCTTTACTCAGAAGCTTAGCTGGAACAACATCAACAATTTTCCGCATACCACATTCAACTGGGTGTCCCTAGATGGTAGCCAAGTCATTTGTCACATGGCGCCTTCCGAAACATACACTGCAAATGCCGATTTTGGTGATGTAAGAAGGTCGGTGACCCAGCATAAATCGATGGATCAAGACGAAACTTCACTTCTTGTTTTTGGAAAAGGTGATGGTGGTGGAGGACCAACTTGGCAGATGATTGAGAAGCTCAGACGTCTTCGTGGAATGAGTGATACTGTTGGACTTCTTCCGAGAGTTCACATGGGTGACTCTGTGGATGATTTCTTTGACCGCTTGGAGAAGAAGGTCTCCGAGGGCCAAGACTTGGTGACCTGGTATGGTGAATTATACTTTGAGCTTCACCGTGGAACCTACACGTAAGTTTTTTTTTTCTTTTCGAAGGTTGCAATGTTACATTTGATTCTGACATCTCCCAGGACCCAAGCGAACAATAAGCGCAACAACAGAAATTCGGAGATTATGCTGCACAATATTGAACTTCTTTCAACAATTGCAAGTCTTAAAAGTAAGGACTTCAAGTATCCTAAAGAAGACATCGATTTTATGTGGGAGGCTGTATTACTGTGTCAGTTCCATGACTGCCTGCCGGGATCTTCTATTGAAATGTGTTACGATGACAGTGATGAGGTACGCGAACTGCGCTCAGTTTAAGTTTTATACATACTGACACGCAATAGCTATATGAAAAAGTATTCAAGGCCGGTGAAAAGATCCTCAAAGAGCTCTACAAGACCCTAGGTGTACTGGAAGCCGAAGACTCATCCGAGGATGGTAATATTGTTGCTCTTAACACCATGCCATGGCACAGAAGAGAGATCGTTCCGCTTGGTAATAACACTGCCGGAGTTGCTTGTGGACAAGGTAATCTCTTGAATATCAAGACTTTTAAGATTGCCGAAACACCAGAAGTTACCGTCAAAGAAGTCAGGAGAGGTGTTTTCGTGTTACAAAATGATCAACTCAAAGTCGAAGTCGAGGGCGGTGTTATCACATCTCTGTATGATCGGCAAGCGGAGAGAGAAGTGGTGGCCAAAGGAGGCAAAGCTAACCAGCTTGTTATATTCGATGATAAACCACTTTATTGGCAAGCTTGGGATGTGGAAGTTTTCCACTTAAACTCTCGCAAGGAATTACCTCCAGGAGACACCAAGATCGTTCAAAGTGATGCCCACAGAGTAAGTGTCATGACCGAGACAAAAATTAGCGAAGACAGCTGGGTGAGGACTCATATTAGTCTATCCGCCGCTTTCAAGGGTCAGCAATCTTATGTTGAAATGGAAAGTGAGGTTGAGTGGAGGGAGAGTATGAAATTCCTCAAGGTTGAATTTCCTGTCGACGTTCGAAACACCGAAGCATCCTACGAGACACAGTTCGGTATCATTAAGAGACCTACTCACTATAACACTACGTAAGTTTGATTTCCTTATATATCCTGAGGATTGTATAGCTGACTACGGATAGCTGGGATATGGCCAAGTTTGAAGTATGCTGTCACAAATTCGCCGATCTTTCAGAGAATGGATATGGTGTTTCCATTTTGAACGATAGCAAATATGGTTTTGCTACTTCTGGAAATATGATGCGCTTGTCATTACTTAGAGCTCCTAAAGCTCCGGATGCACATGCAGACATGGGTCGTCATCACATTCGTTGGGCTATTTTACCCCATCAAGGAGCTCTTGGCTCAACTACTGTCCGCACGGCATTCAACTTTAACAATCCATTGAAGGTCTGCAAGGCTTCCAAGGATACTCATGCCAGCGTATTTGAAAGTCCAATCAAACTCACCGGAGATTCGTCATTGATCCTAGATACTATTAAGCGCGGTGAAGATGATGAGGATGTCAGTCGTGGTGAATTGAGGAAGAGGAAGGGACAAAGTGTTATTTTGAGAATCTATGATAGTTTGGGTGGAACCAGTAAAGGCACGATTGAGACGACGCTGGATGTAAAGAGGGTCTGGAAGACCAATATCTTGGAAGATGATGAAGAAGAACTTAAGATTAAGGAAGGGAAAGTCGATATCACTTTGAAGCCTTTTGAGGTTGGCACGTACAGGTTACAGTTGTAGGTTTAGAGTTGGATTTATGAAGTTATGAGAGAAAGTAAGGTGGGGAGTAAGGATGGGAATGATGGGGAAGAATGATCGAAATTGGTAATTAGATATCATGATAGCGTTTTCTCTTAGTATATCAATATCACAGCGCATTTCACAGATTTTCAATGGAACGTACGCAGTAGGTCCTCTTTCGGTGAGATGAGGCGATATGATTGATTAGTATGTTAATTTCACTTGCTCGCTATGTAATTAATGAAAAGTTCGCCGTTCAAAGTGGCAATTGAAAGGTAAGATCACATTCAACAACGAGAAACTCTAGAATATATTTGATATTTCATACTTCATACTTCATTTCATCTCATCTCATCCTATCTTATCATAATATCCTAACAGCATCCATCGCAAGCATATCTCATCAAGAACCAAGAATCAAGGAGTCAAAATAATAAATACATAAGAAACGCCATGTACCCATGAAGACAGAACCACCCCAACTCCCATACCCCCATCCATCCATCTCATTCACATCATACAATCATACAAATGCATAAACATCCTAACATCTTAACATCTTACAACTTACATCTCACATCTTAGCCAACTCCTCATCCCCCAAATCATCCATATGGACTCTCGCCCACGGACTTCTCCTCCTAAGTCCTCGTCCATATCTGCCCAATACATATGGAATAGGCATGAGCAAGATCGCTGCAAATCCCAATACACTACCCGCCCAATGCACACCCAGCGCGTTGAACATCTGGGTTCCGAATAGCGGGAATGTACCACCGATCATATTGCGCGCGAAACAGACACCCGCTAGCGCACTAGCGGCGTAGACTTTGTACGTATCTTCAATGTACATGAAGGTCATTTGGATAATGGTGTAGAAAGACCATCCGTAGAAGACAGAGGCGATCATGGGGACGATCCAGTGAATATGGCCTGGTTGAGCGGACCAGGCGAACCAGAAGAGGGAAATGGGGTAGACGACGGAACCGACCATGCTGAGTTGGACGCGAGCCTCGGGGATATTTTTGATAGTGCCGTCTGCGGCGGTGACGCGTCGGATGTAGTATCGTTCTTGCCACATGTGGGTTATGGGGCCGATGAGGGCGCCGACGCAAACGCCTAGGTTGGCGAGACCGGTTTCGATGGTGTTGAAGCCGTAGCCGTCGGAGAAGACGACGGTGAAGGCGCCGTTGAAGAGGAATGCGATGCCGAAGAGATAGCCGTTGTATGTGGCTGTGAAGAGAATGACGGGTTCAGTGAAGAGGAGATGGAATGGACGAGTGAGAGCGGTAGCGAAAACTTGAGTGGCAGGCTGCGTGCGCATTTCGAGTGGGACGTCGAGATTTTGATTGCCCGTTTCTTTGCGTAGACGAGCTGCGCGACGACGGAGGATCACAGAGTGTCGAGTCTCGTTGAGTGATAGTGAGAGGCACAGAAGGAGAAAAAAGGCGCCAGTGGCTCCGCACATGGCCCAAAGAACACCGTGGAGTCCGTGCAGCTGTGCGATGAACGAAAAGACGAAGACTCCACTTGCTGATCCTCCGGCCGATGTTATAGTGTAGATCGCCAAGGGCATACCGGTGTGTTCGTGATGGAACATATCGGCGATTGTTCCTCCAATGTTGGCTGCGAGTTGTTAGAGGAGGCTTTTATAATATGCTGGAGAGTTAGTGTACTTACTGATTGATGCAGAAGCAAAGAATCCCGTGATGAATCTTAGGACTACAAATCCGGGGAGATTGTCGACCAATGCAGTGCCCAACAAAAGCAAGGTAGTAATGAAGAAATTGGCAAGGTACACAGGAGTGCGTCCATAGTACTCGCTGAGAGGTGCCAAAAGCATAGGTCCGAATCCCAAACCAAGGACATAGATAACCAAAGGAAGCGTAGCGACTTCAGCTGAAGTGCCGAATTTTTGCTGAAAGTTGGGGATCGCTGGCGAATAACCTGAGGCTACCCTAGACAAAAACTGTTAGTATTTTGGATGATCGCAAAGGTCTTGGGAATTATTTACCATAGGCAACTAAAATTTGCGATAGTCAAAGATAGAACAATTGACCATTTTCTCCATGATGCCCAGTTGAGCGGATTTTCGGGGTCGTTTGGGGCGAATTCAACTAAATCCGCATCCGTCTGCCCAGTTGTTCGAATGTCATCGTGACGAACATTATTTTCCACCTTTTCGACATCGACGTCGTTTCGGGTGAAAGGAGAAGAATCGTGAATCTCTAACTGTCGTCCCATGATTATGAATTGCCGTTGAGGATAGTGTGCGAATTCGAAATCAGATAAAACCAAGCATTTGCCAAGGTGTCAACGGGCATTGGCGTTTTATAGGGAAAGACACTACCGGTATTTTGCTGTGGAAATTCTCCCAACGTATGAATGTTGTGTAATTCCACGCACGCACCTGATGAAGGAGAGAAACTAATCAAGAAGCGTGAAACCCCACAGGAGCGGATCCTCTGTGCCGGTGGATAAGAAAAAATCCCGCCACTTTACAATTTTGAACTCCCCATGATAGGGAGTAATTGTTCTTATTCGTCAAAATGCCCCATTTTCAAGCTTTTCTCTTCTTTTTTATCACCGATTCAAAGCTCGGGGTTTCGTACTCTCGAAAATCTGGCAGGCTGGCAGTTTTATAGTCTTGGCCGCAGAGAGTTTTATTATGAGTTATTTGCCGTGTATTAAACTATGGAGCTACAAACCCACGGGGAACGAGGTGTGGGGGCTACTAAACTGCGGGAAGCTAGGTTCAAGCATTTTGATTAACTGGTCTAAGTAGCCTCAAGCCCATTTTTCTCCAGCCGGTGTGTTGCATACGCAAATGATTGGTGCGAAAACCTGTAGTGGTTTTAAGATCAATGCGCGGATGGACACTCCCATATACCAATTTCGATGTTGAATGCCTACGACCTACCTAAAGACGTGATGAAACGTGATGAAATGTTCGTTGTTTTTGCACAGCTCTGTCTGTATTCAGAGGGAATGCGGGACCCCTAAATTTTACCATTCCAGCATTTGCTCGTCTTTAAGTACTTAAAAGCTGATCTGGCTAAATCTTCAATGAATGGCGAGTCGCGATTAGCCAATCTAGTTTATCCACCACTAATCCTAGAAGTGTGTAAAAACAAAACGTGCAGAGTTCGAAAACACAATTAACATAGAATTCGATAGTAGACCACTTGGTCAAACAAACAGTAAGAGCTCCCTACTGGCGAACTCAAAAACTAGCATTCCAATCTCTAGTTCTACGGTGCTTGAAATTATAAATGAAATTGGAAGGCGAAGCAGATTACTGGATTACATTCAATGCAATACGACAGTAACATCGGCAACCTTTTTTCTCACAGGGGAGAGCCCGGGTTTGAGTCACTTATCAAAGGTTTGGGCAAACACATGACAGCACGTATGCTGCAACCTGGGACCCCACAGAGAGAAAAATTCCTGATCAAGGTACTCCGGATACATGGGCGAAACCTATTCAATGATATCTTGGAAATCGAAATGGAGAGATGGAGAGAATTTCCACAAAGAGTATGATAGTTCCACTCCGAATATCAACCGTTTTCAATCCACACATGGACAAGTGAAAAACTCCGTACTGATTCCGGCCACGACATCCATCAGATTCGATGGGGTTGTATTGGGGAAGCTATCCAGAATCCAACACTCCCACATAACCCACACCGATAGATTAATTCCAAATATTGATGCCAAATATTTAATCGTCATGGAGAGTAGGGATGGGCAATCGACGGTCAATGATCATTGGTAATCCCACATAGTCAGGGGAAATCATACCCGTATTTGTATTGAATTGTGTGACAAGCGAGAATGAATTAATATAATTCTCTCGTTCGTCTACCACTGTGGGAGCACCCTGAACATGATTGTTAGCATTGAAACTTGTTTTCATGTCAGTTTGAACTTCTCTCTCGTACAATCGCACTAGCTACGTGTCAGTATTAACATCTACAACCATTGATTGCATGGCGACCTGCTGTGGTTAAACTAGATCCCTCATTATGGATCGTGCAATATTCTCCGTTACATATCCTGCATCGCAATTGAGTCTTTTGTATACATTCGTGACACTGTGATGCCATTAGCGAAGAAAACCATGATCCCTTCTCATATTATCTCACATTAAGTCCGCAGAAGAAGCAGCTTTTTGAGACGCCGAACTACAAGTTTCCGTTAGTTGATTGTCGAAGAGGTGTGAGAATGCCAAGTTGTCTAAATGTCCACAAGTTCTTGGACATCTAAAGCAACCGAGATACCTTAATGAAATGGACAAATGGAAGGATTGTGACTGGATGAATAGTTTTGGTGAAATTGCTTCAACCTCAATCCCATTGCCTCTAGCGCAGGCATCTCGGCATTTACGAGGCAATTTTTAACACAGAGACCCATATATACCTTGATGATTCCCGGCTCATCCTCCGTCACTGGAGAGCTATTGGTACTACCAGGTCCTTCGTAACAATCCTCGCACCACCACTTGTGACAGGTTTCGCAATATCTGTTTTTTAGACAATCCATGCAGCGAATAATCAGCTTTTTTTGACATGTAGACCCTTCGAATGGTGTTTTTGCAGCCTTGATAGTGGAGGCATGAAGAGGGACGGGGGATAAGAGTGGGAAAAGGACCATAGGCGATACTCCAAAGACTGAGGCATCTTTAGAATTCCCGCAGCTACTACATTCATTTAAAGAACGAGTCGCTACACGCGCATCTATGCGATTTTGCGTACGGTTGTACCAAGGGCCAGGACTGTCACGTGGTAAACTTGCGAAATGACGAGGTCCCTTGCAAGGAAGAGCATCAAAACTGATAATCCCTTCACAGTAGATCATGATATCTGCCCAATCGTTGTGGACGACCTTTGAAAACTCAATCCTACTGCCCGGACGCCAATTTTCACCCTCACGTAGTGTAGTCTCCCCTATAGCATTTTCGGATCTCCGATTCCAGTATGCCCCAAGCTGCGTTCCTGAGGACATCATTCCGTAGTTGGGTATTGTATCTATAGGTGCAATGCCAGCAGGATACTTGTTCACATGCCTTCGAGATTTTACAACTTGTGGAACATCCTTGGAGCCAAAGATATATAGCCCTTGAAGCCGAGGCGTATTCTGCGGCCTTGAAGAGCGACATGCATATTTTAGAGCACCCATCAATTTTGCTTCGTTGAGCGTTGGCACTTCGCGGATAGATAGAAGCCGAACATTGTATGAGTCGTTCAAAATGATTTCGCTCACCAAATCCGAGGGAACAGAGAGTCCATCCAGTATCAGGGTTTGGACATCGAGGAGTAGATTTCGACTGCGGAGGCGATTAAAAATACCTCTCAAAGGACCGCCATAAAAGCTTTGAAGATGTCAATATACAATCTTCTGAGTTAGGAGAGGCAAAGCGAACTCGTCTTCAGTCACATTTTCATCCAATTGTACATTTCTCCAGATCTGTCCACCGTTGTCAATTGATCCAACGTCGGACTTTACCGACTTGACGTCTGAGAGCTTCAAATAACGGAAAACATGTGGAGTTTTATAAATGAGGTCTTGAAAAGATTTTGAGGTAGCTCCCAGAGCTAAAAGAGAAGAAACCGGGAGATGAGGTGTGGTTTGGTAAAGAATCAAAGTATTTGACAGTAATCGAAAGAGAGAGGTTGGCAATTTGTCTTTAGTATGTTGAGATTCGCACTCCATTGAATTACCTATTGAGAATAGAAGCGATGTCCCTTTGTAAGAAAACTAAAGACCTTAGGATGAATCTTTTGAATTGCGATGCAACAAGAATAATCAGAAAGATTAACCAAGGGGAAAAAAGTGAATGCTATAAATGGAACTCACTCGAGGTCATTCATTCTATTAATATTTTATTAGTCAGACATTGAACAATAACTGGTGGGCACACTAGCCACAATTATCGCTGTCATGCCACACTTCTTATCGATAAGAAATGCTAGATGGTCCAGGGATAACATTGACCATACTCCGTAGAAGGATCCAGCATTATCTGACATATCATCATTAATTCACCATCACATTTGTTTCTACAATACCGGGCCACTTCACAAACTCACAGTTCTTTTAATTTTTGATATACAACATCAGCAAAAGAGACGTTATTTTGCACTATCGAGAATAGTCCATCACAGTTTACTTTACAAAAACCTCGCCATACCAGTTTTCTGCTGTCCACGGACAACATGGCGGCGACTCCAGATATCTCTTTGAAATGGTCATCAGTCTATAAAGTTGCCTCAAAAGACAGCATATCTCTGCCTGGTGATAAGATACTGTTACCGCAGTCTGCTCTGGAACAGCTATTAGCAGCATCTACGGTTACGGTCAATTCTAACAGCCGCCCAAATAATGTCGCATTCGATCCATTTAATCCATATTCTTTAGCAGCAGCTCGCATAGAACAGTCGCAATGGAGAGATACTCAACAGCAACTACCTCATCCTCTCACATTTAGGCTCGTCAATTCAAAGAATGGGAATGTGGTACATGCAGGAATCCGAGAGTTCTCTGCAGATGAGGGAGAAGTTGTCCTGAGCCCATTCTTGCTTGAGGCATTGGGAATCTCTGCGCCCACACGAAAATCTACGCCAAGTCCCAAAGTTGAGAGCGAGAGAGGATCCCCTAGTGCGCCTATAGACCTTACAGATAACCCTTCGATTGACCTTACACGCGATGAGACGATAGATCTTACAGATGAAATTGAAGAATCTGCGCAAATCACCGTACATGCGAAACAGCTATCTAAAGGTACATATGTGAGGTTAAGGCCGTTGGAAGCTGGGTATAATCCTGAGGACTGGAAATCGTTACTAGAAAGACATTTGCGGGAAAATTTTACAACTTTAACAAATGGAGAAATATTAACGGTTCGAGGGTCAAAGTCAGAGGAATTTCGATTTTTGATTGACAAACTCGCGCCTGAAGGAGATGGGATTTGTGTTGTTGACACCGATTTAGAGGTCGATATAGAAGCTTTGAATGAGGAACAAGCCCGAGAAACCTTGAAGCAAATCATGGCAAAGGCACAAAAAGCTCCAGGAACGGCCCAAGGAAGTTCTATCGGTGGAGAATTAGACCTATGGAAAGCTTCGCAAGGACAGATTGCTGAAGGAGATTACGTGGATTATACTTTACCTTCATGGGATCGATCAAATGACCTTGAGATTGAGCTGTCGCTCGAGGATGATGGCGATGTGGAGATTTTTATTAGCCCTCAATCAGCTCATCAAAGAGCAAAACCGCGAGAAGATGAGCATGTTTTTGGAGATTTCTCAGAAAATAAAACCAAGAGGCTCGTCATACAACAATCAGACGTGGAATTAATAGGAGCTGATGCAATACTAATTTCCATATACTTCCGAGGGTCTGGAAGTGAGTCATCACAGGGGTTACGGAAATACTCTCTTAGAGTGAAATCGCTTGAGAAAGGGGCAAGCAATGGATCTTCAAGTAATCCAGTTTCGCCCGAAGAAGATACTGAAATGCATGGATCTGATGAGGAGCAATGTAAAAATTGCCATCAATGGGTACCGAAGCGGACAATGATGCTTCATGAAAACTTCTGTCTTCGTAATAATGTCTCATGTCCTCATTGTAACAACGTGTTTCAGAAAAAATCCCAAGAATGGCAGGATCATTGGCATTGTCCTTATGATTCTTCCTACGGAAATACACCAGCAAGCAAAACCAAACACGATTCTGTATTTCACGAATCCCGCCAATGTCCCAATTGTCCCTATGAAGCAACAAATCTCAGAGATCTTGCTACCCATCGTACGTCTGTATGTCCCGGCAAGGTTATTCTTTGTCAATTCTGCCATCTCGAAGTCCCCCAAGAAGGCGACCCCTTCGATCCGTCCCCTGAAAGTCTCATATCTGGGCTCACAGCCCACGAGCTCGCTGATGGAGCTCGAACTACGGAATGTCACCTTTGCAGCAGGATCGTTCGACTTCGCGATATGTCCACGCATCTCAAGCACCACGAACTTGAGAAGAACAATCGATTCAAACCAGACATCTGTAGGAATGTCAACTGTGGTAGAACTTTGGACGGTGTTGGTAAGAACGGGGAAGTAGGAGCAGGTTCGAGGATGGGTCAAGGACCAGGTAATGATTTGGGTCTTTGTAGTATTTGCTTCGGCCCACTATACGCTAGTATGCACGACCCGTTAGGAAAGGCGATGAAGCGTCGTGTGGAACGAAGATACTTGAGCCAAATAATTACGGGATGTGGCAAGAAATGGTGTACAAATCTCTATTGTAAGACTGCAAAGACTAAAGACGCCAATGGGCCCCAGGTGGCATTATCGGTAAAAGATGCACTTCCCCTCATTCAACCATTACTAGCCCAATTAGAGGATAAGACCGAACCAATGTATTTCTGTGTGGATGAAGCAAATCAGAAGAGGAGAAATCTGGCGGAAATGTTGGCCATGGAACCAGGAGGTTGGGATCTAGAGTGGTGTGTTGCGGCTTGCGAAGCAGAAGGTCCAAATCTTGATAAAGTCAGGACATGGTTAAGTAATTGGGCTCCAAGAAAAGCATGATGGATGTTAGATTCTGCTAAGATTTAGTAGGGTTGGCGGGACTGGAGTATAGCATAGCAGTACTGATTGCATAGTAAGGAGTTTTGGTGGATGGGGACGGGACCAATATGATACCATTTTATAGGTCATTTTTATGTATATATATATATAATCTTATAAAAAAAATTATTTAAATAGATGAATAGTCCATAATCTTACATTCAACAATTAATTAGTAAAACAATGAAACTAAAAATCCCCCTCCAAATATCCTTAATATTAACCAGATAAAATTTACATTCGAAGCCTTCGCCAATCAATCCCAAAACTCGAAAAATCCCACATCCATATCCACATCCTTCTCATCTACCTCCTCTAGGATTCCCCTCTCTCTTGACTTCTCCCCAAACACCAAATACACCAAATATCCCCCCCCCGTCTCTTAAATCCTCACTCGAAACACTACATCTCCAACTCATAAATTATTACTCTAGAACAAAAGTTTCCTATCCTATCACTTAAATTCCATTCCGTTCAAATTCCACTATATCGATTGAAGAGGATGGAATGGATGGAATGTAAGATTAGATTACTTGTACTTACAGCTTTTTAAAGCTATAAACTAATCTATTCTAATTTATTCTAATTTACCCTAATTAGTGTGCTAGCTAGCTAGCTAGTTATTTGGTAGTTGAGTTATTCAAGAATCAATAGTTTCTGGATTTGAGAGATAGGTTAGGTTGGGTTGGGTTAGGTTGGGTTGTGTAATGTGTGGAGGTTTTGTGGGTGGTGGGTATGTAGGCTTGTAGGTTTGTACTGTACTAGGTACTAGGTAGGTATATAGGTATATGACTTATTGGGGGTCAGTGAATAGATGGATGGATGGATATATGAATCTAAAAAATTATTTATACACTTAGTATTCACTAATTAATTACAAAACAGAATAATTACTATCCCGCAGGCCTTCGAAGCCGAGCTAGACTAGATAGTTAGTTGATTTGCGAATGGTAATACTAATAAGTATACGGAAATTGATGTAGTTCTTGCCCAGCTCTGCTTTCTGCCTCTTCGTGTAGGAGAGTTAGTTGCTATTGTACTGGAAGAGTATGACTTATTTATTCGGCAATGCCAAATTTTGCTGGCTCTTGCTAGATATTCGGCTATGAGAGATAACTTTATGAATCAGGCTTGTTCAGCTGCAGAGGGAGGAAGTCTTTCATTTGTCCTGTCTATGGATGCAGGTTGGTGGTTCAAAAATAAGATTTAGGTATGATAATGTCACGATTCATCAATTCACGTGACCTAGTGGACCGAAAGGACCGGAGGGTCCCTAGGGTCCTCAACCATGATATGATGTATATAAACATTCATTATTTTCATAGTATAGGAGCTTCGTGCTCAACTTAGTTATCAATTAGTTTACCTACATTCTACTTGATCTAGTAACGAATTCACTTCTAGGTGAATACTAGTGATATAGCCTTAATCCATAACTACTAACTAGATGAAACCTCAGGCAGCCGTTGCCTCCAGTATAGTATCGTTACAGTGGCCCAAAAGTAGGGTACTAGACTTACATCAAGATTTAAGCAGCTCCTAATAATTAACTTCCCAAAGCCAGGTCCTGTATTGAGTAGGTAGTCAGTCTTGGATCTATAGCAATAATAAAAAATCTATCAATCAATAGCCTATTCCCCCTTAATAGAATCGAGGTCTATATAATTATAGATTCGGTAAAGACACTCTCTCATATTTATTTGCACTTGCAGCAGTCAAAAATTGTATATATACCTAGTATTTGGATCTATGTTGCGACTTCGAGAATGCAGTATTTTTATGATCTTATATGAGTATAGATAAGAAAGAGCTGTTATAATTAAGGAGAAACTATGATATATGTACAGAGTGAAAGTGTTCTTTGATGTAAAGGGAGTATATTTATTGATTTAAATCGTCAGGAAGCTTCCATGACTGATAAGAAAAGCAGTAAACGATCTAATAGGTTATGAATGTTGGGGAAATCCAACCTGATATCTTCAATTAACCTAACTTCAATGTAAACAGCATTATTGAGCAGGACATCCACGTCGTCGTACATTTTGAGAGCCTCTTGGACTTTTACATAGAGTTCAACCTGCAAAGCAGTCACTTCAAGCGACATAGTAACTGTACGACATCTTTCAGATATTTGATACGATTCTTAGATCCTTGAACGCTGGCTATAGCTCGGTCTCCTCGAGATAGAATACTAAGAATAAGCTCATCTCCTCGCCGAAACTAGATTACTAGCTCGTGATGAGTCAAGTGAATTGAATTATAACTTTGCTGAGATTTTTCATTCGCAAGATATCATAAAACGATAAGTATAGTTTCTTTGAAATATCAGATGACTGAGATGAATTGTGGAATGCTTGGAGTATTGTTGGCGGAGCCGAGCTTTAAGCTCAGGGGATGTATGTATTTGGGCTACACGGCAATATTATGTGCATTAAAATAAGTATGGTTGAAGCTGCTATGAATAGTTGGTTTGCAAGAGGTAGGTAACGGTTATACAGTAGCCATAACCTTACCTCTCTTATGTCGGGTGTGCCCCATGTTTTTGAAAAGTGGTACACAATAACGACTCATTGACTTATTTCAGCCTCTTCACTCCACCATTTCATCTAAAGTTTTCTTCTTTTCCTGGAGCGAAGCGAAAAAGCCTCCACGGCAGTGGCCAAGCGGAGCGTTATTCATTAAACCTTGATCAATTTTTCTAGTTCAATACTGTATATTCGATTAATATAGGAAGGACTGTTCTAACTCGAGTAGCTTGATCAATGGCATTAAACCTGCCGAGCTTTTCAAGTAGAACCATATGCATAGACACACAGAAAACACCCAACGAAAACATAACCATCCGATTGTGTAGCCATCAAACGAAAAGCAACAGGTCAACCGGGAGATTCTCGGGAATTAAGCACCCCATTATCAATATCTTAGTTCGGACAGAAGTACCGCGAAAGCGTGCCAAGGAAACACAACCCCGCAAACTCGAGCAGATCTACAACTTCTGACTAAAAACAAACAGAAATTTCTCATGCGGAGAGCTCCATAATACTCGTACAGTACGAGTATCTACCTAGGTAAGTTACGTTACGTTACTCTGTACAAAAGTTGAACCGACAGTCGGAGTCTAATGTCCATGCAATTATCCGCTTTATAATGAATGTATGAATGAATGAATGAATGAATGACCACTGACGTGCATGGTCTGGCCTGATATGAATACTAGGAATTGACGATTCGACGAATAACGATGATTCCTATCATGGTATACTTTTCACTTTCCTCTTTTGAGTCAGGTTGGTCGCTTGATACAGGTATGATGATCTCATGCGCCGGTGATTGCATACTATACTATACTAAAACCTGCATGCTTGTGCAGTGAATTGAGAGGGGATCGTGGGGTAGATAAATATTAGTATCTCGTTCCTGGTAAACCGATGATGGCCCAGACTTTTATGTAAATAGGAGGGGATCTCTTCAAAGTTTGATTGTATCAATTCTTTAGAACTTTGAACGTGGATGAGTGAGAAGTAAGATTTTATCTTCCTCAATCTTCTTTCTATCAATTCTCCCAAGTCTAGTCCGTTCAATTCAAAGAAAGATTCTAGAGAGTCCTGAAATCACCATGAAGGTCTCCTCTAATCACCTCGCCGCTGGGATTGCATTCTTGCTCTCTCCAGCTCACGCACAATGTCCGGATTATTCACAATATTCAATGACACAGCATGCACCGCTCAGCAGCGGAAAATACGCTCTATCATGGATGCGACCAGAGCCCGCATGTCGAACCTTCAACTCCTCGATCGTCGAGCAAACCATCAACGATATGAAATCCGTCATCGCAGATCCAGATCTCTACCGCATATTCCAAAATTCCTATCCCAATTCCCTAGATACAGCCGTCAAATGGAGAGGCTATGCGGCCAATAATTCAGAAGAGGAATTAACCTTTTTGATCACGGGTGATATCGATGCCATGTGGCTTCGAGATTCGGCAAATCAGATGCAGAGTTACTTGCCATTGTTGACGAAGAATTCCTCTCATGATTCTCTGGCGAGTCTCTATCGAGGTGTGATCAATCTCCAAGCACGCTACATTATCGAAGCACCATACTGTAATTCCTTCCAAGCACCAACCGAGAGTGGAATTGCGCCTCAACAAAACCAGCCCAAGCCAGATAACTTTTCGCCTCCAAAATCCACAGATGTCGTCTTCGAATGTAAATACGAATTGGACTCCTTGGCGGCATTTTTAGAAATCTCTTCTGATTACTATGATGCCACGGGTGATGTATCGTTTTTCCAGAAATTCAACTGGGTTAGTGCGATTGAGACGATCCTTTCTACCACCGAAGCCATGTTGATCGGAACGTATTCTGCAAATGGCAGTGTGAACGCAAGTCCATACACATGGCAACGAGAAACCGTCAGCGCAACGGAAACACTCGCCAATACTGGAGCTGGAAATCCCGTCCAAGAAGGTACTGGATTAGTGCGTTCAGCATTTCGACCTAGTGACGATGCGTAAGTATTCCCTTCCTCCTCATAAGAAATCCAAGATGCAAAAACTCACATATATCAATCGTCATAGAACCATCTATCAACTTTTCATTCCCGCAAACATGATGTTTTCCCGCTATTTAGAATCATGCAGTAAAATCATGGCGAACATCTACGGACAACAAGATCTCGCAACGCACATGCACGATTTTGCGAGTAGTATTCGAGCTGCCATTACTAAATATGGTATTGTACATGATCCCATTTACGGACAAGTATACGCGTACGAAGTCGATGGATTTGGTTCCTGTAAGTTTACTTTTCTTTTTCATGTCGTGGATTTTGAGTATGATGATGATTCTAATATGCTATAGCAAATCGAATGGATGATGCCAATATCCCCTCTCTTTTATCAGCGCCTTTCTTGGGTTATCTAAATGTAAACGATACCATATATCAAAATACACGTAAATTTATCCTCTCAAAAAACAACCCCTATTTCATGCGCGGTCCCGTTATTAACGCGTAAGTTTCCCCTTCCCCCTCCTCATCCTCCTCCTCCCTCCCCTCTTTCTCTCCTCCCCTCTTTCTCAACTAACACCCCTCCCCCCCTAGTATCGGCGGCCCCCACGTCGGCCCCGGCCACGCCTGGCCCATGGCAAGTATAATCCGCATCCTGACAACCTCAGACCCGGACGAAATCTACAGCACTCTCAAAGAAATAGTCACTAGTACGGATGGATTGGGTTTAATACATGAATCGATTAATTCGTTTGATCAGCATGAGTGGAGTCGTCAGTGGTTTAGTTGGGCGAATGGATTGTTTGGACAGATGATTTTGGATTTGCAGAGGAGGGGGGGAGAGGTGGGTGAGGTTTTGGGGAGGAGTTTTCAGTAGGTTTGTGGGGAGGTCGGGAGGTGGGTGGATGGGTGGATGGGTGGGGGTTTAGTAGGTGGGATGGGGATGGGGATTGGGATTTGGGATTTGGGATTTTAATTGGGTTTGGGTTTGAGAGGTGAAGGGGTTTGGGCAGGTGGATGAGAGGAGGAAGCATGAAATAATGAATGAATGAGTGAATTCATGGATTCATGGATAAATGGATTAGCGAGACATGGAAATACGTCTTAAGGGTTATTAGGTAATAGGTAATTGGATTAATTTGCACGTCACTCACTCACTCACTCACCTCACTCTTTTACTTAAGATATGTAATGCAACTCTTGAATCTGAAAACGAAACAAAACAAACAAAACTGGAGAATCATTTGATATGACATGCCGCCAAAGTACATTAATTAGTAGGACGTGATTGAAATGCTTTTGTGTCTTTACCACAAACATACATTCGGTTTTGAAGTGATGATATAATAGCATTTGAAACCCAGTCAACATCACAAACATCACAAACACCACCAATAAAATATTTGCTAAGAAATCATTCATTGAAAAGCAGAGTTAAAGTCTATCTGTAAAGCAGCTCGTAAAAACAAAATCCCATATTTTTATCTTCCCTTGCCTTTTCTCCTACTACTCCCACTACCACTAACAGGTCTCCTTGCAATCACTCGCTCTCGTTCAGGCTCTCGTCCCTCTCGTAAAACTGGTACTCCCCTTCCTAGCTCATCGCTTGAATCAGATCCCTCGCTGCTATCTGGAATTGTTATCACCTCGTTTCCTCCCCTAGGAGAAGTACGATGTCTGAGAGAAGAATCAGAAGGGATCCTATCGGCGGTAGGATAGCCTTGTGGTGAGCTACGTGTAACGGAAGTATAGGAGACATCAGCAGGACCTGGATAATTACGACGACTCGAGGATGATTGTGTGTACTGTTGCGAAACGGACAGAGGCTGATCAGCGGTAACCTGGTAATCAAAGAGATCAGCGACATTGTATTGAGAAGAAAGAGATGTCCGTTTGTTGTTGGTAGGATTCCAGCTTTCCTCTTCTGGCAAAGAACGACGATGACTGTTGGTATGAGGGGAAGTAGGCCGTGTGCCGTCAGAGAAATGTCGACTCATACCTGGGGTTGAATTGCCACCACGCCGTGGTGATGAACGAGAACGAGATGTGTCCCTATCCAAAGGACGGTAACCACCAATTGGAGTATACGAAGGTCCCTGTGGTCCATCAACAATGATTCCAGGTCCTGCAGAGGGACTATGGTGCGAGGAACTGCCAGATTTTCTTGTCGATTGCCTTTTCCTTGGTTCACTGGTTGGTTTCGGGTCCAAAAGAGAAGCAATATCAACAGTTTTTCGATCGCTGCGTCGTTTCTTTTCCGCTCCACTTCCACTAGATCCTTTTTCTTTCCGGGCGGCTTTCGCGGCAGCAGCAGCTTGCATACGAATCCGTCGGCGTTCCAAGGCATCAAGTTCTTCTTGAGTGAGTTTCACATCTTGTCTTCCTTTTTCTTGCGCACGTCGAATACGAGCCAAAGCAGCTTGTACTACTGCTTCCTCTTTGTCCCCTCGTAAAGCCAATTGTCTGTCATTACCCTCTTGGTAATCAGAATCTTCAGAGTCGGAATCGGACTCGGAAGATCGCTCGGCCTCATCATAAGAATAACCCCTTCTAGGCCTCGTGTTTGAAATATCTATACCCGTAAAATGCAGTGGATCGCTTGCAAATCGTTTCTCGCCCAAACTTAACCCCACTCCTTCTGTATCACCCTCACTATCAAGCTCCTCAACACGCGACTGCTGCCAATGCCCTTGATCCTGCTCCCACTGTCTTCTCCTCCTACTCCCCTTCGCCCCTGATGGTCTTCCCCATTGGGGCATAGATTTGGGAGATCGCGGCCGACCGTCTAGACCGCCTCCCCGGAAAAAGCCTCATCGATTGGTTTATCCATGAATGAGGCATGTCCTATGATGCTAACTCCACTTGCTCCAATGAGCCAGAGGAGAGTTGTGAATGGTGACGCAATGATTCCGAGAGGAACTGCGACGATTAAGAGACCAGTGTAAAGTTGCGAGGATGTAGCCTGGAAGCCAGCAATGTTTAAGTCTTGACCCTCGAGTTTTCCAATCGCCCACATACCCCCAACGGCGAGGATGATGTCGAATAAGAGTAGAAGATTGGTGAGCAAACTGTAGATACTAAGCATAACAAATAATGCAAAGTAGTTGCTGGCGAAGTGCCCAAGGTTGTAGTTAACTCTGGATTGAACTTCACCAAAGTTTGCCGGCTTGGAGAGGCGCTTGAAGTCGAAGAACTCATTTACAGGCTTAAGGTTGGCAAATCTGGTGGATAGAGATTGCGCTCGCACACCAGAAAATCTGTCGGACAGATTAAATCTGGACGCGATAACGTCGAAGGGGATATTGATCCGTGACATTGTGACGTTGAGAATGATGCAAATGCGCGAAGAAAGTTTGATGGACGTAAAGAGTTTAAGTCCCAGATGGCGAAATGCTGTTCAAGATTCTTGTATTTTCGACTTTGTCGAAGAAGGTTAAGTAGGAGGATCGGGAAGGGGGGAAATGGTTCTTTTCCTCTTAGCCTGCCTTTTGTTTTGGAGATCTGTCAATATAAATAAAGTTCTGGTCAGCATTCGTCATCACAATAGGCAGAAGATAATAATCTCGAACCGGAAAGAATTGTACGGAGTCAATTGGTTATGATAGAGAGACTTACGGTGAATCGCGTATGAGTGAATGAAGATTTAATGGGTAGATCTTTTTGATAGTTGGTTGATCTTGTTGTTGTTTTTGTTTGAAGTTGTTGGAACTCTTGTGATAAATTTATCCCTTTAACAAACAAACGAACGATTGGCCCCTTGCACCCCTAAAAGCCCCAGCAAAGAGCTCCCGGGGGAGATTAAGGAATTTGAAAAGGCTCAATAAAGAAGTCCGGGCGTTCAGCCAGGGGTAATGAGGGATCTGAAACACATGCAGCTTCGAGAAGTTCTCTATTACTTCTGAGGTAGAAGAAGAAGAAGATCAAGAAGAAAAAGAAGGAGAGAAGAAGGCGAATATATAAAAGTTCAAGCGGGATCCAAGCGGAGCAATAAGTACGGTGTAGTACAGAGATTTATATGGGTGCGGTGAAAGGCTTTGGGTAATCGGCAGGTTTTAGTTGGGACCATGGCATGGCTTACGGAGTTCCCTACCGAGAACTTGCAAAGGGCGGGAAGAGGAAAGAGCACAGGCAGAGAATGAAGTATAAAACCGTGGACTTGCATAATGCATGAAGCTATTCAGCTGTTCCTGTTCATCATTGGAAACAGCAAGGCAAAACAACAAGGTAATCCCATACATAAACCATACATACCCATGCATAAATATATAGCCATACATAAATACATTGCCATACATCCAAATGAACATCTTGTATTGACCTATTGGATTGTCGGAAAATTGATTATTAAGCAACAGAACCATCACCCAATAGCAGAGTGACCTACCTACACCTACCAAACTTCATGTCAATTCTTTGATGCGCACCACCTAGTACCTACAGAATAATCATAAATTCAGAGGAATAAATATCAGTAGCAGTATATATAATATATATATATTATATATCATACTCATTACTTTACATGAAAAATACATTATTTTTAATCAATAATCAATTATCTGCGTACCAATGTTCTCAAAATACCCCTCTGTCCCTTGGAAAAAGGCTCTAATCCACAAGTCCAGAACTAAGAAATTTAAGCGGTGCCTTAGTTATCCTTACCGAATAAACCTCGCTGTCATCTATTTCAAGAAAGTAGGATAGTATAAATAGCAGAAGGAACACATCTTCGGTGTGCCTCTCCTTTTTGACCCTTTTCAATTCTTCTTCATTTCGGCAAGATGAGAGGATCTTTCTATACCTTTGCCATATTGGCCTGCCTTTTGGCACTTGTCGCAGCATGGAGCAAAGAAGGTGAGTTGGTTTCTACAGTCTATCAATATTCCACATTTCTGCCCAATTCAACACCTTGCGTCTTCTACTCCTTGAAATGTATCAATTGGCTCATTCATAGCAAATTATAGATCAGGAAATCTTTCGTCTGCAAAACGAAGTTGCTACCCATGATGGAGATGAGGTTACGTTTTATGATCTCCTCGACATTAAATCATCCGCCAGCCAAGAGGAAATCAGAGCTGCATACAAAAAGAAGTCTCGTACTCAACATCCAGATAAAGTCAAAGCTCAATTCATTGCCGATAAATCCACAGGAAAGGACGAAAAGTCCAAGAACAAGAAGCCAGGTGTCAAAGTTTCAAAGGGTCCTTCACAAGCTGAAATCAAGGCACATTACCAACAAGCCAGCGATCGATTCACACGCTTGGGCCTAATAAACAAGATTCTCTTGGGAGAGGGTCGCGCCCGTTACGATCATTTTTTGAAGAATGGATTTCCAAAGTGGAAGGGTACTGGTTACTACTATGCTCGGTTCCGTCCTGGTTTTGGCTCTGTGCTTGTGGGACTCTTCATCTTCGTTGGAGGTGGTGGACATTACCTGGCCCTATACTTGAGCTGGAAAAGACAGCGCGAGTTTGTTGAAAGATATATCTCATTCGCAAGAAATGCTGCATGGGGTGGAAATGCCAATCTTAATGTGCCTGGCCTTGATGGAACCTCAACACCTGGAACAGATACCGATGCTGATGCAGATCTTATGGCTCAGCCAATGAACCGAAAACAGAGACGCATGCAGGAGAAGGATGCCAAGAAAGACAAATCTGACAAGAAAGTCAAGAAGGTCAAGGCATCCGCACCTGGAACTCCAACAACTATTACCGGACCAAAGAAGAGGGTAGTTGCTGAAAATGGCAAAGTGCTCATTGTCGATTCGTCCAATAATGTATACTTGGAACAACCTGATGAGGATGGTAAAATGCGAGAATATTTGCTTGACGTAAGTTGATCTCTGCATGTTCTGGAAACATTTCACTAATACGATTTAGCTTGACGAGCTTCCTGCCCCTACCATGAGAGAAACTGCTCTTTTCCGCCTACCAACCTTTACTTTCAACCAAACGATTGGTCGTTTCTTGAACAAAACTCCAGTCGAGGAAGAACATGAAGAGACAGAAGAAGTATCCAGCAGCTCCGGTGCCGATGACTTTGAAGTTCTCGAGAAAGTCAAGACAACTGCAACAAATGGCAATGGGAAAGCAACAAGAAGAAATAAGAAGAATGGTCGATGAAACATGGGAATATTTTTGGGTAGACGTTGTAACAAAATATTTGTAGTTTAGAAAAAAGTTCCATCATATTTGAATTTAAGAGACATAAGCTTCAGTAGCCATGAAGTCAATGGCTGGTTGTGAAGTTCTCACCACATGATGCTTGGGTGTATAGCCTTTGCTACGTCCAGAGATGGTGACCAGTTAACAAGTACACATGATCTCCAGGTAAAATCACCAACATAGTAACATTCACAATGAGGAAGCAGCTAGTTGAGTCAGCATGACCCTTCCATTGGTGGGCCTACTGTGGGAAAAAGCAGCAGCTGGGCCTCGATTCTTCCACGTGAAAATAGTCCCCGCGGACTTCCTTACACTTCATAAATCTATTCAATCCCAAATTTGTTAATCTTAGAGCGATATGCTTGGCATTGCGGAGTTGATATTATGCTTCTACTGGTTATCCTTCATACATCAAAGGATATCATGTGTCTCCTTCATGTTTGTCAGGTCATGTTTGAAGGGCTTTTGCTTGGATTCAACCAAGCAAAGAAAGTAATGCATTTACTGTACGGCAGACAAGCTTCTGCAGCTCTAGTGGTTCCATTCTATAACGTTCTTGATGTCCTCTATATTCATACTTAGTGAAATCCCTCAGTTCTTACTCTCTTTTTGTTGACTTATATCAATTCACCAAAAGGGTTGAGGCTCTGAAGGGGAAAAAAGCATGTGCTTTTCTTTTATTGATATTTAAGCGAGAGCGAAAGGGGTGGTCAATAAGTCTCAATAAGGTACTCAATAGATTACTTCTTTTGTCGTTGAAGTCACGAGATTTCCACTCTTTATTATATCTTCATACAGTCTGTATCTGGATCCTTTGAAATCTGAACAGGTTCTCTACTAGTGTAAGAAAAGTCTTCGGGGTCTAGAAAATAATTTTTCTGTAAGGTAAGTGAATATGGTGAGAACGCTAATAAATAAATGTAGATGGGTTTTGGTCAACAAGGTATGAGCACTGCACATGGGATGAGACGGGATTCATGCTTAATTGGTCATAAGTTGAAATTTTAATCTCACTTTACCGAGGCAAGGTACCGCATGCACATCTTGCAAACAGACTGGAGATTGCTTCTCCCAACCCTGTAATGATCTATTGGTATTGAGCAACAGCTCTTATCATCATGTCTAAACCACAACAGGAATATAAAATTACCTCCCTTCAACCGTAATTGTTCCCAAAACCTTTGTCGCCGCGAGCCCTTCTCTTTTCTCGCTTCCAAATCTATTGAGACCCTCAATAGGAAAAACTCCTCCTAGATTCTCAATAGAAACACTTTCCTTCAAAGCTTCTTTGGACAGCAGCTGCGGAGTTCTCCGCTTCTTCCTCTTGTTGATACTGAAAAACGCAAAGTCCAATCATCTATAAATCACGTCAACTTCGATGCTTTTGACATGATCTCTTTTCTCCCTTCCCTTACCCATATTCAATCTTTGAGATTTTAAGAACTACACTCACTACTACAATACCTTTACCTTCAATCTACATTCATTATGAAGTTCACAAACGCAATTGCTCTCGCTATCTTGGCTGCTACCGCCACCGCCGTCGCTATTCCTGAGCCATGGTGCGGAAGGTAAGTTATTTCTTCTCCCCCTTCGATATATCTTTTACAGGAACATTCATGCTAACATATACTTTTAGACCCGGTCAACCATGCAAGCGTGAGGCCGTCGCCGTCGCTGCCCCCATCCCAGAACCATGGTGCGGACGTCCCGGACAACCATGCAAACGTGATGCCGAACCATGGTGCGGACGCCCAGGCCAACCATGCAAGCGCGAGGCTCTCCCTGAAGCCTGGTGCGGACGTCCCGGTCAACCATGCAAGCGTACTCCTCTCGCTGAAGCCGAGGCCGAAGCTTGGTGCGGACGCCCTGGTCAACCTTGCCGCAAGAACAAGCGTGCTGCTGAGGCGTTAGCTGAGGCTTTCGCCGAGCCAGCCGCTGAGGCTGATGTTGATGAGGCCGTTATCAAGAGATGCAACATGGTTGGTGGTGCTTGCTTCGAGGCTAAGAGACTCGCTAGAGATCTTGCTGAGGCTACTGCTGAGACCAAGAGGGATGCTGATGCTTTCCTTGAGGGACTCAACATTGAATCCCGTGAGGGTATGTTATATTTTTTCTCTTTTCTCTTTTTTCTTCTCTCCCTTTCTTCTTATACTCTTCTTATGAAATATCTGCTAACATAACCCCTAGTTTCTGAGATCGTCGCTCGCGAGGCAGAAGCCTGGTGTGGACGTCCCGGACAACCATGCAAACGCAACGCCGAAGCCTGGTGCGGACGCCCCGGACAACCCTGCAAACGTGACGCCGAACCATGGTGCGGACGCCCCGGCCAACCATGCAAAGAGAAGCGCGAAGCCGACCCCGAAGCTGAAGCCTGGTGCGGCCGTCCCGGTCAACCTTGCCGTGCTGTTCGTCGTGCCGCCGAAGCTATGGCTGAGGCGCTCGCTGAGCCCACTGCTGAGGCATGGTGCGGACGTCCTGGTCAACCTTGTAAGAGAGAAGCTCTTGCGGAGGCAGAGGCAAATGCTGAGGCATGGTGCGGTCGTCCCGGTCAACCTTGTCGCAAGGCTAAGAGAGATGCATTCGCTTTGGCTTATGCTGCTGATGTTGTGCTTGCGCAATTGTAAGCAGTTGTCTACATAGCATCTGCGGGAATCGCGCCAATACTCGACTTACTTGATGATGATGAAATGCAGCTTATGGATTTTCCGTCTCGTTTCTTCAATTTTCTAGTCGATAGATTACTCTACTCTACATTACGGCGATTCAACCACACATTTCTTAGACACACGCACGCATACTTTCGACTTCAACTTTTTGCATTTCTTTTCGTCTCGTCTCGTCTCGTCTCGTTCGGTACTTACGCCTATACAGAGCAGACCACAAACACAAATAGCGCTAGACTTTTGCGCCTACAACACACCAAAACTTCAATTCATGTTATATTTGTATTTTTTTTTTTCAAAAACATTACAAATTTTTGACAAACTCGGAATTTATACTTGTATTAAAAAAAAGAAAACGATATAACCTTTTTTTCTTTCACTTCTATGCCGTCGTCATATTATTTGATAGGCAGATAGATGGGTATCGCTTTAGGATATCATATCTTTTCGACAAATTATGGGTTTAGGGATCTTTTAAAAGCGTGGCTGAAAAAAAAGGATTTCTTAACTTTTTTTAAACACTTTTTATCAATATTATAAGATAAGATAAGATATAGAGGTTGGATACTGCAGGGACGGGATCCCGTGCTGGAACTTTTTTTTCTATTGGGAAGAGAGAGAGAAAGAGGATTCAGGTATGGGATTTATGTCGTTGGTGGTGTTTATTTTTTGTATATTTTTACTTTTTTCTTATTTTACATACATACTTACATACTTGCCATACTTGTGTATGCGGGGGGAAATGGGATGACATGGTTTTGATAAGGTTGAGTGCGGATTGCGAATTGCGAATTGCTGGTTGTAAAAGTGGTTTGTGGTTCGTTCTTGGCTTCGGATTTATGTCATTTTAGTTTATTATTACTTTTTCCCCCTATTGATGGGTTTTTGGGTGTTTGGTGTGAGGTTTTGGTGATGGTGATGATGGTGATGATTTGTGTTGTGAGGGTGCAGGTGTGTGTTGTGATGTGATGTGAAATTATGGTATGGTATGAGTACTCCTCACTTGATTATTTCGCCTCTGCGGATACGGATTTTTTTTTGAAGGGGGGGAAATGGAACCAATGACCTGCTCACTAATTGCCCTTCTTTGTCTTGAATAATTGTCTGCTTCACTGAACTTCACAAATACTAATTTCCGATCATTTCCTCCGAGCATTGGAAGTCCAATAATCCAATTGTTAGTTTCGAATTTCGAATTAGGTGGCACTTATTATACTTATTCAAAACCCGTCGGAGCCTCTTTCGACTGATATTCTTACTGGATCTCGCTAGGATTTTGGTCTTTATTTTTCCCTGAGTCCTGCTCGAGCTGTGGGTGCTTATGCTTGATAAAATTACGTTTTGCACAATCCTAGGGTGGAAAAATCGTTTTCTCTATCTACTTACCTAGGTACCTAGGTATATGTGTTGAAAATGAGTGAATCGAGGAGTGAAGATATGTGAATTGAATCTTCTAATCATATCTTCCAAAATATTAAGTTAAGTGAATGACTTCTCATTAACTGTTGGCCTAGGGAATATTGTGATCTCCCTCCTTAATCACATCCCGAGGCTGAAAATAATTACCGAACCCATTGACTACCTAGGTATTCAAAGAGATGCAATGCTTCTCTAGAGAAGCAGACCTTATAATTTGACGCACTCAAATCCAATGCTTGGAGTTACTACTGATCGATATCTTCGCATTGTGTATATATTTTATCCCTTGAATGATGTTGTATGGATAACTGGTCTAAGTGTTACACTCATTGCGCGTCGACATGTTTTTCTAGTACATTAGTTGGGGGCTAGTTCTCAAAGACTTGACGTGTTCAGAGGGAAGGAAGAAGGCAGAGAGCTGGAATGGATTTGACGAACGAATTCCCTTTGGTCAAAAGGAATTGGTAAAGAAGGACTATGGATTGTTCCTATGTGATCATCGTAAATATGATTCATACTACTACTTTGAACCTTACATTGTGGGTTATTAAATCAATCAACGTGTTCAAATTTTTCAGATACTAGCTAGCAGCAGGTTTCTGAGCATCTACCATCTGACACCCAACAATCTACAACCGTCATCCCAAACTCAAATCCTAAATAGTCTGCAAAGCAAACATCCTCCCCATATCTCTTCTCTATCAAAATTCAAAAATCCAAAACTAAAATAGAAAAACTGTATTAGGGTCCCAACCAACTTCTATTCTCATAGCAGATATTAGGAATACATAGAAAGACTGTACAAACTGTCCCCGTGTCCCGCATTAGCAGACTTTGATTAATGGCGCAGGTAGAGTCGTTTACCACTGCACCACAGAATATGTTCGGTGAGAGGGGTGCAAGAATTTAAAGATATAACTGAGAGGAGTATGCCCACTATTAATCGCCAAGGTGGTAAGTCTCCCATTGTTTGGAGGTAAATGGCGAGCCAGTAAAGTTCTAGATGACCTTCACTATTTCTACAAGGCAATTCTACACTCATGATATCCTTCGTGCGGAGGAGCTAGATTATCCACTGGTAAGTTCCCTGTGGGCTAGCCTTCATGAATTTAGGACTCTTGAAGATGTTTTTGGTAGTGAAACAGGACATCGAGGACGAATTGACATTTGTCAAGATGTTGACGTTGTTCATGCAGATGGTATAATCCCCTAGGATCTTACAAAAAAAATGTATCTGGTTGTTTGCTGGAGCTTTGCGGAAGGAGTATTCGCTGTAATCATTCATGATTCGCCAAGGGGGGAGGATTCGGTAGCGGTAAGTGGTAGGCTGCTAGGAAGACAAACAAGTCGTTGTTTGGTCATATGATTTCAAACTTCCTTGCCCCGATTTGTATGCAGTCGCTCTTGAATCTGCGATTAGCCCCTAAAGAAATCTGGAAAAGCTACAGTTCTGAGATTGGATAGTAAAATAAGGAATGTTACTCGCTAATACCACTAAAACTTCGCTTTCTCTGATAGATATTAGTACGTTCATCTTGTGTCTACCGTAGATTTCGAGGCTATAAAGCGAGTCTCACATACAGATTGGTTTTCTTAGAACGCATAATTATCTCCGAAATATCTCAAGGTAATGTCTTGCATACATCCATAGCCGTTGCAGGCAATTAAGAATCATTGTCTCATGAATGAGTACTCGTGAAAGACTCGAGTTACCACCTGGGGCAGAAGCTAATCTGAAATGTGCTGGATTTGCCCAATTGCAAAGTTTAGCAAATCACTATTTCATAATCACTGAGAAGGATACATCGATTATACAATAAACGCATGGGAAAAGTCAAGTGTCGAAGAATGAACGTGGAGTTCATACCACCTAACATCATAAGGATATCGATAAGAATGCCTATAGAAATCAGGTGCTTATTGAAGCTTGAAAATTGTGTATATTCAAAGCACTCGCTTGAGCGGTTGACATCACATTCGGCATTCCAGTTTAAACATAATATCTCATGCATTTGGTTGTATCTTTCAATCATAGGGCATTTAAATTTTTACACAGAAATGGTTCATTAGACTTGACTGTGAAAGGCTGACGTCATGAAGGTAGGATAGTCATCAGAAATGAAAAATCTGGAAAGAGTGCTCAGCGCAAAATCCAAGAGGCAGTAAATGATGTAACTTGATCGCCTTCCAGGAACTTGTGACAGAATACATTTCATTGTAAATTACACAGGTCATATTGCCTCAGCACGTGGGCCTCGACCAGTCCAACCAGTTTTGTTTGATTCCATTAGCCCCCGAGACTTAAATTCTTCCCTAATGACCTTCAATCTTCCAACATTTCGTTCCTTATCTACTGGCGTAATGCGTTTTCTGAATACACTAACGTTTGGTAAGGATAGTAGTTCTTCATTTTGTTTTAAGGCTTTGTTCAGGGTTGGAGGTTTGGGCGGGGTGATGAGATGTTGCAAGAGCTTTTCTGCCGTACTGGAGGAGCTGATAACATTGTCGGGTATTCTTTTACCTATTAGTTGCATTGTGCGTTTTACAACCTGTAAATCATTAGCAAGTGCCCTATCAAATACTTCATGATATGACCTACAGCAAATTTGACCGCTGGGTCTTCGAGAGAGATTTGTAGCCACGAATTTCCCCAAGGTGCGGCCTGTGCCTTAGCCTTGGTCTTCAACGGGTCCACCGGTGAACGGTCCGCTGTAACATCTTCCTCTGATTCAGTAGGAACTCCCTTCTCCGTAGTATCATTAATCTTTGGTGTAGGCCCTGGATGCAAGGGATCTACCGGTGACCTATCGGCAGCAAAATCTTCTTCAGACTGGGTAGGCGAACCCTTTTCTGTGGTTTCGTCAATCGAGGAAGTTGCAACAAGGCGAGCTTTACGTCTTTGTTTGCCTTTTTTGGGGGGCGCCAATGATTTGATTATCTGTTCTAAGGAACCATTTCCTGGGAACTGTAGGATAGCACCCGATCCCGAAGGATTGATTTGTACATTCCCAGTAAAATCTTCACTAGGCTCAGTCTGGGAAATTTCCGACAAAGGTCTTCTAGCTTGTTTTAGGGCGAAAACTTCGACAATAGCACGATGTAATGCTGTCGCCGCTTCTACAGAATCTTTGATCTTTGGAATGAAAAGTTTGTATGGATAGTTGGAATCCAGCTCAGCGCCCCAAGATCCTTCGTAGCCACCAATCGTTTCTAACCCTAATCCATTCTCTGCTGGTTCATAATCGTAGGCATCCTCAGCTGATATTCTCTCCTTCCTTTCAAACTCTGGTTCCCTTTCTTGTGCTGATAGCTGACTAGGGCCAGTATAGGGATCTGAAGATGTGGAGGGGCCTTGCTTGAACAGGCTTCGTCGCACTCGCTCCCCAAGTGATTCTTTGTCTGCCCGTAAAGAAGTCGAGAATGAAGAGGTCTGGTTTTTGCATGCTGAGCAACGGTATGTATTTGAATTTTGTGAGATAGGCCGGGTACGTATGAGGCCAATTGACCTATCTATTCTTGTTATTCGACGCATTGTATGTGGATTGTTTGCTGGAAGTGAAATGAGGCTCTTTAGATATCTCTTTGAGCTTGAACTTTTTGGATCGAAACGAGCTAGTCTGTAAAGGCACTAGCGTATTTCGATTCCCACCTAGAATCTATGACTGGGGAAGAGCTTCATCTTATCGCCTTATGATTGTGGTAAACAACTTCAATGGGATATCAATTGTGACAAATCGAGACACCTTTTTCGTTGGATGATGCGATCAACTTTTCTCTTGCGCATTAACAGATATTTCACCAATATATGAGTAACCTAAGTACCAATTCAAAGCGCTTGACACATCCCTAAATAACAAAAATGAGGGGCATATACTTCTTGCTTATATTGTGTACGTTAGTTCTTTCAACAGTAGCAGCTTGTAAGTATATGTCACATATTGTTGATTTCTCTAACCACTAATTGTCTATACAGCACCTCCATCTTTTTGCAAATGTACCTGCTTTACGAATAGCACCATCATTCCCTTGTCTTCTCATTCAAGCTCTTCATCTGATAAATCAGACTCGAAACACGACTCCCGTGCTCCAGCAGCGACATGTACTATGTGCAATCGCGCATTCTGTCTCGCTCAGCGACTACCGATATGTAAAGAGGCCGAAGAGAAAGATGTATTTACAACATGCTTTCAGCGAGATAGCAGAAAGGATCAGATCGTAGTCCTGACATTCATTGCTGGTACTTTAGGCTTGCTTGGTTGGGCAGCGGTGAGAAAAGTTGTTGATAAAAGAAAAGGCTTAAACGTTGGAATTGGGGACGCGCAAGCAGGATATACTCCCGTTGGAGTTAGATGATCACACCGTCGGTAGATCAAAACGTCGAGGAGAACTACTTAAGTATGCATAGTTTGAGGGAAGAAGGCATTTTCCTTCAACATTTGCCATATTTTCAAATATTTTTGGCTTGTGACGGATTCAGCATACGAAAAAAAGTGCCAGGTGCCAATTGCCAATATATTTCGATCATATGAAAACGGCCTTGAACGATACAATCAAGACCCAACGCAGACATTGAATCCTCACATCGGCCTTTTCAACCCATCTGGCGTGGAAAGTACGATTTTGAAGCTTTTGCTCATGGACTGGATCCCAGACAGACTGGGAAGGAACAATGGGAAGCACTCAATTCATGAATACCGTGTTCTTTCAATTCAAGACTTGCACACACTATACTTCACATCCAAACACCATCCATTCACCATCATCATATCGAATAATTATACATTTTTGGCCTCTTCCTTTTCACTTAAGCTTTGCATCTAATACCCCGTACTCGGTTGCATCCAGAACTCTCCAACACGGCCGAAATATGTCAGAGCAGTTTCCCGTCGAACCGTTCATATATTTTATCGAAAGATTTCGCGCTGCGATGGTGGCTCTGCTGCAAGGAATCGTTCCCCTAGACTCTCTTTTGGAGTCTGTGGATAAAATCATATGGCACGCACTTAGAGAGAACAAGCAGGATTATACCAGTATTATTTTGCAGGCAGTATTCCAAACCATGGGTGTTTCCCAGGAGCAGAAAAATAGGTTTATTCGGCATGCCGGATGGGCCAACCATATGTGGAACGTGAATGGCACATATCATAACTCTCGCGAAGCTGTTAAATTTTCACCCACCAAGCCCATTTATCAAAGCGATTCATGGCACCAAAGGCAGGAAGATTCTTTGGAAAACTGGACGAGACCTTTTGCTGTTCAGCATAACAACATCGAGCAAAGACAACTAGCATATCTCTCCAACACTGTTCCACAACCACATAACAGTTATTTGGAAACGGGGAAATATCCGAAGCACCTCCACTGCGCAGTCACACCGGAGGTTGCAGCGATGTATGTTTCTGAGGTCACAGAGACTCCCCCATCAAATTCATCAAGCCCTCTATCCCACACGATTAAATCGAGCGTATCAAGGCATACACGTGAGCAGGATGGATTGGAACGGACAAGTGAGCTCAAGCAAAGTCCCCAGCGAGGAATTCTCAAAGAACCCCACTGTTCTGTACATTGGAAAGAAACACCAAGTCCGAAGGAATCTAGCAATTTATTCAACCGTGGCCATAATAGAGTTCTTGAGACAGTTAATCATGCAAAGCCTCGAAAGGATTCAGTTCTACAACAAGAGCAAATACTACCCAATCCATTTCGCAATGACCTGTGCAATTCTTCAGGGATAATCGATCCACATCTCATATTCCTTGACGTCCAATACAAAAGGCCTAAATCAACACAAGTTAATGGTCGTGAAGAGCTTTGGTAGCCAGCAGAAATGGTGCATCGACTTATCCAAATTACAAGGCACCAACTCATATATCTTTCTCGGCAATCAATGAACGATATACAACCTGGAATCATTTTTATTCCACATTACACCTTGTTAACAGATTCCGGACCTCCCATTACTAAGCCTTCAACATCAACTTTCCCCGACAACTATGTCGGTCTATCTTCGTCCATGTCAGATCTGTCCGCCTGGAAGAATTTGATCCGCACCAGTGGAACGGCTCATGAGGCGTCACAGGCCTATCTTGCCAACTACAGCAATATTTCAAGGAAGATAGAAAGGCTTTGGTTATCTTTCAATTTCTCATGTAGCAAGAGTGATTGTTGATTGGTGTTGGTTTCATATTTAAAGGTTGGCACAACCCGTGGGAGGAAACATTGAGGTGTTTTATGGAGAAGTATCAATAATCTTATTTTTTTAGTTGCTTTCGCAGGTGGAGCATGGGCTTATAAATCATCATGTTTGTCGTTTCAGCACCTTGTGTCCTTCCTGACGTGCCTAACTTCGCTCATCCAGCGGCACCTCCTCGCCCGCCGCCTCTTTTCTAGCCTCCCAATCTGTGATAGCAAGCATACACCATTCCAGTCTTTTCTTCCTTCTGTCCTCATCACTCACTGCTTTCTTAACCCGGTTGTTTGTTGTCGCCGTGATATAATCGGTAGATTGATGATACTCCGGCTCACACTCTGGACATCCATACCCTGCATTTATGACTGTGCGTTTGAGTATCGATGCGCAAAGTGTGGTTTGAGATTTTTGTTGGGAATCCAGTGGAGGAGGAAGTGATAGATTATGGATTTCCTGCGGACAAGTCGCTATGGTTTGGTTGGATGAAGTGAAAGAGCTCGCACCAGAGGATTTAGATGGGATGATGCGAGTTGCGTGGTGAAGAGATGTTGTAACGTGGTGACATGTTTGATAATAGGTGTTGACTAATTCGCAGGTACATGTTTTGGATGCAGTTGTCATGTTTGGGTGGTTAATTTCTTGAAATCTCTTATGGATTTGTAGAGATTAGGCTCTGTACTGTTATTATTCTGATAGCTGGTCAAAGAATCGATCATGTCCGTTTTCGGGAAATTCTGGGACTGCATTAGATTCGTTTGGTTGATGGGAACAATGCCTTTGTGAATATGGTTTTTCTGCTTTTGGCTACTTTGTTCTCGAATCTGTATTTTTATATTCATGGAGAAGATGATAGAGACTCTAATGATATGATTTGGGATGAGAATTAATTAACCCCCTTTTAACCACATCGAATACTTTGTAACATTGTATGTCTCTAGTACTGTTTTTAATAAATCAGGTAATTTATTAGAGAGCATCATTATCCCATGTTGACCGACGAGAGAGATTGTTAGAGGAAGGTTACCTTGTCTACATTAAATTCCGCCCATGTGCATATGCACAGAGGCCTTGTGCACAAGGTCTCAGATTACCCCTCGATGAAAAAGGTAACTATTATTATGAAATATACTTCCTAAGTAGCTATGAGATGCAGGCGATGTGACACCGGTAGTACAGAATATTGAAATTCTAATGAAATCCAAAGCAGTCCTAGAGCGAAGCCAAAAGAGCCTCCATGGCAGTGGCCTAGCGGAGCGTCATACAGACAGGAGGGGACATTTGATTGATGGTATTCATGCATTGCCCATCATTCTTAGTGCATAGCGCGAAATCTCAACCTCCGAAGGTCAATTAATGTGAAGTTCAAATTTCTATATAATAGAATATAAAATCTTACATCTGATAATATTCATGAATTATATATCTTTTTTTAAACTCACATATTTCCGAAGGTCGAATAAAGTGAAACAAAAAAAGAAAGTGAAGCGTGAAATTCCGCTCCGTGATAAACCGATTCCACAAGCCGTTTCCTAATTAGGCAAAGGCTGATTATCTCCAGCCGGGTTAAACTTCTACCTTTTCACGGGTATTCTGACCTACTGAATATTTACGGCTTTCTTAACACAACCTACCAAAATTCTTCAATATTCTCTAATTTCAAGATGCTGGCAAGAAACTCCGTCAGGTCGGCGCAAGTATGTGAATTTGTTAAAGAATTCTCAATTGCATATTCTTAGTTCCAACTCATTTCTGTGTCTATGTCTGTCACAAGCTAATATTAACTTCTTATCAGAGTCTTTTGCGAACCGCTCACGTCGCTCCCACTAGAACCTTCGCAACTGTTCAATCCGACATTTTCAAGCCTACAAAGTATGGTGGAAAATATACTGTTACTTTAATTCCTGGTGATGGTATTGGAGCCGAGGTTGCCGAGTCCGTAAAGACAATTTTCAAAGCAGACAATGTGCCAGTCGAGTGGGAACAGGTTGATGTGTCTGGTGTTGAGACAGGAGACAAACACTCCGAGGATCTTTTCCGGGAGTCAATAGCATCCTTGAAGAGAAATAAGCTTGGTCTTAAGGGTATCTTGCACACTCCTGTCGAGAGATCCGGTCACCAATCTTTCAACGTCGCACTTAGACAAGAACTCGATATTTACGCATCCATCGTCCTCATCAAGAATATTCCAGGTTACAAGACTCGCCACGAGAATGTCGATCTCTGCATTATTCGTGAGAACACTGAGGGAGAATACTCTGGATTAGAACATCAATCTGTTCCAGGTGTTGTTGAATCTCTCAAGATCATTACCCGCGCCAAGTCTGAGAGAATTGCGAAATTCGCATTCAGCTTTGCTCTTGCCAACAACCGCAAAAAGGTTACCTGTATCCACAAGGCCAACATCATGAAGCTTGCCGATGGTCTTTTCCGTAAAACCTTCAACGATGTTGCTAAGGACTACCCCACTTTGGAGACCAACGATATGATTGTCGACAATGCGTCTATGCAATGTGTATCCCGACCACAACAATTCGATGTCATGGTTATGCCTAACTTGTATGGAGGAATTTTGTCCAACGTTGGTGCTGCTTTGGTCGGTGGTCCAGGTCTTGTTCCTGGATGCAACATGGGACGTGAGGTTGCTGTTTTCGAGCCTGGTTGCCGTCACGTTGGTTTGGATATCAAGGGCAAGGACCAAGCTAACCCAACTGCTATGCTCCTCTCTGGTTCCATGCTTTTGAGACATCTTGGTCTTGATGACCATGCTAACAGAATTTCCAAGGCTGTCTACGATGTTATTGCTGAAGGGTAAGAGATACCGAAATCCCGAGTTACAAGTCTACATAAACTAATATTTTTATAGAGCCGTAAGAACCCGTGATATGGGCGGAAACAGCTCAACTAACCAGTTCACCCGTGCTGTTTTGGATAAGATGGAGTCGGCTGCATAAATTGTGGATAGACTGTAAAAAGAATACCCTAGATATGGATGGAGGTGTAGATTAACGGGTTGAAGTGCATACAAAATTCATTATATCCACAATTTTACTTTGACTTTGGGGTGATTCCTTGTCATTTTTATTGTATTTTTTCCTATACATACGAAGCTATCAAACTGTTTGAGGTGATTTTCATTTCAGAAAACAGAACTATTCCACGTCTATTTTTTGATGCGACTCGGAAGCTTTTCGCTCATACCTAGTATAGGTCTGAAATTCCGTTTCTCCTCTCTCCAATCTCTTCTAACCCCTCTTCCACTGCAAATCTTTCTCAGAAATGCAACAGGGATTTCAACCATCCCAAAACCAAATTTAAGCTCTCAACGCGGGAAGGGGAGAGGTGAACTGGCGACAAAAAGCTTTTGAGCCCAGTGGGCCACGGGAGTTTTGGCATTCACTCCTCTCCCTTCCCTCCTCCCCGCCCAGTAACAAGAATTAATCAAAGAAACTGACGCTCCGCTGGCCCTCCGGGGACCACTGCCGTGGTGGCAGGCTAGAGGCTAGAGGATAGATAGTAAGATTTTAGTCTTTCTAGAATCTGGAAGGGATAGGATATTTGCGTACTTCGTCGTTAATTATGTTGGTATGTTGGTATGTGTAGAGACTTATACTAGGCGAGCCAAAAGAGATTTGTTGAAGGTAAGATTTTGGAGGGATTCGATGTTGTTCGTAAATATGAAGTGCGTAGTATTGTTCATTTGGAGTTTGTTATTACATAAATATACTCTTTCATTTGTGTTCAAACTGATATCATTAATAAACACTCCATATCCCATCTCCCCAACGCCATTGCATGCATATACACACACGAATTTCCCCATACCAAACCTTCTAAAAAGCAATGTTTCTTTTCCTACCCGTGTATTTACTCGAATTCTTGACCACTTTTCCTTTCCTCTCCATCTGTTCCTTCTTCCCCAAAATCCATGCCTTACTACCCTTCTTGACCTCTTTCCTGCCCTTCTCTCTATGCTTCCTCCTCGCATCCAATACATCCACTCCATCCATTCCCTTAACTATTCCCGTAATATCCCCATTACTAGTCTCCACATCACCCCCTCCAACCGTCAAAACCAAATACAACTTCGCATTTTTCGTCCCCGGATCATCCTCCAATATTCCCGCCCCAAAACCCGCTTTAATAGCAGCCCCAGTAATCATAGTTCTCTGCTGATCATTCTTCGGATAAAACTGACAAACTGCTCTTCCGCCTCTCTTCAACGAAGCATATAATCCACCAAAAAACCTCGAAAGTCGACCCTCGCTAGACACTTCGCTACTTTCCGCATTACACAACCATTGAATCGCACTAATACTAATCGCAGCATCGAAACTTCCCGCTCGGAATGGTACTCCCTGTCCTATATCGCTTAACATTAAATCGCCCTCGACGTCGCGCTGTAATGCTATGTCTAACATTGATGCGCTGATGTCCATCCCGACCCAGATATGGGGACCGCCTTCTTCTTCGGGGACCGCGGAGAGGATTTCGCCTGAGAGGCCGGAACCGCAGCCGATGTCGAGGAGGAGAGAGGGTGTTTTTAGATCGAGCAGTTCGAGGGCTCGGTTGGTCATGCTGGCTTGGATATTTTGGATTCGGGAGGACGTTGTGTATTTGCGCGCTTCGGTGTCATTGTAGTGGAGGTCTGGGGGGCTGTAGATGTGTTAGGAGGGAATGGTGGTTGTCGCATTGTGTTGAGAGGACGGGAATCTTACAGTGTATCTTCTGGGCGAGACATTTTTGCGAGGAGTGGTTGTGGTTACTTTTCTTTGGATTCTTATTTGTACAAGTGTTAAGTGTCGTTCCCCGAGGTTCAATGCTTGATTTCCTGGTAGTAAAATATGAATTGAGTCGTCACACAAATTTCTCAAATTCTTAATTCTCGATCCAAATCAAAGCGTGCGTGCGATAAGAAGATAAAAAATTCTAGTACTTGTACTACCAAATAAAAATATAGTGCCGAATATTAGCCGACAAAATATCTGGGGTAGGTAAAGAACAGCTAACTAGAACCCCTCCTATCCGCAACTTTCCTTTGAAGAAACAATATGCAGTTCCCATAACATTACATTGCCAGTTTTATCATCATGTGGATCTTACCTATTGTCGGATATCTGGGGGTTGCGGTCGGCTTTGGTTTCCTGACTACTGCTATTGGTAAGTTATATCTATGTTGAAGCTTGGGTTCTAGGGACGCGTCTCCGGATTTTATGGGAAATGTTATGTTATGGTATTTTGGTATTGATGCTAATTGTAATATATGCTATAGCTTCAGGATTATACTATCTCTCCGAGCTCGTCGAAGAACACACGGTTATGGCAAAGCGTTTCTTGACACGAATGATATATGCGATTATTGGGCTCCAGACCCTTCTATGCGTAATCGATGGATTTAGTTTTAAACTAAGCGTCATGAGTATTCTTTCTCATTTGGTCTACTTGGGGAATATGAGGAAATTCCCCGTAGTTCATTTGAGTAATCCTCTATTCCTCATCTCATGCGGTATGCTCTCCTCCCTTTGTTCGCAAACGCAAAAACTAGACGGAATTCTAATAGCCAAGTAGCTCTGGTATTAGTAAATCACTATCTCTGGTTCCGCCATTTCGCAGCTGGTCCTATTAGAACCCCTACTTCCATTTACGATACGTCCGGATATCCGGATTTTACGCAAATAGCTTCGTATTTCGGGTTGTGTGTATGGTTGACGCCGTTTGCACTTTTTGTGTCGTTGTCTGCGAGTGATAATGTGTTGCCGACGATGGGGAGCGAGGAACCGAGTATGCCGGAGGGATCGGGGAAAGTAAAGGGGAAGAGAGAGGGAATTGCGAAAGTTATTATTGATTCGGTTAGGAATGGGATCGCGGAATTGGGCAGGATTGCTGGGTTCTGGAAGGAGGATAGGGGGTTTTGATGGCAAGGTGCCTTTCAATTGTATAATAGCATAGCTGAGATACCAGGTTGCGGCATGAGGAATTGTATGATTTATGGTTGGACTTTGCAAAAGGAGTTTGGGAAGCAGTTGGGTTGCGTAAGCTTGTGAATTTTTATCAATTTTAAATATTGTACTGTGCTAATAATGTGCAATATAATAAATCAGCAAGCTCTCTAGGGTATCTTCCGACCAGTTTCCCGAACCAGTTCTCCATCTCTATATGCCCAACGCCCTGAAATAAGTATATGTCCTACAAGTGAGTATGTGTATAGCAATAATGGATAGCAATGTTTAGATGTTATATGTAGTTTTTCTCCTATGACAATATCAGTAAGTACTCTCAAGAAATTGGAACACAGAACACACGAATCTTCAAGTAGCAGACTGGGCATCGGCAAGACTCCTCATAGCATCCAAACGACCAAGGAGAACAGCATTCAATTCTCGAACCATGATCAAAGTGCTGCCCTCGATGACTGCCATGCTGTCGAGAATCTGACGTTCAAGATCTTGACGCCTGGTGTTAAGGGTGGAGAGTTGTTTCCATTGAGCCTTTTGAATTTTGCTTCTATATCATCGTTAATGAAAGGTATAAGAAATCTGCGTATGAAACCAAAACAAGAGTTTGAAAGCTTGAAAGTACAACCAAGAAGACATATTCCATGCAAAATACAAATACAAATAGAAAACCAATATAGCAATTCATCGTTACAGGAACACACCTCTGAGTTTTCCTATTCTCATACAAAACACCAAGCTTCTTCTTGACATCCTTGATGCGCTGAGCCCGCTCATTTTCAATCTTGTTACGCTTTGCATCACGACGTTTTTTCGTCTGGAAATCATCTTGTTAGTTTAGAGAAAAGAGAGAGATGAAAGGAATCAGTACATCGGCCATCATTTGGTTGGCTCTTTGAACAAACTCCATCCCCGTGATTGAATCTTGCGAGGAAACGAGGGACGCTGCGTCGTCGTCCATGTTAAATCGAGGTGACATTATGGATGTATGAGAATGTGAGGTTATAACTTGAAGAAACAAATACTCTTTGCGTGCTGAGATGAGGATGGGAGACTTTTCATGAAGTTGGAGTTTCGAGAATTTTTGAAGTTGAGAATGATGCATCTGAAGTTACAAGCTCCTCAATCCCAGCCAATCAGACACTAGCGCGCCATCCTGGAATCCCTACCCCACTAAAATTAACAGAAAAGTTCCCGACCACTTTTTCGTCGATTTCTCGATATCAGTACCAAAATATCCAAAAGTACTCTTTTTTAATTCTTCACCACCACACCCAATCTTACCGCAAAGATGGGTCTCTCTGCCCCAAAAAAGTATGTTCTCCTTTCTTTATGTCTAAAATCAATCAATTGATTTCTATAATTCACCAACTGACTAACGTTCCTCTAGCAAAATCAAACTTTCTCACGACCCTAATAATACAAAATGGTCTGGCAATACCGACAGTTTCGGCCATCGCATGATGAAATCGCAGGGCTGGACACCTGGCGAGTACCTTGGTGCGAAAGATGCCGCGCACGCCGAATTTCATACCGCAGCAAATGCGTCACATATTCGTGTGGTGATTAAAGATAACAATTTAGGATTGGGTGCGAAAATAGGAAGTGGAGTAGGTCATGGGGAATGTACAGGTTTGGACGTCTTTCAAAATTTACTGGGGAGATTAAATGGAAAGGAAGAGGCGGAGATAGAAAAGGAACAGAAAGGGAGGGAGGATTTGAAGAGGGCCATTTATGCGGAGAGAAAGTGGGGGAGTATTAGATTTGTGAGGGGAGGTGTGTTGGTTGGTGATAAGATTCAGGATTTAATCGATGGAGAGAAGGAGAGAGTTAAGGCTTTGAAGAAGGGAAAGACAGCAGAGAGCAGTAGCGATGACAGTGATTCTAGTTCAGATGAGGAAGAAGAGGAGAAATCCCCGGAACCTGTTACCGAGAAGAAGAAGTCATCGAAACGAAAGAGAGAGGAGCAGGAAGAGGAAGAGAAGACATCCAGCAAGAAAAGTAAAAAGGACAAGAAGAGCAAGAAGAGGAAGAGTGAGGATGAGGACGACAAAGACAAAAGCGAGTCGAAAAAGTCGAAAAAGTCCAAGAAAGATCGCAAATCAAAGTCGAAATCTACTTCCGAATCAGAAACCGAAACTCTAGACGAGGCCGCCATAAAAGCACGCAAGAAGGAAAAGAAAGAGAAGAAACGAAGAGAAAAAGAAGCAGCGACAGCAGGCGCAGATACTGAAGAAACAAGCTCTACCTCCAAATCATCCAAAAAGAATTCCAAGAAAGATAAACACAAATCATCCTCCGCATCCGAATCCTCCACCAAAGAAAGCACACCAACAGTCACAGAAAGTAGCGGAAGATCAACGCCGATGGGTATACGTTCGATAAGAGCTCGACATATTGCACAGAAAAGGATGGCTAGTATGGACGTGGCGAGTTTGAACCAGGTTTGTATTTTCATTATCTTTTCCTTCCGGATTAATTACATTTTATACACAAAGCGGTGATGCTAATCCTTCAATAGATTTTCATGATTAAATCGCAGACGTAATAAAAACAATAGAGGATAGACTACCTACTAGACATGGATGAGATAGAAGGAAGGAAGGGATAGTAGAGGAATTGAATTGAAGTCAAGTGAAGGAGAAGCAAAGTTGTAAATATACCAATTTGTTTAAGAATAGTTTCGTGTAGGTGGAAGAGGAGAAGCGGGTATAGTGAGTTGTAAACTACTCTGTATTATTATCTATAGGTACAGACCATTAGAGTCCTGGCAGGATAGTTAATACAACATCAAAATTCTCTACATAACATGTAAGCTTGCTTTAGCAGGCTGATCTAGGTCTAGTCATATCCATGAAACTAAAAGTATATTTACAAAAGTCACACAAACACCGCAAAGGAGATCAATATTGGATTTGATATGTTTTTAATTCATTCTCCTCATGCCGACGTGAAAGTCCACCGAGAACAGCTAGCTAATTTTTCATGTAAAGTACAATTTTGAAAAAAGGAGAAGGTCGGCTGCGTACAGGCTCAAACGCAAAAGTATCCCATCCCATTTCCATTTCGTTTCATTCATGTAAGCAAGCAAGCCATGCCAAATCACCCTGCCCAGATCCCAGTGAAGTACAAGCGCCAGCAACATAAAGGACTTCATTAATCATCATTCTGGATCGTAACTCATCCATCTTCCACCTCACACATCTGCCCGAGAGCCCCAGTCTGCTCAGTCTTCTTCTCTGTATCCTCTTCTCCGTTAAGATATTCTGAAACCTAGCAAGCCTTGTAGCTAGCTCTTGGCACCTCAACCAAGAAGTAAAACAAACTCCGAGAATGACACGTCCAGCGCACACTCTGATATCCGGTCACCTAATCCTATATTCTTCCATTGCTCGCTCTACTCAGAACTGTAAATATTTGTGTTGCTCCCTCATCATGTCTGTTCAAACCCAATTCTGCAATTCCGACATTCCATATCCATATTTATTGAAGCGAAAGCAATTGCAATTGTTTGCTCGATAGTGGGAAAAGAAATTTCTTTGTTCCCCCGAAGACTGACAAAATAGACGCCAAAGACCGAATGATCCGCTCCTGATCATTCTCATGCTCTTGCTGGAGAAGGACAAAAAGAAAATCCGTCTACGAATACACACCACTCAATCCATGTAGAAATCACCCTTCAATATACGTTCTTGGAAGGCATCTGGCTGCTTTCGAGCAGGCTTCGGTGGGGCAGCTGGAGGGATAGCGGAGGTGGGAGGAGATGGCGCATCACCAATGCTCTTAGCCCGCTCATGCATTGGCACATGAAATCGTTGATTGTTCGGGGGAGACGTGGAGATGATAGGACGTTGGGATTGAGAGACTTGACTCTCTGCACGAGATCTAAGCTGCTCGGACCAGTTGAAACCGCCTTCACCTGGACGAGCAGAAGCAAAGTCAGAAGTAGTTCTGGGTTTTGATTGCGTGCTTGCCTGTTGAGACTGAGTTCTTGGTGGGGTTATTCTACCACCACCGTGAGAACCTGCTGGAATGGGGGATAATGTAGAAGTAGTATAAGAAGATGTTCTACCATTTGAGCCTGGGCTACCATTGCCTGTACGAACAGTTCGAAGTGCTTGCGCACCAAATGAGATACGGCGTGTAAAAGGTGTGGTTGGGGTACCTCTGGCAGGTCCCTCTTCATCATCGATCGCACTCTCATCAATGGATTCGGAAGCCGTGGTTGATACACTGCCGCGCCGACCACCGAAAGGAAATGCGGACTGTGAAGGGGATGCGCCTGATAGACCGAGAGTAGAAATTGACACTCGTCGCTTGTGATCTTGATTTGCGGCTGTGCTAATGGGGCCAGGGAAAGGGCCGACCGGAGCTCCGGCAGATGTACTATTTGATCGGAAGATGTTGGTGAAGGTTTGTGCGGTGATGGAACCACGACGAGGTCTAGAAGAAGGGTCGTTGGGAGGTGTAGTGCTACCGTTGTTACTGTTTGAAGACATGACTGCGTTTAGATTGGAGCTGGAAAGGTATGAAAAGTCTTTGGTGGTTTAGTATCACGGCGGTGAAAGTGATGTTGGGCTTGCTGAGCTTTGACGGATATTGAATGAGAGATTCCTAAGATGACCGTAAGCTGCTCTTTCAGCTTCGGAGTACTGGGAAGAAGGTGAAATGTTTGATATGTATGATGTTGAAGGACCCTTTGTCGTTGGAGAAATCGATCTTTCGCTCTACTTCAAATCGGTACAAACGGAGCTATTCCCAGGATTTCTTTGTTCTTCTCGGGTCTTCGGTGAAGTCACCTATTGGTAACTCTTTTTTTATCGCGTGTGGGGTACAATCTTAGTCTTTGATCTTGGTCTTTCGCGTTTGGAATTTGGGGGAAAATGTAAATTTGAGATTCTACGATGGAGGAGTGAAGTTGGTTGTAAAAAGAGAATTCTAAAGAGAGGGAAAGTTTGAAGGTTATGAGGAGTGAAGAAAAATGTAAAATATAAGGTTGGAGTTCTTATGATTCATTTAAATTGAATGATTAAATTGGAAGAGGGAAAGAGGAAAAAGATAACAAACATTCATAGGTAGAAGAAGAGGGGGAGAGAAGAAGGGATCAACTTTTGAGTAGGGGAAGGGAAGGGACCAATGTGATTCACTCCACATCGTTACATGCATCATCCCGGTCTAGCTTCAGATCGCTAAGGCTTTCCCCGCAAACAAAATCATACTAAAACATGAAACCATTCCTCATTCGTATCTGACTTCGTTCTCTGACAAGGAGCTCTGAGAACCTTGAGAAGCAATAGCTCATCAGCTCATTCAAACACTCGGACTTTGGAAATGTTATTAATTGCTAAATATTCTTTGTAAGTCTTGTTGATTGGTTGATTGATTGATTGATTGATTGATTGGCTGACTTATTAATTGATTTATTACACTTCATTATTATCTATCGAATTTCACTACCAGTACTTTGTTGGATTGCATAGAAGAATAATCAGATGATTAATAATAATAGAGAAAAGAGAGAATGCTACAATTTACATTGGATTAACAAAGAAATCATTCCACATCTAGTGCTCCGTATTACTCAACTACCGATGGTGTGGTGGAGAGTGAAACGCCTAGGTAAAGAGGTAGAGGTACCATTGCGTGATTGTATACAAGTACGATTAATCGTATGAATCTTCGTATGAAAAACATTCATTATGAACTTATTCTGTATCCCTCTCGTGCTTTTTGAAGAGGACATGTTTTACCATTCATCACAGCGGCACCGTCCGAAGCTTATAAGGGTATTATTCTACACGCTTCTACTTATTATCGGGGCTTTGCTTAAGATGGTGTATCAAGTTACTATCAACTATCAAGCTACTATCAAGCTACTATCAAGCTACTATCAAGCTACTACCTCGCACTCATCTAAAAAGTTAGATTTAGTTTTGATTCGTTGGCTTGCTTAGTGTTGGAGATTAACAACCACAAAGAAACCATCGAAAACCTTCCAAGCTTGGACAACCTTACACAACCTTACACAACATCTCGACCTCATTCGAGAATTAACAAGAATCGTTCCCTTTTAACTTTTATTCTCCCTCGTATGATTGGTTCCAGATTCCACATCTGCCGCATGGTATCATTTCAAAATTTACAACATATCCTGGTGGAGCCTTCCCCTAGATTTAAGTGGTTCAGGGAAACATCTTTCACTCCAACTCAAGATAATCTTGCATGCATTTGCTGGTTTCTCATGCCAATCCATAGAGATATTCATACGGAGTACATTATTTCATGTGCTTTCCCATGGATCATGATGGATGATGTGTTAAGCTTTCTTCTTAATTTTGGTTGTGCTCTCAGCCCGGTTGTCACCCAAAGAGATATGTGGGAGGGATGACGAACGATCGACAATTCTATAAACACTGAAGAAAGGAGTACGGAGTTTGAAAACACAAGGAGTTATCCCAACTTTTGTTGAAACAATCGACAAGGAAAGCCCAACGTCTTAATTCATATATATCAAATCATCGATCGACTTATTCTGTGAGATCTTCAGGATCTTCAAAAGACCCTCAAGAAGATCGGTGCTAGAATCCGTCAATGATTGCCATTTTTTGAGGCGGAGCGAGAGTTGTGACGACTCAATTGATCCACCTACTCCGTAGAAGCCATTCGAAGTTCGATGGTGTGCGAGCAAAGTTGTCCCAATAACTTGTGCTATGGCTCCTGATTGCATGAACTCAAATCGATAAGCAAAGCTTCCATTTCTGGAATGCAAGCTTTGGATTCCTCGTTTTCTCGTGGTATTTGTGAGCACAAAGGCTGTTCACAATCATCCAATCATTTTTCGGAAGTATGATAAAACTACTTTGTCCTGAGGATCCCTCTTCAAAGGATTCAAATCAAGATGAAGTCATCAAGGTCTTTTCAATTCAATGATCCTAACTATACTGCTGTGATCATTATCATTTCTCGGCGTTCCATTCTGTTCTGTCCGAGCTTGCATAGAAAGAAAGGTTTGCTTTGTGTCTCTCTTACACGTGATCCGATCACCCAATCATCCACATGACCTGACACTAACCCAAGCTTGAGCCGCCTTGAATGTTCTTTGTCTGTTACACATCTTTTTGTCTCCGAAGTTGAACCTAAAAGTTCGCTTACAATTTTCATGCCAAGTGATCCACGTACGCAGACAAGAAAGTTCTTGGAGGGCTCGCTTTGCATGAATCTTGAGACTATCGGCACATGCATCCTAGCTTAACAAGTGGACTTGAGTGCATTATAAAGATAAATAGTCTAGGAATAGAAACTATCGGAATCATTGCATGAGCTCCGTTGGGTCCATAAGCTATAAAAGTTAAGAGCTAACGTCAAGTTCAGGGTTTCCTCGGCGGTACCCCTTCCTCGAGACATGCCAGGTAGTCTTCTTGGTTGATTCTCCCATGCGTCTTGTGTCTTGTGTCATGTTCATATTCATGTAAAGTCTTCATACTCCATTGATATCGACTCGCTTCTAGCACCGAGTCATTCATATAAGTCAGACTAGCTCAACCAAACATTGCTGTGAGTGTGCTGACGATTGCTTGGGAGATAAGAATTCTTATACCCACTTTTCCATACCCCAGAATCATCAAATTATCTACCTCGCGTATTCACACTTTAATTTGTTGACAGAATCCCCACTCTCAATTCCAACACCTAAAAAAGATCACATTGCTCATCGCTGGCTATGTAAAGTTCAAGTGCTTTATCCTACAACTCAGAACGGGACGATATCCCAACCTCGAGTCTACATTGATCTAAATTTATGGTGTCGATAGAATTAGCTTACAGGCTTAAATAAACAGCCTATGACGTTGCCTTCACGACCAGAGACCAGAGCTTACGAAGACGGCTCAAACTTAATATTCAGTCAAATCGCAAGATGTCGTGTCTTACCCCGCATCAATAGTCACTATTTATTTTGAGGCTTCACGCTCTGATCCGAAAACTCAATACTTCTCCTGATTTGCCGGCAGTTACGGTTATTGGAACTGAAATGCGGGGGTGCTGATCTCAGATTTGCCAACCAATTAGTTATGAATCAATTTAGTCTAAACTCAAGTTTTCCATATCATACACAACAAGTCCTTGTCTAGATTTGATGCTAAATCAATCAAGACATCATCATTTTTGATTATAGATCAAAATATTTGAAAGCTTTGGTTGCTCTTCATTTGTTGGTTGTAGAACGGCATTAACAACGGGATTTTCTTAAGAAGTTGTGGTACAGCTCGGTAGTTCAGCCAATATCCATTTTGAAGATAGTAGTCCCTTAGAATCTGTTACATTTTTGTCGAGTGTATGTACTTTTCTACTGGAAACTGTTTGGAATGTACTTGAAATATTTTTATTCCGAACGATGATATGAAAGAAGAATGCTATCTAGTGAGTTAAGAAGAAGGGCAATATCTAATGATCTAAAAGTAAGAGAAATTCCAGTTCACCGCTAAGAACCTCTCTCCACGGAAAGTAATGCTCAGTATCAAATCAGTAGTCGACGAGTATTGACAAGGTAATGTATGAAACTGAAATAGATAGACCGATTACATCAAGAAAATAAAAAATTCCATCACAGGAAGGAAATCACATTCGCATCTGTAAATCGGCCATCGCTTTCCAACACGAAACAAGAACAAAGCTGATATCGGCTGAAGGGGTAGCTAGACACACAACAAGAAGTATCTTATACACAAGGTGTACATTCTTGAGGAGTTTAAACTGAGCTCATTTGTTCTGGGTAACAGCTTTCTCGAGATATTGTATTGTTCAAGTGGACCGAGAGATTTCAAGGAGGGTATAGACAACGCTGCCAAGTCAAAGCGAAAGGTGTCGAAGTTGACACGGGTTGAACTCCAACCATCTCCTTATCAATCTTCACAATCCTCAACCGAAGCTTGAAACTTTCTCTTTTTCGCCGGCGGTGTTTCGACCATTCCATCACTTGAATCTGAACCAAGAATAGCACCATTCGTAACTCCTTCTTGAACCCCAGAAGCAGAATCAAGAAGATATTCCTTAAACTTCAAATCCATAGCTGCATCAGATGCAACCCATTTATCCGACAATTTCCCCTGCGTTGCTACGAATGTTTTCACAACCGCATTCAATGTGTTTATCGCTTGGTTGTGATTCGCACTTCTCTTTTGCCATAATGATTGTATCGATGCTCGTTGGTCTTTCATTCTTGTATTTTCCTCCTTCAAGTTATTGATTTCTTCAGAGAGCTGTAGAATTTTATCGTCGAATTTGTTAGATTGGTTCAATAATTCGGTATCCTTGCTTTTTACTGTTTCAAGTAATTCCCGAATCGTCCTTTTCGCAACTTCATGTTGCTGAATCTCCCTCTCATATCTCAAATCACAAAACTCTACCTTCTCCAATAAATTCCGAATCGTCCTTTTCGAAACCTCATGTTGCCGAACTTCCCTCTCATATTTCAAATCAGCCCGTTCCACCTTCCCCAATAAATTCTGAATCGTCCTCTTCGAAACCTCATGTTCCTTAACTTCCGCCTCATACTTCACTTCTGCTACTTTCACCTCCGCCACCAACTCCTCCACTCTTCCCCTCATCTCCTCCTGCGTATCTAAAATCGCAGTCTCCTGATCTGCATAAAATCTCAATCGCAAACTCAACTCTTCATTCATTTTCAATTTCCACGCTACGATTATTACATGTACTCGCTCTTCTTTACTACCACAGAATGAACATAGAGATTGCACAGCGAGCTTTTCAAGATGAAGTAGTGCTTCGCTTGGTAGTGAGAATTCGAGATAAGAGAGTAGTGTATTGCGAGATTTGGGGTTATTGAGAGTGCGGAGACAGGAATCGGGTGTGGGGGATGAATGGTTGATTTCCCATTGGCAGTTGGTGGGTGTTTTTATGTTGAGGGTTTGGAAGGCATTCCAGAGTTTTATGGGGGGCATTTTTGGTTTTGGTTTTGGCCTTTGAAATTGCTGAATAGATCGACAGAGATATAAATATATATAATTATATTGAGGTAAAAATTGTAATTGGAATTAACTATTGAAGTAATTAAAAGAAGACAAAGGATAAAGTATAAAGGACAAATAAATAAATCGATAATTACTTTATTTTAATCTTTAAACACTTCGATATTATATATATATGTATTAAAACCACACTCACATCACACTTAATCACATTCACAACTGATATAACCTCTCTTCTTGATCTCAAAAATCAGCGAAACAACTACCCCTCCAACCCCTCCAGCTGCAGCTCCCCCACCAAAATTGAAACTCGAAACTCAAAACCCAAAACTAACTGACAAACTAACGAATAAACTGATAAATGTGCAACGAACAAACCAACAAATGGGCAAATGAACAACGCATCATTATTAACCCCTCCGCACACAGCCTCATAGGTAGGTAGCATAATACCCCCTCCTCATTCATAGCCTACCTCTTAACCTCTTAACCTCATTCATAACCTCATAATCAATCTCACAGCCTCATCTCAATAAACTAAACCCAACCACTAATTACGATAGTTACACAATATTTCCAAAAATAAACCAGAAACGTAACTTCATGATGATTCCCATCTAAATCTATACACTAACCATTAAATACCAACCAACCAACCAACCAACCAACCAAAATTCCAAAACACCATGCAAATCACACCAGGTAAGAGTAGGTCACGTTTCAGGCCTTAAGGGGTTAAAGGTACCAAAATACCTCCTGATTTCATGTAGCTATAATAATAAGCATTTCTTTGGATAAGAATAAACGGTATACTAGAGTATAGTATAGTATAGTGGATTTTTGGGTTGTGAGTTCGTTTCGTGTGTATGTATGCAGTGTATATGTGAATGTGAATGTGAATGTGAATGTGAATGTGAATGTGAATGTGAATGTGAATGTGAATGTGAATGTGAATGTGAATGTGAATGTGAATGTGAATGGGAATGATATTGGGATGGGAAGATACGATATGATATGATACGTTATGTCATTAAGGTTAGTTTAGTTAGTATAAGGTTAAGGAGGTTAAGTAAGGTAAGGTAAGGTAAGGTAAGGTAGGATATGTGGGACATGTACTCCGTTTTGTTTCGTCACTTTGTGACTCGGATGAGTATGTATGTATGTAGGTAAGTTATTAATTAACTCAGTCTTTTTGTATGTTAATTGAGGCTTGTAGGTAGGTAGGTAGGTATCTAATAGTTATTCAGTTGTTGACGTGATGCGCGAGGAGTATTTTAACCTAACTTATCTACGTATACGAGGTGAGGGAAAGAATTGGAGAAGAATGAGCTCGAGATGGGATTGGAGGATGTTGGAAAGGAGAATATTCATTTTACTTTAGAGTGTTAAGATGGAGGGGGGGAAGTTTGATGACGATGATATAGGTTACTACGCTTGGTATGTGAAGCTAATGTTAATTAACTTGTTATTTTATATGTCTATGCTACTTGTGATGATTAATACATAATATAATATAAACTCCACATTCTATAGTTAAACGATAATCTTAATTTCTTCCAAAATCTCAAAAATTCATCGTGTTTTTTGCAACTTCTATACTTGGACATGAGACATAGTCATGAATGATATAAACCCTAACTTCTTGCCGCTTGGCATGCATTTAAACTTCCCACGACCGCAAAACACATGACCGGAGACACAGCATATGAAATCTAATTCAAAGTTAGTTAACACATCTCAATCTCACTATTGAATAACAAAATCAAAGACTTACAGCAAGTAACTTAGCAACTTTATGTTGATCCTCCTCACTAGCATCACTAACCTCCACCATTGTAATAAGTTTCACAGCCGAAGGACCCAAAGGCATAAACATCATTGAGAACCAAAGCATTGGATCTTCTCCAACCCAATCCGTATTTTTGGCCAAATAGTAAATGATTCCCGTAGAAATAACCGGCCAAACTGCAAATCTAACAAAAAGAACATATAAAGTCGTAAACCAGGGTGTACCAATAGCTTGTTTACCTTTACCTTTCTCGGTGGTTTTGGTAACGGCTGAGTAGAGTGAAACTCCCGCACCGACAACTGGCAAAGATACGAAGAGAATGCCAATGTTTTCTAATGATGCAGTGAGCCATGCTGTAAAGATTCCTCCGTCGACTGTTTCGTTGAAGAATGAACGGTGGAGAATAGGTGATAGTCCGACGATTGCACCGGCGACGGCACCAAGTAAAGGTGCGTTTAAAAAGTCGTAGAAGAAGAGGAACCACCATCGAACTCGATCACTAAGTTCAAACCAGCGTCTTCTACTAACAATAGAAGAGGGACGTCTCTCGTATACGATAGCTCGATTTGTGTCTCGAGCAGGAGACGATGTTAAAGAAGCCCGTCTCGACGGAAAGAAAGAGTTAGATCTGCTTGAAATTGCTGGCCTATGACGAGGAGATAGAAGATTGGTGTGTTCGGTAGGGAAATGTAATCCTTCACTCTCTTCTTCACTTTCACCCTCCCTATCCTGTTGTACTTGTTCGAGTGCAGATAAAAGATCTTCTTCTTCAGGTGGATCAATTGCGAATTCTGTATCCATCATACGAGGACCGATGGCAAATGTAAGACAGCTTGACAGAACGGAATAAACAAGAAAATATGATTTTGCCTGTTCGACTGGATTATATCCCGTTCCACCATCTTCTAGTAGTAAAGGATTTAAAAGACCTGTTTGATCTAAAGCTTGGATTAACATCAATGGATAACTCGTCGTATTATTGAACATGATAGTTGCGGTAATCCAATCAGGCATCCCGAAAATGAAATGAGCTCCTGCACCGAGTAGAAATGAAATCGTATGTGTTAAGCATGCCCAGATTAGAATAACATTGTAACGATGTCCTCCACCAGCATGTAATTCTCTGCCAATCTTAACAAATTCTAATGCAGGTAGAAAGAATTTGACCGAGATTTTCGACATCATCTTTGCGGAACGGCTATCGAGAAGTTTCATGTATACTGCTAAAGCACCGTAGAATATCACCAGGAGTACCGCCATACTTGCTTGGAAAGCTGCCACGAGGGATACTGTGAGACTGGAGGCCATGGTTCGAGGATTGAACGATGTGAATGAAGAAAACCATGAATGGAAATGGTTTTGTTCTGTGGTAGATTTTAGAGGAACTTTGACTAGAAGAAATTGTTTTCTTTGAAATAATTCCCCGAAATAGATCTCAATTAGGAAATAGCAAATCTGAATGAAGTAACCACAACGCTTTTCCCTTGCCCAGTTACGACAAATGGGTGGATGTATCGTGTATCGCGACTTCCATCACGAAAGGATCTGATGAACTCCATCGGTCGATTACGTCAATCCATCCCCTCAAGGGAGCAACCTCGACAGAAAGAAGGTAGGAAGAAATTAGATCGAGCTGACCTCCGATTTTGATGCTTTTTGAATCAAATCATTGTAGTGATGCTGCAATACGGCACTTGCATTGCATATTTACCATTTACCATCTTTCATCGTTCTTGAATCTTGGCCACTATTTACCAGGGTCCTGATGAACCAATAAAAACTTTGATTTTAAAAGAAAAAGTGTGAGTAAACGAACACTTGCGTTTGCTTAGAATTGGTCCTTATTACCTGAGGTCGATGTAGAGTTTGAAGGTCGACATGTGCCATATATAGGTTGGGTGGAAGAGATTATGTGTATCAATTGATGACAACTGCTTACCGCTCCCGATTCTGGCCACATTTTAACATTTAACATGAATAGGCTCAGAAGCCCACCCAAAATGCTCCTGGGATTCTCTATGGACACAATCAACTCGATGTGCAACAAAAAAAGTTGGTCACGTGAAATTATAGCACTTAATTAGTGTGAGTTTTCATCCAATGAAATCCATAGAAGCAGATAAGTCCGTACTATGTAACCTAGAGATTTTGTGAAGAACTTCGTATCCCGTGCAGGAAGTATTAGTAGGTATTACCTAGTATTTGAGACTGATTAAATTCAAATTAGTTCTATAGTTCTATTGATAGCTCTCTAGTGAGACTACATAGGACTTCGATACCCCTTGGAGATCTGGTTTCTTGGTCTATTCCACATCGCCTTCTTCTACTCTTATATGGAATAATTCAGCACAATCCATTGTCTGCTTGCAATGTACTACAATGTATACTTTTATCCATTGAATATCTTGACATCACGATTGGAAAACATGAATGTTTTTCAGCTGAATGTAAGAGGGCTGCATTGCGAATCAACCCGTCAAACACACGTACACCGGCAAAAGAGAATTATCCAGCAAATTTGCGGTTCATGATTCACACTGCTTTTAAAAATCTGTCCTGATTCTCAGCTTTTGATATTATCTTCGTCTCGGATTGTCAGGACTGCTCATCAATTTCGAGTAAAAAGAGATAGTCACTGCAAGTGCGGGGTATCACCATGAACGACGATGGAGGACAGCCGCTACCAATTCATTTTCACTCTGTCCATAGAGTGAGATGTGAGGCTCTTGAAAGTTAAAAAAATTGATCATTTCCCAGAATGGTTAGCTGCAAAGCTACGGTTGCTTGTCTTCAAACAATGTCCACAATAGGCTAGTCATCTATTCTATTTAGTTGCTTACCACAGAGTAATTTACAGTTTAATTACTCGTACAGTTATGTAATGATATCAACAGACAAATGTCCATTGAGAATACTTGAAATCCTATCTCCGAATACATATGGGCCGTATTTAATTCAACAGCATAGCACTTGTTATTATCCCATCGAATCCCGAGTTTTGCTTTAACACCGAAGCATCATGGTCAAGCCCCTTAGCCTCTTTGCTATTATCATATGTCTGTACATCCCACTATTATCCGAAACAGGTTCGCAAACACTGCAAACTCCTCAATACTTTTCTTAATTCCTATTGTTGAGTGAATCAAATGATTGATATCACTTAGAAGATCAGGGGAATAACAATGCGGAAAATGAGAGTAAGTCCTCCAGGAACTCCCAAACTATTGCCCTAATAATATTTGCTAAAACCTCTCTGCTAGTGGCCTGGATAGAGGGAGCAGATGAGGATATTGCAAGAACTGTGCAAGATAATATTTGGGTCATTGATACTTGTGATCTTCAAATTGAAGCCGAAGATTGCCTCAAAGTAGAAGCCACCATTGGTCTAGATTTCGTCGTTGGACTCGTCAGTCACACACTGGGAAGTTGGTGTACCGCACATGTAAGGTACGCGCACTTGAGTTTTTCGGGAACTAACAAAGCTGTTGGACTTAAGGCTGCGTATTCTAGCTTCCCGAGTCAATCTTCAAGCGGTAGGCTATTTATTCAATGATTTTCAAATGATGAAGATACTAAATGGTTTATGCTAGAATAGATCTCCCTCAGCCGGTAGAACCATTTTCAACATCGACACAATAGCCAAGAAATTCGCAAATCGCAAGCATCGACGATAGTGTTATGACAAAATCCCCAAGGATTGATAGTGTCTTCGCGACAAGCATCTCCGGGCTCAGCTGTTCGAGGAAAATCATCAGTGTCTTTTGAGTAACCGCATACTGATGAAAACGAAGTTATTGGCGAGCTTCCAATAGTGATACGCTAGAGATAGACGCTAGAAGATGGGGCTCACGAGTGAGAATGCCTTGCTCCTGGTCCGGCAGAGGAAAGAGTGAATAGAATTATCCATTTACCTAGTGATGATCAAGAGCCGAATTAATTGTTTTAGTTCTCGCAGGAAACAATGAAAATACATCCTGTCAAGTCCCTTTTCCTACACTAAGATGTTAGACATTCAATCTCACCCTTTATTACGCGAGTGGCGAAACCCTTGATTATGGTGTAACGTCATCTTAAGACGACTTTAATATCTACATTCTAACATTTGGTCCTCCTGAATATGATGTTTATATTGAACACCCCAGTTTCGATAAAGTACCTGAAATAATAACTTAAATTGGGTGTTTTTATCTGATTATGATATAACTCGCTCTCTTGGAGAGGACCGAAGCTTTCTATAAGAAAAAAAGCCATAGTCGAGAGTTGTATTCGATCTTCGACAAAGTTAAAGTTTTTCTAAGTGGATTTAACATTTGTGATGCTCCGAATAGGATGTACTTTCTATATCATACTATTCGTATATGGTTACTAGCGAGTAGGTGACGGTAGGCAGGCGCCAGAGGGGGAATCAATTCTGGCCCACAGTCACATACCTATATAAGCTCATCTAATTATTCTCGTCAGCTCCGTAAATACACATCGTAAAACTACTTCAATCAATCCTAAAATATTCTTCTCAATAGCATCTCCCTCATGTGCACCCAGGAGATACTGTCTATCAGAACATTCCTTTCCTAACATCAAATCCTTATTAGTAATAATTAGATAGCGGCAACTACAACCATACCATGATTGATGGCCAGTATTAATTCCTGCATCTGCTCTTCCATGACTCATCCGGTAGTTTAAATCCATATACCAATGAACCTGATTGATAATCCCATGGTATTTCTTCCTATACTTACCATGCAAGACTTACCTTGATGTATTTTTGATCTGTGAAATTACAGGTACTTCGTCTCTGAGCTCAAATATTTGGTAATATGGAGAGAGGGTTTATGAGGGTGAAAAGGAGGAGAATTTCTGGTGATCAAAATGATTAAAAAGTTGAGATTCATAAATTTCAGGTCGTGAAATCATGTTCAGACCTCTAATAAGTTCCTAAGCTCATTTTCCCCGTTGCATTATTAGCGGAGAGATGAACTTTTCGATTTTTAGTCTTACAATGGCTAATACTGAGCTAAATTAAGTATATTCAAGGGACTATCGTGATATTTGTCGTGATTCACAATCGAGTTCCCTAGATGTTGTGAATTCGAATTTCGAAATAAGCAGATATTTAATGGATCTATCCATCAAATTTCCCCTTTCAGCTTTTGTTAGAAATTCAACTGCATATTCGCAATTGGAAGTTCTTATCATGCAAGAATACTTGGCTAGCGGAGCTCAGATTTAATTCCACTTACATTTGACGCAAAGACTGAAAGCCGCGAGGCGGTGCTGGACATCTTGATTTCTGAAGGGAACACTTCAAATTTCCAGGGGTGAAAATTCACTAGTGAATTAGAGTATCCGCCTTATTTTAACCTCTCCCTTTTCCGTGTCGTCATTCATTGACAATTCTTCAAATTACTGACCTTATCTTAACTAGGTGATTAAATAAGTATCTAAAAATTAAAAAATAAAACAAAATCAGAAAGCAGGTTGCAGGCTGCAGGCTGCAAATGATATAAATATAGCTTTAGAACGCTGCTCATAGAGACTTTAATAGATGTCTTATATCCATTATCCATGGATAAACGACGAACTGCTCAAGGGCACCGCTCGGTTCCCTGATATGTCATCATCTGAGTAAGTAGAATTTGATTCAGTGCCAACGACTGAGTTTCTTTGCAAAATTTCTTCTATGGCTCCTTAATATATTCATGGATTGTCAGTGAACAGGAATTCTATTAAGAGGGTCATATATATGTAGGCACAGATATATACGAACAAGCTTCAGTCTAAATTGGTAGTCTAAAGTCTATATTATGTTATATTCACCCCCAGCGCTTATTCACAAAGCGGAAGCTCAAAATTAGCAGTCTAAAGTCATGTTATGTTCACTCCCCAGTCCTTGATTCTTAAAGTAAAAGCCCAGACCTTCTACAAATTAGCCTACCTACTTGAACGTTTTCTGAAAAATAACCGCAAGGACAGAAATGATATAAGTAAATATGTTGACCTCCTGGGATCTTGGCAGCATATGCATATATAGTACATATGCATATAAGGAGCAAACAAAAATCAACTTTTAAATTCATTCTTTCCTTTTTGGTATACTGTTTGTTTGCTTTCAATATTTTGATTTCAAAGCACTTTAATTCCGAAGGCCGAATACCCAACCTATTCCTTCATTTTTTGAATATATGCTCGCAGCTTAACTGCTTAGCTAGAGAATAAATAAATTCAATCTGATGCTCTTTCTAGTCTCAAGAAACCCAACAAAATACTATTCGGAAGAGTTTAGAAGACATGCTATTGATTATGAGTTTTCTCCTTTTTACAATGCGAAAGCACTAGCAGGCTAGCGGTAAATGGATGATGTGGTTGGAATCGGGAATGAGGACTGACATTTTAAGGTAGTTTTGCTGGTTTGGAATAGGTGGCGTAGTTAGTTGTGTGATGAGAATGATGAGAATGATGAGAATGATGAGAATGATGAGAATGATGAGAATGATGAGAATGATGAGAATGATGAGAATGATGAGAATGATGAGAATGATGAGAATGATGAGAATGATGAGAATGATGAGAATGATGAGAATGATGAGAATGATGAGAATGATGAGAATGATGAGAATGATGAGAATGATGAGAATGATGAGAATGATGAGAATGATGAGAATGATGAGAATGATGAGAATGATGAGAATGATGAGAATGATGAGAATGATGATAATGATGAGATTGATGAGAATGATGAAAACGTAAATGGAAATTGGGAATTATGGTGGTAAAGATAATGGTTTACAGGAATAGTATATAAAATAATAATAATGACGAAGTGGATAATAATAGAAAAGTTTAATAAGATAATAATTATACTCAAATCAAGAGTAATTAACTTATAAAACTAGGTAAGTAACCTAAGATATTACCCTTAGAGCATTCTCAATCTCTGTACAATGTATGAAGCAAAATTCCTGAACAAATCATTTACTCTAGGCTGTTGTGTAGATTAGAAAGAAGTGGGAGTCTGGGAGTAGAGGTTTTATATGGGTAATTATTCACATTAATATTATCTTTACAATAGATTGGAAAGCAGAGGTGAGTTTGAGATGTAGAAAACGAGAGGATATTCACTCACTTGCAATCCATAAGCTTCCTAATCTCTGATTCGATTACCTGTTTAAAGAAATCATTCGGCAAATCTGAGAAAAGAAAGGAAAACTAGGTAGGATATAAAAAGTACATCTCGATATTAATTTTTGCCCTCCACACCACGACTGCAATCAACTGACAATCTTTTCCGTTATTTTTTCAGCTAGAGTGAGTGCATTTACATAGGATCGGATTAGCAGTGTAGATGGTAAATTTGATATTTCTCTAGGTGTTTAGGGTAACTAAATTCGAACTGATAATGAGTAGGTATTGAGTATATAAATGTTAAGCTTGAGATTGAATTTTGTTGTCATTTTAGTTTTTGAGTTGAAAAAATGATGGGAGGTAAGTGAGATCTTATATGGATAAATAGATAAATAGGTAGGTAACGAAAAATAGAAATCGGAACTTCGACAGCATTAAAAATGGCAAAACGATGAGAAATTTCTCATTAGAGCTAAAACTTTCGGACAATACAGCTAGGCCAGATCTCCAAGCTCTCAGTGATTAATAAGACGTCGATGTGCCTTCTGATATCGAAGAAAAATACTTAATACTAACAGCCAATCCCGATCTCGCTCATGTGGCAAGTCTGTTTCAGTCTTTCCAAAGTTTGTTGCGTATTACTTTAAAAACCTAGGAGATGGTGTCTAAATACCTACTTATTAGAATTTCAAATTAATTGTATCCACTACACTTGAGAATTAACTAGATTACCCCCCTCTCCCCAAGCAATTTGTTAAAATTCATTAGAATCCACTTATTTAATCCTCCCCTTATAATTTTCAATTTCTAAACTCTAAAACCAATGCCTCACTTTGATATTTAAACGACTGTTATGTTACGACGGGTAACATATTTCCGTATCACATGACTAATCACAGGATCAGAGCTATCATGTGACCGGCTCTAATCAATCTAATTAGAGCCACTAGAGCCAGAACACGAAGGTCTATATAATCAAGATGGATTTCCTTTGTATAGAGCTTCGTGCTCAATATCAAGATCAATCATTTAGTATACTCTACTATTAGTTACGAATTGCATTATTGTCGTTACTTTAAGTCCCTGCTTGACGCCTAGTTATAAACCACCTCGAGAGCCTAGAGCACTTCCACGTGATCTAGACGGCAAACCTCGTAACATATCTACCAGTATGAGAAGGGGAGAGTAGACTAATCTACTTGGAATAAATATTACAAAAGATATTTAGTGTAAGATTCCATCTTCAAAAAACATCAAATCATACATCACACATTTAAGACCAAAAAATAATTAACAACGCATTCATATTTTCATATTTTCATATCTCCTTTCTATTTCTTTAAATCATCCATTCCTTCATCTTCCTTTCAATACTTCAAACCACCTCAATCACCAAAAAAGCACCAATCTTTCACTAAAAACTATAAACACAAAAAATAAAAACTCATCCAATCGAGAAAATAACTTCCTCTCCGATCCCTCGATTCGACAGTCTCAAACCGATCAGCGGCGAGAATACAGCAGCAAAAGAGGCCTTTAAAATTTTCCATGCCAGCCAGCCAAGCTAAGTCATCCATCTTTGACCATCAATAAAAAAAGTATAAACTCCAAATTAATCAATCAATCAACCCGTACCAATTCCATCAATAATCATCATAATTAAAGGATCCAAGATGGAGGGAGGATATAGAGATATATCTCCAGGTCATCACAAGTGATAACATTAAACCATTAACATGGATGAATGATGAATCGAGGTATTGATAGGATCAAGAGAAGATATCCAAAAACTCCAGGTAACGAATCAAAAATATGAGGGTATATTTTTTCGTTAATCGATATCGGGAATATTCGTGTAGAAAAAAAAAGCGAACAATGAGTTTGGCGTGAGACATTAAAAAACAAAACTATCATCAAGCCGTAATAGAGGGGTTCGTAAGAAGTGTGAATTATGATGTGATGTCGCATCGAAGATTTCGTAAATGTGACGAGGTATTTTTGGAATGCATTCCTGGAAAAGATCTAGATGATTTTGATAGAGGAATGACGATTAATCAAAAAGTATAATCTCATCTAGACCCCGCATTCTTGTCTTATCATTTGTTCACATGTTTGTTTACAGCAACACTGCAACAACCATAATAAACAACCCCATTACACTATAACTTGCTTGAACACTTGGTGCAGCACCAGTGAAGTTGGTAGGGAATGGAGGGCTGGTCGAAGTTGTAGCTGGGATAATGGTTCCAATTGATCCTGTAGGTACAATAGCCGATGTGTTGTAGGTTGCGTAGGTTGATGTAACGGATGCGATGACTTCAGAAACTGTAATGGTTCGAGTATGAGTGGATGTTGCTGTGAAGGTTGTAGTTGAAGTGATTGATTGTGCGCATACGCAAGCGACAAAGAGGGAAAGCAAAAATGCTGTGAGACGGTGGAACTGCATTGTGTATGTAGTTTATTGAAATGTTCTTGGGTGAGGGTTGAATTTATTGACAAGAAGGTATTTATGTGAGAGGGATATGCGTTCTAGACGTTGAAGATCGAAAGACAACGTAGGAATAGTCTGAGTAGATCGTTGTCTCGAGGAGGTAAGATATATATCAGAAAGATATGAATCAAAGCGCAAGGTCTTGTACTGTTTCGGAGTGAAGTGCTTTGGCTCAATAGACTCAAATATCCAACAATAGAAACAAAGTTGGTTTGGTGAATCGGTAGTATCGAATGATGGTTGGTCAATACAAAAGGTACTTGGGCAAAGATATGATGAACAGATGAATGGTGTTGTCTTTGAGATATACTATTTGATAATGATGTAGACTTTGCCAACGAAGTCTGGTATTTCTGAAGCAAGCTGCAGGTATTGACTGAATGAGAGTGTGTTGTTAGGTAGCAAGAAAGGAGAAGGGAAGAAAGGAAATTTGAAGCGCACGATGAAGAAGATATCTGAGCGAGCGGTTGAGGATGAGTGGGTCCTGGAATTTTTCTGTTTAGGAAGTGACCATGTGGTCCGTGATTGGGAGGTAACGTTATTTTCTTTCCTTCCTCGTTGGATCGAGTGGGTTGACTAGGGGAAGTCGAGAAGCTTAGCCGGGTTAGTTAGGTAGATAGTAGATACTGTGAGAGGATCCTAGATCAAATCAGATTAGACTATGCTGTCAAATCAAAAGTACTTTTCTCCTACTTTTCTCCTATTGTTCATCTCCATTACTCCGTACATACTATGACTGAGTGGGTTTCAGTGGATTTCGTCACGAGCAAGGAAAAAGTAAAGTTTTTGGATAGTTTTTGGTAATACAAATGAAGTAATAATTAGTGAACAGTTAAACAATTTAAACAATCTCCGGACTTTGAATTAATTTCCAACTTTGTACCGCTTCACCGTCTTCTCATCCCCATTGTCATGTTGATAATGTTTCATTTCCCTCCCTATCTCATGGATCCATTCATGAATCCATTCATGAATCCATTCATGAATCATGAAAACGATGATGCTTGGATGAGAACTCATCTTATGATCATCTTTAAACTTCAGTCTTTACCTTTCTCAAAACCCTCGAGCTTCACCTTCACCTTCACTTCCGTCACACTTCATAGACACCATCGGAACTCTTTGATCTCAATCTTTGTCCTACTACCGTACTACCATAGTCAATTCCATCTTACCGTTCATTCATTCAAAGCATTCAAACTTTAATCCCCACAATCAACCGCAATCTTAAAATTTGAACGTGAATACCAGGATTAATCAAGGGTTCGTAATCAAGCTAGTGAGAAGCTAGTAAGGATCATACCGAGACAAATCTCGTTTGATAGGTGCTTCGGAAGCAAGCGAGATTTTAGTCAAGTTTGGTACCTGAGTTAGCGGTTAATCAATGGTTAAATTTTGATCATTTTTTTAATGTCTATCTAGATTCCAATTGAGATTCAGCCTTACTAATTAGAGTGAAGTTGTGAACTAACTGTAAAAGGCGAGTGAAGTCTGAACCTTGTAAAGTGGTAAGCAAATCGTGCCTGACTAGAGTGAAAATGAAAATTTTATTGAGGTATTTTTCATTGCGCATATCGATGTGATTGTATGTACGGAGTATTCGGCCCAACAGCAACAACAAAGAGAGAGAGCTGAACACGTGAAACACCATCATTGGAACAATGCTCCTTTGTTTCGGCATTTCGGGAAAGAATCAAACTCATCCATACGGAGCACATCAGAAAAAACCCACAGAAACAAAAAGAATTGTCTTTGTTGTTCTCTGTCGCTCATCATCGTCAACCTTTACAACACCTCACTCCTACGCCACATGTATGAGTTAACCATTCCGTTCCTTTCCACCGGTCTCTTGCATCCAATACCAGATTCCTACCTTCCTACCTATACACCACAGCAAAGAAAATTTCCGGTCATTGATAAATGACATTTTATCTAAATCCCTACGCGCGCTAATTCATCGTTACTCATCAATTTGCTACCTACCCTTAATTTTCACCTCATCCTCTGCAGAATCTATATTTGCGAGATGAGATAAGATGGCATCAATGTTGAGCGGTTAAATGTTACCATATCAAAGGTACCAAGTCTTTTGGATGCACTGCTGCAGCCTTGGAGATCCTTTAGATTTTAACCAACTGTAATTCCTTATTGGTTGAGATGAGGTCGAGTGGAGATTACAAACCAACCTTTCATTGTAATACCTAAGTATGTACCTACCTTAACCCATACTCGAGTACAGATTTATCAAAATCCTCTTCCTGAATTTTTGACCACCAAATCCATCTGGCGAGACAAAAAGGAATAAGCTTTTCACTCACCAATCAATTCATCTTGAATGATCATCCCTCTGAGGATCAAACAAATCGCATCTCCAAAAAGCTAAGCTTTTAAATTGGAGAAGAAACGTCCGTTTCCTATGCATCCTTCAAATCCATGCTGCGCCATGTCTTTCTTCTAATTCTCCACAATCTTGAATTAATCCCTTTTACACATCCATCTCTAAAACTTTCCATTTTAACTTCCAACTCGTTCATCCAATCCTATCATATCAATCTTTTTCTTCCTCACATCAAACAGATGGTGTCATAATGAGGGGTCTCTCACTTGAGACTATGTCGCACGAGCGTGTGATTGCTCAAACAAATGATGTATCGGAATTTTTTGTCTTCATCTATTGATTCATCTTAAGTCGAGATGAATCTATGAGACTGAGCTACTTTTGTTTAACCCGATGTTTTTTTCTCCCTTGATTGGACATTTGATTCATTTTCCCTTGGATTTTCTAGCATGAGCAAGATGGAAATTTGATGTTCAGCCAAGTGATGTGTTACGCTCTTAACGCACTTATTTGTGGAGTCAAGAACAGGGAAATGAATTTATTGTTTCTTTCCCCATGGGATGATTATGAATGAACCCTCGTTGTTTCACAATCTTTGTTCTACAGACCAGACGGAGATTGTTCAGTTTGGCTCCTCAACCCGGGTCTCCAACGTTAAATTTTGAATGAATCACGTGAAATGTTTAACGTTAACAGAGATAAAGATAAATTGTATTACTTGATCGCGGGGTTTTCAGTATTGTAACATCCATCTCATTTTGAATTTTAATCTGCATCTAAAATGTATAATCTTTTAAATTTTATGCAAATATAGAAGATTAGCAAATCCTATGTACTAGTTTCGTCTTCTTGCTAGATTATGATTTTCGATTGCAAGAAAAATGCCATTGTTCTGTTCTTGACCAGCTCATTTCGTCTTTGTTCTCATTGCACCATCGAATTTGTATTGAAATTGTCCTGACACTATCCTGCATATGCGCGTGCGTCTTTTCACAGGTATTGACAATTGAACAATTATTGAACAGAGGAGTTTGGTTTGTATAAAAGTTACCGAAAGTTTTGGGTCAGTTTGAATTACCAATCCTCAATTCATACAGAAAAATAGAGAAACACTAAACGTCTTATCAAACTTACTCAGTTATCAAATTATCTAGTAAGCTACAAAATCTCATCAAGATGGTGTCTAAAGTTCAAAAAGCGAGTCAGAAGGTGAGTAGCTCGATGGTTATTTGCAGTCTATGTGGAAAAAAAGTACGAGATCAGCACTCTCTAAGTCTTCACAGATTGGCTAATCATTCCGATGAATTTTGGGAGTGTTCAAAGTGTGATGAGACCTTCAAAATCAAGCAAGATCTTTACAAGCACATCCACGAAGTGCATGAAGAGCCCAAGCCAAAGTGCGAAGAGTGTAACAAAAGCTACCTTGACGAGAAGTCATACAAATTACACATGAAGAAATTCCACGGTACTTTTCCATGCTCCTACCCTAAGTGCCATTACAAACTGGATACTTTGGAAAGTCTGAACAAGCATTTGGAGAAGCATCAGAATTTACCCGAATATACGTGCACAATATGTGGATGCGAGCACCGTTCGAAGAGAGGTCTCAAGGTACACATGGAGACTATTCACGAGGATAACAGCTGCAGATGCCTTGTAGAAGGTTGTGATGCAGTGTACGAACATCCATGGGCTTTGAGAGCACATATGACTTCATTCCATGAGGAACAAGCTCATGCAGACACTACTTGCAAAATCTGTGGTCATTGCTCCAAAGGTAACAAAGCCAATTTCGCTAGACATATGAATACAGTTCACTGGTTGGAGCAGTTCAAAGCTGAGTTTGGAAAGGCACGCCAAGATGGAGAAAACGAAGAGGATCTTGAACATCTCGCTGCTCCCACAAAGCTTTCCACCTGCTCTGGGCCCGTTGTCTACGGAGGTCGCTCATGAAGAGCTGATGATATGGCTAGAATGCGAAAATGTAATATTTCTCTAGATGTATCATTAGCTGTATGAATCTACGGCGACACGACGGTAAGGATTTTGGTTTTTTATTTGTTAAATAGTTGAGAACACTTGGATTTCATTTGTTTGAAGATTCGATGAAGTTATTCAATTTCTTTAATTTCAGAAAATATTTCAAAATTCTAAAAAATAATCGTCTTTTCTTTTCTTTTAAATAGTTCTCTTTTCTTTTTTCTCTATGATAATAGAATTAAGTCACTATTTCATTTAATTGGTTTCAGTAAATATTTTAAAATCCAATATTAATATAAAAAATTAAAAAACAAATCTTTCCATTTTCCACTCGTGATTTCTCTACGTGTAATAATTTTCAAATGAATATTAGTTATTTAACGTGAATTTTTATAATTTTGTAAATACCTTTTTTCTTTCCTGTTTTTTCTTGTCTCGATTCTTATATCTTCAATTTATTCTTACCTGTTTCTTTTGCATATCGTATTCTCTGTTTTCATCAAGCTAGAAGATCGCTATATCAGTTGATCGTGTCTTCATTCCATGAAATAAATATTGCTCCAGACTAGTTCGATACATATGTATTGGGGCGAACTGAAGTGATTGATGCTTATTTGTATATGATGAAGTATTTATATACAGCACTTTGAGTAATTGTAATAGCGGGAATAGGATTTTTGACTTTTACTTGGTATGCCTTGATTGGTGTAGTATAGATATTCTGGACTTGGTAAATGATGAGGAACTTTCTAGTGATAATTAGTGGAAAATACTCGATGATTTGCTATCTATCGACTGGGAATGGAGGAGTAGTGATGGGTTATAAAATAGTATTATAATGGGAAGGTTCTTATCTATATTGATGGTTTCTAGTCCTGGTATCTTATGCAATAAGTGTTTATTATTTATAGTTGTGGTGTAAAAAGGTCTTTTCCAGTGAATAAATGCCCTTGTATCTGATGCCTGGTAAAATATAGTTAAGATTACTTTTCCTCGACGTGGGAGAAAGGGGATATAGTTATATATGTTTTTGATAATATAATTAGTAGGTAATTTTACACTGTTAATACAGATAAATTGAACGCAGCACATAATGTGTTTATATCACAAAATACCTGTTACTGATTTAGTTAAATCAAAAATGCTAACTCAATTCAATTAATCAATCATATTGAAAAATCCCCCCCAGATATCTCACCTTATTCTACATCCATCTAATTTCTCACCCATCTCCACCATAATACAAACAACTTAAGAATCCAAATCAATAACCTCAATTTCCTTCTTAACCTCCTTGATCACATCGGGTCTTATCCCCTTCCACTCCAAATCCTCATCTTCAACCTCCCATTCCGCCGCATCATCCGGATCTCCCCGAGTAAATGTACACCCCAAAGCAATTCTCAAATACCACGCTTTCGGCAACGGAATCCCCCCAGCCCAAAGCCCAGGCTGCGTAAGCCCAGGAGGAATACTCCCTCTATCCCCCCAAATCCGTCTCCAAGGATGTTTACCCCCATTGCACAGTTCCGGCGTCCCGTCTTCCGGCAGTGATGCTTTCGTATTAGCATATGAGGGCCGAATGTATTTGAAATCGGAAGCCCGAGCTGCTGCGCCGTCGTCCATGTTAGGTATCATGGGCTCGTAAATCTGCCATATCGGAAAGAGATACGCGTCAAGATGTTCTTGGAATTTCCTCGGTATAGTCCCGATAGATAATCGGATGAATTTGTGAGGTCGGTTGAAATCCCCCCTAATCGTAGGCGCGTAATGACGCTCCGATTGATCGACTTCCGTTCCGGGTCTTTCGATCGCACCGCCCTCTGCTTGGTATGTAAATACTACGAGTAAGATTCCGTAGATATCGGCGGTGATTTGTTGGATATCTTCATGACAGATCGCACAATATGGTATTCCTAATCTTTCTTTCAGATTTAGATTGTTCTTTCCCTTTCGTGTGGTGTTGAGTTCCTGGATGATTTTGTGTCGCGGATGGCTGGGTTCTTCGAGTGCTTGGTTTACATACGTTCTATGTTGGGATTTTACGTGTGGCCAGAATTCCCAGTTGCCGTATATACACCATGCCACTGTGTTCAGACGGATATTTATTAGTAATTATATAAAATAAAATTTCTTCCCCGGCAGGAGCACTGGGAAAGGAGAGGATATACTACGCACCAGCGCGATAATACGAACTCGAAATCATCCACGTAAGATTCTGCACTCCATCGTACTGTTCATCCACCGGAAAACTCCTCACAATATTAAAAGAGATCTCCTCAATCAACGGAAACCCCCTAACATCCCTCTCAACAAAAGGATCCAAAATTTTTCTGTTCACAGTAGCTGTAACCAATTGATATTCCTCCATGCTTTGCTGTAATCGCTGATCCGGTATTTCGTCCATATCGCTGTGTTGGATAATAGGTAGTGGAGGCACTTTTGTCCGTAGAATGTGGATAGCCAGTGGAATACGTCGAATGCGGGGGGGTTGGAGGGGGTTTCGCGTCCGGTTTGGAGGGGTATGTAGTTGCTTATGTCGGTTCCGCGGATGGTTTTTTGGAGGGGACTTTTGCGGTCGAATGTGTAGTGTAGGGGTTAGGTTTTGGACATTTTGATATGGGTAGATGGTTGTTACTTTAATTGGAGGTTTGTGGTTTGAGGTTTGGGTGGAAATGTATTTCTTGATACTGGTTTTCATGCAACACGTTTTGGTCATGGAAGCTATCTATCTATCTCTTCTGTATATTTTCTTCTAATAAAGCAGTCTTTGTTTTTTTTTTCTCCTTTTCTTTCCAACTACAGTCTTTTGACATAAACATTGAAATTGAATAAAGCAAATCCAAGTCCGGTCTCTTTCATATTAGAGACAAAGAGTTGATACCGTCCATAGTAATCTTATTGAGAAAGAATTTTCCCGCAACTATCGAGTTCAGAACTACGCAGCGTAGGTATTCACTTTCTTTGAAGTCCAGATAACTATTCCTGACTTCGATTTATCCTTACCACGATTCTCTGCACGGATTTCTGAAATATTATTAGGTTACTTCCTATTTCGTATATTATTATCATATTATCTGATAGCTCATCCAGCAATATGTACTGCACTGCACTGGATCTTGTGATTTCAAGTTCACTAGTTACGGAGTATTTAATGCATTGATGTATATATATCATAATTATTAGACAAAATACTGAACATTCATTAACCTTATACACTCCAAAAAAAAAAACATGAAATTCTAGTGATAGAGTAAAATCAATATATATGTAAAAAAAAAAAAAAAAAAAAAAAAGTTAAGCAATATCCCGGCATACTTCCTTACCCATTACCCAATAAATCCAAAGAAAATTCTCAGTAACCTAATCATTCATTTTTTATTAAATTTCCACATAAACTCCCTAATTTACCATCTAGGTGGTGGTCTCCCTCCCCCTTTCGCAGCAGGAGGTCTAGCAGGAGGTCTCCCCCAGGCTTGAGTATCCTCACGCCTAACCTCCACCACATCCTCATCCTCATCCTCACTAGAAAGAAGATCAACAGCCTTCGAAGATTGACTCTTTTCCGATGGAACCTCTCTAGTAGTAGATGATTTCCCCGACACTTTCGAATCCCTCCCATGCTCAACAGTCTTCACTTCCTCAACCTCACCGTCTGAACCAAAAAGAAGATCGACAACTGGTGTTGCACTTCTTCTTGCAGGATCTCTGAAGCTTCTTCTTCTAGAAGAAGTGGGATTGGTGGATGGTTTTATAGCGGGGTTTGATGGCTTTGATGGCCTTTGCCTTTCAGGTTTTATTTCTTCGATTTCCTCGTCGGAGCTAGAGAGGAGATCGATAATTGATGATTGTCTTCTTTTAATAGCAGTGGGATTTCTCGTTGCTGGGGCTCGGGGGAGGAGTGGTTCGGGTTTCCAGCTGCGCGTTTTTTTATGGTCTAAGGTTGTTCCGAGACCTTTTGCCAAGTTTTCGGTTGATGGCTGTAAACCCTGTCCCTTGTCTAAGGTCTTTCCCAAACCTTTTGCTAGTTGCTCGTTTGACGCTGCACTCCTTCCCTTGTCTAAGGTCTTCTCCAGACCTTGTGCCAATTGCTCATTTGACGGTGCACTCCTCCCCATGTTCAACTTCCCTTTTAGACCATTTTTAAAGTCCTCATATGAAAGTTGTAAACCCTTACCCTTCCACTTCCCTACCATATCGAATAAGCCTTTTGTCAATTCGTCCTTTGACGGTTTCATGCTCTTCTCCTTGTCCAATGTTCTTTCTAGAACTTTCACAAAATGCCCAGGTGAAAGCTGTACACCTTTCCCTTTCCACTTGGCCAAATTATTCCCTAGTCTTTCCGCAAAGTCTTCATATAAAAGCTTTTCACCCTTCTCCTCCCACTTGTGTAGCGTCCTTTCTAGATCTTTTTGCACTTCCTCATTCAATGACTGTACATTCTTCTCCTCACCCTTGCCTAAAGTCATATCTAGATTTCTCCCCAGTGCCTCATTTGACGGCTGTGCTTTCTCTACCTCTGCTACTTTAGACAACCCTTGCACAGCACTTGCCTCTCTTTCTTTAGCTTGTAACCACCACTTCACTTCCGTCGGGTCATTCTTCCTTTCAGCTGCTTGCCTTTCTCTCCTCATCCATGTGTTGACTAAATCTATATCCAGAGCTTCATCTTTGGTATTAATTCCAAGAACCCTAGTTATGTCCAAATCCCATGGCCCCACATAGACAGGCTGAGCAATTGATGGAGGGATTATAGCTCTGCCACGTCCTCCAGGAGGTCGTTCTTTGGCTCTTCCTGGTTTGGGATTTATTATGACACCATCTGGGAATGGAAATTGTGCCTCGGGGTTTTTGTATGGAATCAATGTTTGATAGTGATTTCTATTGATAATATGGAGGAATATATGCGTTGCGCTGTATTGACCATATAGACCGATGGACTGATGATCTTGTGGTTTTTGTTCCTCCTTTGGTGCATCCTTGGGTATATCTAATTGCTCGTAAAGTGCTATAAAGAGGTTGAAGATATCTGCTGTTACATTGAGAAGATCGGATGATTGCCAAGCCTAAAATATTTTTGGTCAGTACATGTCCATCGTTTCCCTGTCAATGTGAAGATTTAACTTACGTGTGGAGTACTTAATTGTTGCCAAATATTGCTTTTGGTTTTAGAAGTTATATTAGAGTTCAATCTCCAATAAGAGTCATATCTTGGGTGACCAGGATGAGTAAGTACAAATCGGAAGAAATGTAAGTGACAAAGTTTCACCCAATGCCAATACGTAGCCGTCCCATATAAAGCCATGGAAACTGAGACTATTAGCACAAGTTTTTCTAAAATTTAGCAATAGAATATGAAACTTACTAGCACCGAAAAAGCAATCTCCGCTGTCAGGAATTTCCATATCATAAAATTCTTGGTCTCCCATGTATTTTAAATCTTTCACTCTTCTCTTGTTCTTAGGGATTCGCTCGGGCATTAGCCTGACTTCCGGGACGTCATCAAAATTCTTCGGGATACCATCTCTTATTTTTCTGTGCTCATCGGCCTTTGGATCATTTTTCCATCGATGTTCAAAGTTCCCTGGTCCGGGAAATCGATTGCGTAAGGCAGCTATTTCGGGATTTGTAACTCTGGGAGTCGGAGCATCTTGTGGAGATAATGGGAGAATCCCTGGTGCGCGTGCTGGAGGACGAGTTGCTTTTAGCTCTTGAGGCTTTTCCCTATCCTTGCATTTGTCTATGTTTCTGCCAATCTTTGAATCTATCTTTTGCTTCTTCACTGGAATTGATTCTTCATCATCATCTTCTTGATCTGGTGATCGGTCACGTTTCTTTGCTTCAGGTGTTTCACCTCGTTCTCGTTCTCCTTCGAGAGGCAATAATTCTTCTTCATTGTCCCCTGTTCTGGCCGGAGCAGGATGTGGTTGGGAAGGAGCTGGACAAGCTGAACGAGCTGGAGGGGGGGGACGAATAGGTTCATTATGACGTCTCCGGCTGGGTAGTTCACGCCATGGAGCCTTCAATTGATTTCCAGTAAGCCATTGTCTCGGCTCCGTTCGGGGTCGAGCTTTAAACTTTGAGGTTCTAAAATGCTTGCTGAATTTTGTCCATCTCAAAGGTTGGGTCACCTCGGGTCTTTTGTATATGGGACGAGGTACGTTAATGTTAGGATCGCGTCTAAGGACGCGGGCGAGCTCCTCTTCATTCATGATGTTGTAACTGGTTCAAGTTCAGAAAAATTGCATTTACACCAATTGAGGTTTCTTTTTTTATGACTTTGAAAAATCAATTTAATATTCTGGCGATCATAATAATATTTCTATCAATTTTTATGAGGTTGTCATAAGCTCTGATAAAGAGTTCATTGACGTGATTCTCTTTTTTGTCAAAATGGATGCTTTTGACGTTTCGGGGTGTTGAATGGAAAGTTAAACTAGGAAAACAAAGACATTTTTACCGGAATGAGGGTGAGGATACAAAGAGTAAATTTTTGATAATTCTGGACTTTTTGTACAGTAGATAATATGAATGATCTTTTGGAGGAAAATATATTGCTTGAACATGGCGGTAAATGAGGATTGTCGGTCCTTGATAAACGAGAAGGATAAAAGGAGTAGTCGTGGTTTAGTAATAGCGCTTGCTCTTATTGAAATGGATTTTCTCAGAACTGGCAATAATGGTGAATGTATGACATTAAGATTCTAGACGTGTAAACGGTAATCGTATCTGAAGAGGAGATATTATGCATTTACAAAAACGATGTGAGGAACACAGACACGCTCCTTAATCCGAGTAGGGTATAGCCATTTTTCTCATAGACTTTTGTCTTTGTGGCCCAAATAAAACCAAATTTCATGTAAGATCTTAATATGGTTACCAAAGAACGCGGGTTTGGAAGATTCCATATGAAGACCAGGAACTTTTGTTAAATATTGAGCCTCGTTCGTGCATGTAGAACGATCTTCTCCTTAGAGTTAGAAACCTGATCTGTTCTCGCTTCTCTGACTCTATAATCAAGACCTAAGATGTTAGCGTTATTCACCCTTAAAAAAATCAGCTGCCGAGCTCCTGTCATCTCGAGGTGCCATAAAAGAAGTCAGGATGTCATTAAAAGTTACATAGAAGTGAGGAGGAAGCCTTTTAAACCTTTGGGGATCCGTTTGCTCGATCTTGGCTACCGAAACGAACATGCCCATTCGGTTATCGTACTATAGACGCTCATTCAGCACGCTGGATCAACAAATTCTTCTTATTAGTAAGTTACTTGACTGAGTACGAAAATGGTAATAGTACACCATGAACGATACAACTCTCCACCGACGTCAACAATAGAATTCAACGATTATTTGTCTTTCAGATCGCTCAATGTCAATATAAACTTTGCGAATTTCATGCTCAAGCAAGCTTCGAGATCATTGACTGCCAGAGCGGGACAACTAAAACAACATTCAAGCGACAGTAAGTAGAAGGAAGATACTACCGCCACCTAAAAATTCCATAAATGTAAGATCTTATAGTCACACAAGCATCTTTTCGGTAATATACTCCTGCTTCTCTGGCAAAAAATATTTCGACCTCGCAGAGCATCATACATCCTCTGTATATGAGGTGAGCAGCTGTTTATAGTATAAAAACTATTTGAGAACGCTTTAAATAATCAGACTCTTGAAATATTACTTCACCTATGAGATTAATTGGAATTCGTGCTAGATGCAGTCATCATCCATCCATGCATCAGCCATTAATCCTCCCACTCGTTGAGAATACGCTATCATCCATTCCCAACATACTCCGCAGCCTCTAGATTCCCCAATACCTAAGCTCGCAAGCAGGTAATCTTACCAAAGTCTAAATCAAATCACTTGATATCGACAAGAAACGCACCAGTTCAAATGAAACTTTGACGTGCTTTATCATTAAACGAACTACACGCTCTGAATTGGCTCCGAAGACTTACAATGAGAAATTAACGCGATAATTACCAAAATAAAAAACCATCTCATTCACCATTTAATCATGACATTCGAGATAAACGGGCATTTTCTCTTCTCAATGTCTCGTTTCAAATCATTAGATATGATTACTACCAAACCTTACAGAAATATCACACTCCACAACAGTAATAAGATCTTACATTTTTTCAGAACAAAACCGCTGCAAAATAGGAATTAGGATGATAGTAAAAACTGAATGAGTGATCAATCATCCTCAAAATGAAATGAAGATCATGGCAAAACTCACGATCCCCAAGATTCCAATATCCTAATATTCATCTATAGCATGGGACTAATTAACCAAACCACAAACGATTCGGGATATGCACATATGCAGACATCGATATGAAGAAGACTGTAAGTCTATACAGAGAATGAGTAGTTCGTGAATCACGATGATGAGCTCGAGTTGAATCTGTACAGAGTAATATAATCTTACCAAGAAATTTCCAAGCGATACTCCTGTACACCAACCAAGGAGTCCCAAAACAACAAGTACAGTAGTACCCCTATTCCAACAATCCTCAATCCTCACTCCTGATTCTCACCCTCAATTCCTAATCCCGCCTCTCAATTACTCCATTACTCCGCATATATATCTATCATAAACCCAATCCCCATACACACAAGCTCCATACACACCAAAACCACAACTCATGACTCGCACTCATTCCTAACTCACCGGGAAATACCTCCGCATTCTCCGTACCATACGTAACCTTCCTTACCTTACCCTACCCCTAACCACCCCACCCCCAGCCACTGCGACTCCACTTGATGAGAAAGCACCCTACATTTCACATCCCCATTCCCCTTCCCCGAAAAACTATAGAGTAAACAATTGAATTGGAAGAACTATAGAAGAAAAAGAAACAAAAAAAGAAAAAGCAAACACGCAAAAGGCAAGAGCTAAAAGTGCCAAAATCCCCGAAAGTGCCAAAAAGATCGACGTCGGCATGATTCGAACATGCGCCCCCGAAAGGAATTGATTTCTAGTCAATCACGTTAACCACTCCGTCACGACGCCATTCTTAATTATTAATCCGTCTCTATTTCATACAATATTCATCGCAACTAGTTCAAAAACTAATTTGAAGGGAAATTATGAATATAGATCTAATATTCTAATATCCCTTTTTCTATTCCTTCACTAACCATTATTTATCTTTTATTCATTGGAGTTCTAGTGTTCCTATCAAATTCAAAAACACAGGATTAAAATTCACGCCTCTAAAATAGAGACAGAAAAGTAATCTTATTTCAATCCTATTATAATTTGATGTAAGTTATGAATATGATGATCAACTTGGCAGATAGGCATGTTGAACAACATAAAGTACCATGATATAGCACAAGAACAATCAAGTAAAAGTCCGGGTAATACTGTAGGTATGATAATGATATTGCATGTCCAGTCATCATCATTGCGTCAACACCATCGTGCCGAGGTACTACCCTACCCTATATACCATCCTGTCCATCGTCACCATACATACAAAGCAAGCCAATTTGCACCCAGAGCCCTTCCAAAAGTACCACCTAAGCACCAAGCTATCCTCCCAATCCCGAGACCGGTAAGCTAACAATGCTATGCACCAACCAAACCACCATAATACACCTGAATTAGGCGCAGAAATCAGACCCAATGCCAATCTATCAATACGCTTGCAGAAACTATAAATCAAAGGCTAGCTATCCTTCCCCATGTATTAAAAAACTTTAGAGTAAGCTGCCTGCTGGTATCCCATGCTTGTGCGCGTGCCAAATGCAAGATGGAAAGTGAAGAGAAAAAAAAGAACAAACTCCCAATGCTTGTCGCCCAATGCAAGATGTGTGATGTGCGTACGAGAATACAATGTAGAATGGAAAATCCAAGTCGTGAATTGCACGGTGATGATGCTCAACGAAGAGATCATCAACGTACGAATTCATGTTGGGAATAGAAGATTAAATGAGTTCAAACCCATCATCTTCAAGAGGTTCTGGCTCCTGACCTTTAGTCTTAGTCTTACCATCTCCACGAGCACGGGACAGTGCCTTAGATCTCGGACTCTTTCTGCCTCTTTGTCTTTGAAGAACAGTTTCTCCCTCTGCATCCAAAACTTCATATTCACCCCTAACGATCTTCTCGGTTTGCTCATTGACCCATTTCTGCTCTGCTAGATCCACTAACCCACTCAAATCAACTCTGTTATTTGGTGTGTCTTTTCTATCAAAAGAGTAAAGAACACCCTCATCACCAGCATTCATCGCTGCGGTAGCGATGGATGGAGATGTATTATTATAATGTGTAGGAAGAAGGTCGAGTAAGGACTTAGAAAGGGGGTGTGAAGCGTTATCCGCAGCCTCGATATGAGCATCAATCTGGCGGGCGATACGGGAAGAAGAGGTAGGACCGTGGTGGTAGGATGGAGCCCCGAATGGCTTAGGAGTGGTATTAGAGTTGTTGCGGGGGTGTCGGTCGGTATTGACTCTGGAAAGGGCATCAGTCAGTTTTAATCCTTAGTCTTGGAATAGGTAGAATGATAAACATACATTTGACTCCACGACTTTTGAGGTCTAACCTTCTCCTTCCCCTTCGAAGATTCCATAGGACCATCAGTCGAATAGATGATAGCCCGATTGACGCCAGCGAGCGGACGAGTTCCCATAGCCCATTTCTGGGATTGATCCTTATCACGTTTGAAGGCCTGGGCCTCAGATCGAATATCTCGGTGCTGAATAGGAGAGGTTGGCATGTTGGTAGTGGCAGACATGTTGTATATCTTGTTTGTTGGTAGATGGATTTGAATGAAGGAAAGTTGTATGAGTGAGAGTGTTTATTGAGCGGGATGGTGTCAAAATAGAGAAAATGTGATGGTTAACTCTTTCTTTGTCTTGATCCTATTCCTTGAAATAGAGATGGTATATCTCCTTTGGGGATGCGTTGATGTATATCTTATGGTGGTATTGTTATTCTCTGGTTTGAGAGGGGATAGCACCGCGAGGAAGATTTGTAGGATATAGGGAAGGGAAGTTAATTAAACAGAAAGGATGATTGATTAAAGAGTAAAGGAGAAGGTTCGTAAGGATGATGATTCAGACTTCGTCCGAATGACTGTGACGAGTAGTTGCGGCACGGGGGTTAGAATCACACCGTTCGAAGAGTAGAAACTGCGAATCAAAACACAATTAAGTGGTGAATAGCAGAAAATGATGCAATTTGGGTTAGACGTTTGATTATTCAAAAGACAAAGGATGTAGTTGTGTTCAAACGAAGTGAGAAGGTGCTCGGTGTGTGAGTCAGACGAGGCTGATTTCCGATTATTGATAAGGGATAAGGGATAAGTGAGGATAAAGAGGTTAATTATAGATTAGGTAGATTTGTAGATGAATGAAAAGGATGGTGAAATGATAATTGAAAATAAAGATGAGTTGAATATTGTAGATGTTTGTATGATTCTTTGGTTGATTGATGGATGAGAAAGAGAGTGAGAGAGAAAGAGAAGATAGATTAGATATATGGGATATGGGATATTGTTTCATTGCTTATCAACAAACTACGGTGCATCTCTACCTCCACCTCCATCTCTACCTAGTCTAGTACCTTAAGCATCCTGCACCCGCCAGCATCATTCCAGCCATGCCAAACAACAAACAAAACAACGCAAACAAGGCGTAGTTCCATGTATTCCTTCACCTTCATCCAATCAGCTCAGGTAGATGGCTTTCTGGCGGCTGACCTAGATTTACTCGGCCGTCACCGGACCTGGAGTGACAGTGGAAATTGTACTCGGTCTTCCTACTAGATATATGCATCCTAAGTAAGCCTTCTCGTCGTCACATCTCTCGTCTCTTGTCTCTCATCTTTCGTCTTTCGTCTTTCGTCTCTTATCTTGATTGACTGATTGACTGATGGATTGATCGATTGCATGATTGCTTGATCGTTTGCATTGCGACTAATTGCGATTGCTTTTTATCAAGAATAGGGGATGAAACCGGATCTCCAGCTTACCTTTGTTGGCTGAGTTGGTCCAAACCTTATTAAAAGCTATGCAGGCAAGCAGCTCAGGAGCTCGAGTTCAATCTCTTATCTAATGTACCATATCTTGTGTACCTGGGTATGATTACAACATCACCAACTCTTATCGCTCTGCATAATCATGAAGGTCCGCATCCATTTGTGCCTGCATATTTTACTAGTTACACCCAAGTATTTGATGAATCAGCACTCCCATCCTTTCACCCGCATTCATAACTGGTAGATTTGAGAAGGATACTTCACGTGACTAATTAGAACCTCTTCTAAGAACAAACTTAATCTGGCTTCTGATTCATATCCGTTTTAAAATGGATGATGCACATCCTACGTTAATTCACATCACTCATGAACAGAACGAAGAGAACAGAATATCGTTATTACATCATGATTATTTGATTATCCCAAGGATTCTTCTGACCCTCACAGCCCTACAAACCGGATTTACGTCAATCAGCAAATCAAGATGCCAAATTCATGATCAAATTCTATCTCCTACCCTCTTTTGCGAGCATAACCTCATGGGTCAGAAGATTCAATTCATCGAATGGCAAGTCAGGAGGAGATCTGCATAATGACGCTTTCGACTGATACTCACACGCCTCATGGCTCTGAGACATGTATCCATCTCATCTGGGTCTCTCGATCGGCTGGATGGAAGGAATGTAACACATACATGTGATACCGAAGGCATGCGCTTATATTGCTCGCTCACGTGAACAAGACCCGAATACAAAACACATGCCGAGAAATAACAAAACTATTGACATTGCAAACGATCGGAAAGCTCCGAAAATATGTACTAACAAGATGTAATATATACAGAAGAACTAATGAGACTTCAGGAATGACAGAAAGAAATGAAAAATTTGAGCTGTCCCTTAACCATCCCACGGATCAACAATCACAGGATTGAAACAATTGGCCAAATTGTATCTTTCGATCTTCCGAAAGCGAATGTGTGGTCAGTGGAAAGTGAAAGAGCATCGTTACCAGAGTGCGCTAGCCTTGCAAGAAAGTATCTACAAGGAGCAAGAGACGCCACCACTAGTTGGAACGTTGAGACAAGAAGTCGAGGTCTTTCCACCCGTGACGGAGACACCACTCCATGTCCACTATTGACTGTTAGGATCTCGACATTATCATATCACATGAGGTAATATCACGTGAACAGAAGAATATGACTTACGTTAGTGCAAGAACCACTTCCACATTCAATATAAATGTTGGTAGCACCAGACTCAACGGTTCCAGTGACATTATCAAGGATGAATTTACTAATGGCAACACCGTTGGTTGGGCTACCAGCATTTCCATTATAAGCTTGGTTGACGATGATACCGTAGTCGGTAATGCCGGAAAGGGTGATGCCTGAGTAGGTAACTCCACTGACGGTTCCTGTGTCACCGGAAATGGTCTTGATACGGACACCTGAAGAATGTTATTGTTTGGTCATTTGGTTCCTTGATGGGAGATAACATACCATTTTGCGAATTCTTGATTTCAGAGTTTTCGAAATTGACCGTCTGGACAATGTTGTCGTCTCTACCACCGACGGATCCAACGGAAAGACCGTGTCCACCAGAACAGACACCCCCTGAGAAAGTAATACCCTTTGACAAATTAGTTTATGTTCAATCAGTCAGCGAGAGATTTGACTTACTGTTCCTGAGTTGATAGCAACACAATCATCTTGGTTGTATACATTTGCACCAGTGATAGTGACACTGGTGCTGTCTCCAATATCGAAACCATCAGTATTGTGACCGAGACTACCAGTATCACCAGCAGATGCATTGATGGTGACATTGTTGATTGTCAACCCATTAGCGTTGTCAATACTGAAAACTTGGACAGGTGGGTTGAGAATGTAGATGTTCTCAATAGTCGAAGAGATCAAGTTGTGTGCGGCGAAGAATTTGGGCTTCGTCTTTCCTCCGTTGGAACCTTCTCCATCCCAGTAGGAAGCTCCTTTACCATCGAGATATGCACTACCGCTTTGAGTGACGGTGATATCTGTTCCTGAAACAGATACTAAAGGACCAGACCATTCTTCGTAGCCGAATGTGGTGATACCTTCGAAGATGACCTAGAAATCGGTTAGTGTGGTGCAAAATTCAAACACGTTGATATATACTCACTTTAGTTCCTTGGGTTAGGCCTGTCAAGTCCAAGGTCGTGCCAGAAGGGACTGCAAGTGCTGATAAAACGATGGTAGCACAAGAAGCCTTGGACTTGCTTGCGGAAGCAGCTCCTGATGAGCCAGAAAAGGTACAAGTAGTTGCTCGCTTAGCAAGATCTGGAGCAGCCGTTGGTGCTGGTGCCGCGGCGGGAAGAGCCGAAGCTAAAGCGGACAATCCTCCCAGAATGAGAGGGGCAGAAAGGTTAACCATGTTTGCGATATGAGCCAAGGAATGAGAAAAGAGTTATGATGATCAGTGTGTTTGTTCTCTTGGCTTTGAAGGCGACTTCTTGGCTTTCTTATATCAATTCCTCCCCCCTTGTAAGGGTTCGCTTGGGAAAAGCTTCACGCGGGAAATCCCCGCTCATCATTCTTAGTGCTGGAATAATCTTTAATTTGATAGTTACTTATTATCCCAGTTCAATGCATGGGAATGGAACATCTAGATTGTGGACACTTTAGTCGTAATCATCTAGACCAATATTGGGATAGGGGGGATCAATCGAGAGCATTACAGAAGAACCTCATTATACCGGAAACCATTGTACCGAAATTCCATATACACCGTTGAAGAACATCGGATTAATTCTTACGATTATGATATTAAAAATTGTAGGGAAAATATTCGAGTAATCTTCCTATGATTTATCACATAATTAATTTATAAAATTTCAAAACGGTGACACTGAGATCTTGAAATTGGAAATTAAAATTGATTGTACAAATTGCATTGATGCTGTTGTTTAATTTTGTTATACCGATATAACACGACTCTGCTATGTCCGCACTTAGGTGACGTACGAAATTATCAAGGTCCACCAGAGAAAGGGGTTTGCTCGAATGGTAAAGGCACCTAGCTCAATGGACTTATCAAAAGGAAGACATTCTTCCGGATCTAATCTCGTCGAGGTCCTCGTCAAGTTCGATGCTAGACCCGCTTTACTTTGACACGCGGCACATGCCCGTCAAAAACACAGCTGATAGGTGGACTACTCAGGACCACTAGTTAAAGTTTCCCCGGATTTTGTAAAACTGGTTGCGGGTAGGCCGCGAAAGAACCCTCCTTCTCATTCTTGGCTCACTTATGTCTTCAATGTTTGCAAAGATTTCTCCCCGCAATGTTATCCGCAGTGGGCTTCTGCAGCCAGGTTTCTTTTTTACAGATATGATTGCCAAGCTTAAAGATGTTGCTTTTTGAAGAATGTGAATTGAAGATGTGATGTTTTTTTAGATTGTACAGTAGTGGTATATTTGGATGTTGTTTGTTATCATTTCGCCCACTTTACGAGCGTGATTAGGAGGAAAATGACGAGATCGGTATGAAAAATCTTTTACTAAATCATATACTAAGTGCATGATAAATTCATAGAAAAGTCAAAAACACGCTGGAAAGTGTGGCGTGGAAAGTCTGCGACAGAAATTTACCAATGTACCGATTGGTGGAGTCAAAATTGTCAGAATAGTTTCTCGAATGATTCCTCCAAACGATGATAAGAATTTTGAATCCTATCTACTGAGTACATACTTCCAAGCCACGAGGCCACGCAACCACCATGGGTTCGTTTCAAAGTAAATAAGCATTAGGAAATTAAAAAGGAGGTAGTAAAATGCCGCGAATTAAATGGGGTATTTTTCTATCTAAGCTTTCTGCCGTCTTTACTATGGACTTTACCCGGTGCGGGTTTTCGGTACGGTGGTACTTGTGCTTGCTGCTAGCCTAGAACGTGTGTCACGCTCCACCTAAATAGGGGCCACTATTCCCCTTGCAGTTTTCCATCTTGGTGGTATGTGCATGAGAGTGGGGTGTGATATACTTCCTGGCAGCATGCTGCAAGAGTTGCTATCTAACATGTTCATGTTCATGTTTACTCTGTATGTTTTGTTTTTCTGAAGGATCTTGTGTTTGTGTAAATTTCGGAGGATTTCCCATTAACGGGTTTTCATCCCGGATTTCGGAGAATTTTTCATTCTCCAGTGGTGCACGAACGGTGCGTACTTTATTGCATCTCCGAAGATTCACCACACCATTTTTTTTTGGTGAGGTTAACAGCGGTACGAGTATGAATAGAAATTTTCAATTCCCTCTATTAATTCTCTCACCTGGAAATAGGAAATAGCAAATAACCTTATTTTATAATAGGGAAAGTGTGCATCGAAGTAATTGAGTTCATACGCCACTGGGTAGGCATCGGACCCGAGCTATGAAAATAGTCTGCTAATGTACCCCATCTTGTGGTGGCAGGGAGAGACAATAAACTACAGGCCTCTGACATCAGTGGCTTGCCTACCCCGTACATACCAGTACATGCTAATCGCATCCTAAATCTAACTTCAATCGTGAAGGATAGTGATAGTGATAGCTTTAGCTTTGGTTCGAAAATTGTCATTAGCATACGGTATAAACTACCAGTCTTATCTACACCGGAATACACTAAATAAATCTATTTCATTCTTTCGTTTTTCTAGGATTGAAATGAAAGTAGATTAAAAGTGTTTCTCTATTTCAATTGATTCTTTCAATTAGAGTCATCTAGGGAGTTAGATGTTAGGTGAATTTAAACGGTGAAGGTGTACTACGTATGCTCGTAGATCAACCTTACAAAGGCGGAAGTAACCTTCCCATGTGCAATCAATTTGATGCCGAAATTCGGTGCGGAATTTTCATACCCATTCCTCACTCATAACATTCAAAATCATTAGAGTGGCGGTATGTTTGAAAGGAGAAAGAGGTCGGTCGAATAAGAGAGCACGATTTCTGACGAAGAGCGATTCCGTGCTCCGTATACCGATAGTTAGATCGGTCCGATATATCTTCCGCAAGAAAGTGGATTCTAGTGATCCGTAATCAGGTACTTGAACTGGAGAGATGACGACGCCTTATTAGAAATCATCTTACTCATCCTGCTAGAAAGTATATCACACTCCACAAACATGGGCCACTGTTCCTTTGTCGTGGTCTATTTGGTGGTATGTGCTTAAAACTAGAGTTGTGATATTATGATATTTTACTTTCTGACCGCACGGCGCACGAGTATTTTGGAAGCTAAAGAAGCTGCGGCCAGGACAGCTAGTCGCTCCACAAATTAAGCTTCCATAACGTTGTATTTGGAATTATCTAGCGATGTTTCCATCGGAAATGGGTACAGGGGGAAGTTTCCCCCATTGATTGCAGGAATGTATACCCACCTCGAACCTTTCTTTCATCACTTACCACACTTTGAAGATAGATAGTGGATATATCTAGATAGCAAGTGATTCGGTAGCGCCGTGATTGCAGTAACACACTACAGCTTATCTGATGAGATCCATTTTGTGTACCAATCTTTCGTCTCAACTACCATTCTATCGCAATCTGCGGATATCTCAATGTTAGATACTAGAACATATGCCGCGTTCTCCTTAGTTTCTTCAAGACGCATTGACTAATTCTGCATCTCAATGCAGGTTCATCACATTCTGTTCGCCGTTTACTAGCACCTCATTGCCGAATCACCACCGGTATATCGCTACCGCTAGCAGTCTTTTTACATATTCCCAGTCGCCGGTACCTGCGCTATCACTTGGCATTGAGAACTACTGCACGATACCTGTAGATACTTGCTTGAAGGAGACAAAATTACTTTTTAGTGAGAGGTAGGGAGTAATCAAAACCAAGTGTTGAGAAGACAATTCATCCACTGTTGAGAACTAGATTCTTCAGAACATAGCATGATAATGCATGCAGCATGGTAATATAACATGACAACGTAGCGTGATTCCCTCTACCTCAAAGTAAGGAACAAAAATACCATGAAATTTAGGGGTAGACAGGTTATCTGAAGGGACGAGCCGCGCCGCTTCCAAATGAGTATTAAAGTTTAGTGTTTCGATCCATGGTTACATTTATACCAGGACCTTGCAGGAACTTTTTTGACTAGCACAATGTCTTTGGTCATTGGTTGAGATAGTGTGGGATTAGTTAATCCTGGTAGTAGTGGGAAACAGTCTCACTTTTACTACATTTTGCCCTTCGGTGTCACGCGCTCTGGAATTAGAAGGACTATTTACGACTAGTAGGCGGGAATTACCTTCGCCACATTCGGGTTCTAGGTTGTCTGGGTTAGATTACTGTTGATGGTGGCAAAGCAAGCTTTGGATGGGAAATTTTCAAATGGTTTTATATGTAAGATTGTATTTAGAATGTTCGAATATCTGAAAAACATATAGAGCATTTAAATCCCTTGAGCATATCCCAAAATTAAAGGTTTCACATCCATTATATATTTGAACTAGCAAATACACACTGACACACTGATTGTTCTCGCCAGACTGAGCGCAGAGATGCCCAATCATATACCAGGCATTTCACCACGTGGTCTCATATGCTTGAGTGATTCCCTTCTATTATCTAATTGCTATATAGATTCAATATGATGGCAGCATGATGGAGATAAAATCATGACTGAAGAATGATACTAGGAAAACTCTCTGCCTGTTTGCAGTTTGTGAAACCGGCAATCTTTCTAGTCTTTCTAGCCTTTCTTCGATGAACCTCCTGATCTCAATATTTCAATTTTATCCCGAAGCACTTCAACTTATGCCAACATGAAAGATACTTCACATACGAGGGAATACTAAATAAAAATCCATCGAGTATGAAGGATAATCAAATCTGCGGTTAATTATCCTAAGCATCGCATTTAGCTTTGGTGAGTCGTGAGTCCAGACAGATGATTGGAAAGCTTTCCTTATATTATTTTCGGAGGGCAAGATTAGTTTGGAGACATTTTTCTCGGCCTCAGACACTTTGTGAAGTTTCTCGATAAGCGCAAGGAAATAGTTCTTTGGGTTTTTTCTCGATAATTACAGATGCATATCCCGTATGAAAAGAAAAAGGTCGACATGATAGAAGCACGATCATGAATGCCAGAGGATCAATTGTGAAGAGTATTTCTGATTCTAAATAACTTTTCCATCTAGTTGTGGCCAACATTTTGTTTGCTTCTGCAGCTGAAATATTGAAGCGGATGGATTTATCTAAGTTTGAATGACATGCCATTCTTCTGGTATTTATGATAAGCTGCAATCTTTCTGCCAATCTTTCGCTTTGGAAAACAGAAATTCGCTGAAGCATAGCTGCGTTAAGATCATATTTTCTTCAACACCTTTGAAGGACCTAGGCAATGGCCAGCGGTTTTAGAATTCCTCTTCTTGCCAGTAACTTTTAATCCAGCGTTCCACCTTTCTACATGCATTCTGGCAACTCACTAGCTAGGTGATTGCCTAGTAAAGCAAATGGCTTGAAGTCACCATTTCCTGCCAAGTTCACCCCAGGATATCCTCCTTATCCCACAGATTCATACCAGTATTAATGAAATACATCAATCTTTTAAAATTCTAGATAGATTTTACATACAGTAGATCTTGCTGAGATTAAAAAGGTTTACTGTGACCTAAGTCGCTGGCGACTGGAACATTGTGTCAGCGTTTCTGAAGAGATATACTTTGAATCCTTCCATGATGATATAGTTGAAAGACTTTCAAGGTTAGTATCTTGGAGAACATTCATTGTTAATAGTGCTTTTGCTTTTGCTTTTGCTTTTGCTTATGGTTTAATGAGATGTTCTTCTTTTTGCTCAGATGGAATGAGTCTATGTTGATACTTGTGAGATTTCAATATGACTTTCATCGTGATGAACGTGGTTTTATGAATGCCTGTCTCGTATTTTATTAGCCAGGCCCATTATATGTCGGTTTTTCATCACAGTGCTGTAGGATAAACGATGAATCAATGGCCGGGCTGATATAATTCACAATGGAGTTTGAAGCAAGGTAATCTTACCTACGAAATGATCGCCCTCGCGTAGCTCCTTTGATGTTTGAAAGTCGACACTTCATCATTAAAGATTTAAGACTGAGGTTCCTGTTACCAAAAACTATAGGGTAGAATAAATCCAGTGCTGAACATGAGGAGATGTAAGAATATCGTAATGTGAAGAATATCAGAAGATTCAGCAGACAACAGATCAAGCTCATGGAATTCTCGGATACATGGGCTCCACACCATTATTTTACAGGCTCCATTGGTATTTCAACTGATAGACTTTGTGTTTGAACTTGAATTTGACACCTTTGTAAACATGGAGGTAGCCAGCTGAAAGAAAGAAAAACGAAACGATGACGAAACCTCGTCAATATCGCCATCCAAGAATTTTTTCTTCACCGTTTGTGCATTATATTCGAATTTAATGATGCTCTTGCATTGTCGCTATCGGGAGAAGATGATGAAGTTCAACCTTGACTTAAGTAAAACTTAACTTAATTCTAATCACTAGAACTCATAAAGTGCAATATATTGGATGGATGTTGGTAAGAATATGATTACCCGTAGAAACACGCCATTACGCTAGGTTTCGCATGAGAAAGAACCTAGGATTGATGCGATCTTTAGCTCGAAAATGAGATCGCTGGCCCGTGGCTAATTCATTCTCGCCCATGACATATGGTGCGTGAAGTTGGAGTGTTGTCTTCAATCGTACTCGAAATGTGGCGGTGCGACGTTAAATAGAGTCCAAATGGCTTAATTGGGGGAATGAGCGAGACGACTGTTCAAGGCTGCAAGCTACAGATTCACAATCGTTATCTAAGGTGCTATGGTTCTTAGATTGAGCGTCGCAGTGCTTTTTTCTACATTTGTTGGTACCTATATCCTTATATTTTATGATTTGGGAAAAACAATCGAGATGTTGATGTGAGACGACGACCACAGCTATTCGCGCTGAGGTCCACATTGAGAAATTAGAACCATTACCGCATATCCCAGGTATGACAAGGGCAGGATTTCTTATTGCTTTATCATGTGATGGTTTTTGACTTGCTGCCGGATAAGAATGCAGAAAAGTAGTTTGGGGTTGGTCTATAGAAAGTAGATGAGTTTAAGGGTGGTTGTGTAGATTTGGCAATGCAAGCTTAGACCGGATCAAAGGGGGCTAGATGTATTGCATGCTCTTGCTACACGTTTTCTTTCCACTAGGAGTATCATACCTTATAACCCCGCAATCTAAGCAATCAGTGAAATCTGAGTGCTCTTGAATTTGCTTTATTTTAAGGGTTTATTAATTTTGTAGAAACACGTGCTAGCCGTGCCAGCCCTACGCTACGACATACCTCTCTTCTACTATAGCCTTAGACTACTAAGGATGCAGGACTAAAAATGATCCAAAAAGCTATTGTGATCAATTAAACTGTAGCTAAAAGAAAATCTCTGATGTGGCTTAGTGTGCTGACTCAGCAAAAACCTTTGAGCTACAAAATCTATTCTCCCCGTAAGTTATGAAACCCATTACCAGGTAAGTTGTCTACCACACATGCAGTACAAAGTGGTATATCATAACGAGCAAGCTGTGCCCCAAACTTGCATTCAAGAAAGCCATACAAATGGTCCTCAATTCGCGTACACCTATCAGTACCTTGGTGCCCAACATCCCATTTTCCAAAAGAGGAACATATCTTGGCAGCGATTTTCAAAATGCCACTTTTTGCGTGAAAATCCAAGGTTTCACAAGCGGCTGCTTCTGGGCATGTATGCAAGATCGTTACCTAGTGCTTAGTTGGAGGCTGAAACCCCTGGATTATCGTGCAAATCCTCGGGAATGAACCAATCATGTCAGATGTCGGATTTTAAAATATATCTCCATGCAGCGAAGGATTTCTAGTTTGTAGCTGTTAATCTATTCTTTGAGTTGTCCCAAGGCTGCAACATGTATTGCTTGGTATTTTTCTACATCTCATTATATAAAATCTATGGTGTTGAAATTCTACATCAGAATTAAGACAAGTTCTTGTGCTCGAGGTCTTGAGATATAGAAGCTCATAATAGATCGTGATATTTGTACAGAAAATATGGCACATAATTACGATCCTATAATTTCCACTCCCCAATTGGAAATGCACAGCCCTATGCCTCCCATCCAACCCTCACCACCCTCATCACCCCCGCCAACCTCCAGCAACTTTTCCCACACACCCAGCTCTGCAACTCTACTTCCCCACGAGCAAAATTACTCACATTTCGAAAGCCATTTTCACAAACCTGAACAAGCTTATACAACTATTCCCTACAAATCTAAGACCGGAAAACAGTTTTGGCATATTTTACTTAAGAGTTTGGCACGATGGTTAATTACGCTTATCTTGTGTATTGCTTATTTAGTCGCCTTGCGAGTTTGGAATCAAAAGGGTACGGTGACGGAAACTTCGAAAAGGATTTTTAATGCCATTACCACGGGTGTTAGTATTGCGTTGGGTATTAATATTGCCACTTCATTGAAAGATATGGCATTAAATGCACGTTGGCCAATTTTACATGCAAGAAAGAGGAACCTTTATGAAGTGGGTGGGAAATGGCCAATTTTGGTATTGGAGATTTGCTAATGGCTATTAGCTCGATCTTACTTTACATGCGGATAGTTTGATGGATTTAGGTGAATTGGCTTTTGTTTCGAAGAGACCGTTGGTTTTTGGTATGGCTATTTCGTGGCTTATATTCAATCTCGTAAGTTAGGTCATTATACGTTCAATCGGGAGTAAATGACATTGACAGAAATTAGTTTGTACAAGCAGCCATTGCAGCCATCAGTTTGACATATGGCTTCAATACTAGCACCGATAGTTACTTGTTCACGCCGGGTAACCTGACGGTTCCGGACATGGAACACTTTTACCCACAGGGAAACAATACCAAGCCCCAAACTGAAGACGAAGAATACACCGCCCATGCCTACGGTGGTTTAGCCTGGAATCTCGGAATAGGGGAATCAATAATCGATCTACCCTCGCAAGGTGAACCCTACCAAGGACTCAGCGGAAACTACAGCATATGGGCAGATCAACACCACGACAAAATGGTCTTCGTATTTACCGAATACTCCTCCAGCGCTTCCTCTGAAAACACTGGTTCCTTAGGAATCTACACAAACCGCACTCTCCTCATGTACTACTCCTGTTCCTCGCACCGAGTAACGCAAAACGGGAATGGTGCATCCGCAGCCAACATAAGCGTGGAAGACATCGGATCCATATCCGTAAGTTCCTTCGTAGCAAACGGCACGACATTTTTCACCGATTACCCTAATCTCTGTCCCGACATCCCTCGCTGTTCAATCATCCAAGCCTTCGAGGCTTCTGATACCGATCCCTGGTATTACACATGCAACATCACGCTTGGAGAAACGCAGAATGATCCCAGAAATATCTCGTTTATAAGTGATGACATGGCATATATAGCCGCATCTGCGATTGCCAATACGGGATACTCATCCATGGACGATTATCAACAGACTTTTTCCTATCCGCAGAAAACCATGTGGGGACTTCCTATTCACGGAAATGTGTCAAGAATGGGTATACAAATTGCTGCTTTTGGACTGAGTTCTATATCCGTCACTGCAGCTTTTAATCCTTCGAAGTATTATGATGGATTGGAACCACATACCGGATTCGCACTGGGGATAAATCATACGTATTTTTTTCTCTTGATTGTGTTTTTGATACCCCTGGTGCAGTTTGTTATGTGTTTTATTGTGGCGGTGTGGAGTAATAGAGTCGTGGTGCAGGATAATGCGTATATAGGGATGAGTTTGCTGTTGCGTCCGATTGCGGATGCGTTGTATGGGGTTAGTGAGGGGAAGAATAATAAGGCGTTCAGGGAGGCGAAGAGAAATGTTATGGTTAGGTATGAGAGAGGAGTTGATGGGAGGTGGGGGTTTGCTATGAGTTGATGTTTTTGTGTTACTGAGGGATATTTTTGAGGGCCGATGTTTGAACTTTGATGTTTGATATGAGATTGATGGAAATGAAATTATGATTTTTTTAGCTGTTCTTTGAGGGGATATGGCTGCAGTGCGAGGTTTGGTGGTAATTCCACAGTTGTGATAACATAATACTGCTGCTTGAAAAGGGCCAACGCATATCACAACTTCTAGTCTATGATAATTTCACTTGCTCACGAGAGCCCATCAAAACGAATGAATGAAACCACATTCATCAGCCTCAAGAATTGGAAACCTAGCAGAAACAGTGAATTGGTTATCCTGTATTCGAAGGTCAAATCCAGGCCGTCCGCAGTAATTGGATGAGTTCCATCCCAAATATCCTCCATTTCCAATCTAAAGCCACCTTCTGCTTCCATTTTCGAAATCCTGAGCTTCTCCACAAAGCAATAACTGCACAAAAGACAGGAGAAGAGTTTCCGGCCCATGATCTGTTCTCTGCAATGAATGGTTTCAGCTTTCTGGGCGTTCTTTTTTTTACACCATCCGCCAGTGATCTCGATAGAGTCCCACGAAATACCACTTGGCTAATATTGTATTCGTCAAAACCTCCCGGGTGTCCGCTCGAGGTGAGTCGCAAGTATTGTATATATTTACTCGCAGTAATTCTCGTCAATCAAGTCAAGGTCAGTAACTGTCTCCATTAGCTCATTATCACCAATATCTTTCTTCTTCTTCTTCTTCCTTCATATGCTTTCATTTTCACTAACTGCGGCTCTTTTGGTGCCGTTTGAACTTTTGCCGAACGAAGCATTAATAAGTTTTGGGAGAGAGGGTACAACCAAAACAGTACAGGCTCTGAGTTTGACCTTGGATAGACTTGCTTTTGGAACCTTCGGAGGTTCGATCAGAGTATTCTCCTGGGACCGAATCCCCAGACTACGAACAGACTGCAGCTTTCTCACGAGCGGACCTTTCTCCAGTTTCAGTACTCATTTCTGACATAACATCTCCGTTTAAGCTGGTAATAGCAAGGATTGAATCATCATAGTCTGGGGCTTGTCGTGTTTTTGGCAGGATTATAGAAGCTGGCTGTGAGATATACTTCGCAATTCGCTCGCGTTAATGCTTGAAAAAAGATGCTTTATTTTTGAAAAGATTTATCCACTGTCCCGATTTCAAAGGGATTTTGAAAATGTTAGTTTTGGATGTGAAATAGAGTCTTTCACGAGTCAGCAATCGACAGCACATTGTAAGACTTACGAATCTGAATCCTCTGGCCAACTGAAATAGTCTAGTTCCCAAATAGGTCACCGCCTTGACACATCCAGGGTTTAATAGCTTATATTCATTCGAAAAATACCCTAATTATGGAATTCTGCTGATAATATATCGCCAATGTAGGCTTAGTTGCTCAGCTGGCCAGTGGATTCTTTTACTGTATCTCACGCACAAGGGTATCCTTCATACACGGTATTAGTAATCCACCAAAAGCGGTGAACAGAAGCTAAAGTGGTTTTTGACGCGAGCTGGAAGTTTGTCGCGTTTTCTGCCCAATTACTTTCACTTTACTCGAGTAAACTTGGCTAGGTTCAACCAAGTCATATTTCTCCAACCACGTCGAGTTCTCTGTGGATAAATCGCAGATTATTATAAAACTTTTTCTGCTTCGTGTACGACCTTTCATTTCGCAATTAGAAGATGGGTCTCGGTACAGTTGCTATTACATCTTCACGATAGCTGCGATCTTGCAGCCATGGTACCGCCATCTCCATCTTCTGCAAAATCAAATAATCCTGAGCCGAGACCTCCAATTCCTGTTGAACCCGAAGCCGGTGAGCCTCGAAAAGCTTGGTTTCGATTTTTCTTGACTTCCAACGAGAAATCGCCTCGATTACCTAAACTCATTACTCCAGACGCTTCTGCGGATCTTACCAGCACACCATCAACAACCAGGAAGAAAGTAGGGTGGTCTGAAAAGTACGACTACAAAGATCCTCCTAAAATTGTCACCGACAAACATATACTATCCGCACACGTTATCTCACCGCTGACACCATCAGCGGAGCGCAAAGCAACCAAATCAATTCTGAAGACAAACCATGGCCTCGAGCCTCTACACACTATTGTACCTTCCGGAGGTAACGACACCATATCAATCTCCAACTTTCCGTTACTCGACGCCAGAATGTTAGAATCAATATCAAAACAATTGGCTGGGCAAGATAGGAGCTCGAAGCTAGATGCATACACGACCTTGTCGAGTGCCTTGAAGGCCTGCAACAATGTTCCGGATCGGAAGGCTTTATCGGATAAGATGGATTTAATACTACAATTCATAAAACGGGATCTCAATGCCAGACATGAAACTGGAGCTCTCGATATCCAACTTGCTAAAGAGGCGCTAGTGCTCACATCTAGCTTCCTCCACAAGAAGTCCATTTCGGACATGTTGACTTCGGATTTCAACTGCTATATAGTGGACCACGCCTTGAAGACTTTCGAAAATCCTGGAATGTCAAAGGAAATCGCTACACACCTGATGTTCATAATTGCACAGCAAAAGTTTTCAGCTAGAATCATGACTGCCGAGAGAGTAACGAAGCTGATATCCGCAATTCACAAAATTGAGGATTATGTACGAGGCAAAAGCATCGTAGAGCAACGCATCAACATCTACCGAACTTTTCTTAGGCAATCCAAATCTCATATGATCTCTAATTCAGATTGGCTCGCTGATCTTTTCAGCGATATGCTCAGCAGTTACTCAAATATTCAAACCGCTGCTATTGCGTTTGGCGAAGAGGCTGGCCTTGACCTCGGGACGGAGAGCAAAGTATCATCAAAAGTCATGGAAATTTTCAAAGGATCAGATGGAAGAGATGTCAAATATATCGAATTTTTCGCGGATAGATTGCGAAAGATGGCAGCAAGAAAGCCTCCAGGTCCTACTCCTCGTATTTGGGCGGTTGTCATATTATTTCTTCGTGCTCGGCGCCAGCAGCTAGAGCACTGGGCTTTCATAAAAATATGGCTTGACGTAATCAAGATCTGTTTCAATTCTAGTGATCAGAATACGAGACTAGCGACAAATTTGGCTTGGAATCGCATGATATTTGTAATTGGTCTGGACGAGAAGGTCACTGCGAATATGATGCATACTCTCAGTCAACCTCTAATTGCACAGCTTCAGAGAAAAGATATCCGCAAGGTCTCAAATTCCGACAATCTTTACCGCAAGTCAACTATCAATAGCATATGCAACTTATTATACTATTCCGTGAAGCCAAATATAACCCAGGCACAACTTGACACATTTTGGGACACACATATAGTTCAAATCGTCGGGAAACGACTTACCCCTAGCGATTATGCGGAAAATCCCACGTCAGCCGGGCAGGACTTGAGTGATGCATGCAATATTCTCTGTGGTCTATTCAACTCACATACTCAGCGGCCATGGACACCAACCAGAGCTTTGAACGATAATCTTGTCATAGCTCAAGAGCTTCCAGGACTCGATCCTCGATGGCTACGCAAAAATGCTCTTCGAGTCTTCCAAATCCTGAGTCCAATAATGGAGCTGCTCTACTGGGAGTTTGCTATGTCCGAAAGCAAAATATCACTTCTTTGGGAGACTTACATTTCCTCAATTTCATCCGCAGGGGCCAAGGAGGTTAAAACCTCGAATGACACTATGGCATGTCTTGCCTTTCTGTTCAGCACACTGTACAAAATCTGGCAGAAGGGACCAGATGGCTTGAGTACCCTGCCATATCATCGCAAAGACGAAGCAGTTTTTTTCGCTAGTTTTAAAGCCATTGTCACTATCGTTATATCTGGACTAGGAGTATTGCCGTTCACTGAAAGGCTCCTATCTATGGGTCAAAAAGATGATTTTATTGTCGTCGCAACCCCTTCACACCGACCTGGAAAGATAAAGGGCCAAATTAGGTCTCCACTTCATCATCTATTCCTATTGCTTGCTAGCGCTTCTCCAGGTGTTGGAAGTGATTGTAAGTTCGTCGAAATGGCCCAAGGGATACTGACTCCGTTTTTCGATGCTCGGCGTGTGAGTAAAGGGAAAATGGACCTCGTCAAAGACCTTTTAGATATTCTCCCCACCGACAACACCGCATCGTGCAAAGGCTTGTGGACCATCCTAGCAAAATTTGCTACCGTAGCGATCAATTTCCGCGATGCTAGTGTTGTCTCTGGTTCCATCCATGATGCACGCCCCCTTGGCGGTGAATATTGCAGTGTTGTGAAGATTCTTGATGCTGGGATCAATTTATCACCAAAGGAGCCTTTGGAAGGATGGGAAGAGCTTTTCCAAGCTTTGCTGATGTCTGCAACAACCGATTCTGGGCACGGGGGCAGAGCTATTGTTGTCATCGAACCTATAGCTAAGACTTTGGCTTTGGTCTGGCAATCAAACGGCGAATGCTGTGGCGAGAAAGTGAAATACTGTCTACTTTTAGTTGAACAAGCATCATATCCAAAAGACCGGCAAGCCTTAGATGCTGCTCGTCGCCGTCTCTGGGGTAGTGCAACCGCCGGTCCAAGAATCGACATCTTCGACCCCTATCTCCATTTGTATGAATATATTTCCCGGTGCTTAGAGTATTCTTATACCGATCTTCCATCAAACGACCACCACAGCACATGTGACTTACTCAGTGAAATTGAAGCACTTTTAGTTCGATGCCCAAACGTTCTGTTAATCGAAGCTTTGGCCCGACTTCAAAATGGACTTGTTGGCTGGATACGCGACGAAGGGGGCAAGCTGCATGGCGGGAGTGATATATCTCAAACGGTAAGTTGGGTCTTTATATCTTTGAACATCACGGCTAATTGATGTAGGTTAATTCTCTCTGGGCGAAGATCTGCTCATTATTGGGCTCTTCCACCAGTGATCCACACGAATTACTGGAAAACCTAGAACCATTATTGTGCTCCGGTCTAGGAAGCAAGCGTGTGTCTATTGCAAATACAGCCATCAAATTGTGGAAAGACACATTTGGTTCCTTCAACGGCGAATTGACATATCCGCCAATGGTCAAAGAAGTTTTGTCAAGGCTTCTTCCAATGGCTGATATCCCTCTTCCGTCATTCTCTGAAAGCTCCGAAAATGGGATATCTGGCAATTATAGGCAGCTTCCCGCTTTTATTGATACGCAGCCGGATTGTAACATTCCTAGTGAGGTCAACCTACCGAATCTCTCAAACAAAGCTTCTTCAACTATGATTCAATCACACAAACAAAAGATTATAGGTTCATCTCCACGAGTTGTCACTGGAATCAGCAAGGTGGAATCTCGAAAGAGATCCCGTGAAACAACCCCGGAACCTGGAAAAAGAAAGACAAGGAAAAAGAGCTCCGTTGCTAGGCTACGACACGATGACTCTCAGATACAATTTGAGGCAATTGCAGGCTCATCACCTTTGTCGGAATCGATATATGACTCGGATATTTTGACAAGCCGGCAGAAAGAGGTCAGGGAACGACAAGCTGAAGCTGCAGCTATGTTCCCAGATATCAGGTCTAGCCCCCCACCCAGCTCAAGGCCAACCTCCGAGCATGTTGATAACAATAATGAATTACCTTCACGCCAATCTGCTTCAAAACTACGCTTAGAGACACCGGCCAATAGTCAAAGACAAAGTACACCGGATACCCGGATTATCGAAAACCAGGATATTTTTCTTGCATCATCACCCACCCCAGCACGTCATATCCTTGCTTCCAAAGATATTTCTTGTCCTCCTTCATCGCCACCAGCCATTGCTCCAAACAAGCATTCGGCATTTATATCTAAGGATAATAGCGTAGCAATTACATCTTCGCCGCCACAGGCTGAGACAAGGAACAGTGCTTCCTGGAGTGCTGTACACAAAGGCCTCAATCAGTTTGAGCAATCACCTCCACCACCTGATTTGCCAATGAGCAAGAGTGCTTCAGTGCCTCCCACTTCTTCCGATGAGTTCAATGTCACTTCATTTCCCACTCACTTTCCGGACGACTTTGATAATGATCCAACCATCAATCGTCCACTAAGCTCTTTTGCACAAAAAGTATTATATGCTTTTGATCCTGGCCAAACCATGTCTACATACAGAAGCACAGCTATGTCTTCAGGTAGAGACGAAGATATGGACGTAACCATTGAACTTACAAGTAGCGAAGAGAAGGCTAGAGATGAATACCTCCAACAACCATCCACTGAGAAGGGGGCTAGCAACGCTTGCGATGTCCCAACTTTTGAAACTTGCAAAGATTCAGTTATCAGCAATGATTCAAATTTACCATCAACTCCAAGACGAAGCCAGCGTCGTGTGGTAGCAACGCAACCTGCTCCAAATACTACAAGAGACGTTAATGTAGAGTCAAGTGCAGTCTCTGCAGATAAACCGCCGAGCGACGATGAGATTTTTGAAGATGCTGTATCTTCTCCACGAGCACTACCACCTCGGATACAGACATCGGAGGCGGTTTCTGTGCCAGATAACAGCTCCTCTCCTCTTACCGACCTTGATGAATCTAGCTTCTACAGGCTTGCAAATTCTGTGGATCGCAAATTGGCTGAGAACCGAGACCGGGGTGCCCCGATACATGTATCAGCAAAGATCGGTGCTGTCCCCCTTAATTCTGTTTTTCCCGAAACACCTCAAATAATTTCCGGTCCCAAACGAAGATCCCCTTTTCGCTCCATGTCTCGATCCTCGGCCATTCAATCCGTTATTCCTGAAACTCCAGCACCACCGCCATTGAAAAAGGATGGCGAGGATGACATATCGAATGAACTTGCAGAAGATAACTCTAATGCTGGTTCTGCTATCACTATGGAGCCCCAGGTTGGTAATCAACAAGTGCGCGGAGTCAATACAAGCAAAAGTACAAAGCCAGCTCGGCGGAAGAATTCACCAGTCAAAATGAGGATTGAGAATGGGGGTCGAATGGAAATTTCGGGGAAAAAGCGAAAGTTCGATGAAATTCTTGACATTGGTAGTGCGGTGCCTGACAGTCAGGAGGCGCCGGAAGATGGTAAGCGTGATATCTTCTTCCCATGGGAGCCAAAAAGAATACTAAATAGCGACACAGTTCAATCACTACCTTCATCAAAGAGGAGAAAAGGTCGCTCAGCCAAGACGCCAGAAACTTCTATAATATCAAGTGCTTCCGAACCCCAATCTGCTCGTTCCGAACGATCTGAACGAGCCAGTCGAAGAAATACTCGATCGTCACAGGCCAGAACTATTATTGAAAATAATTCGAGCATGGAAGACCTACCGGAGTTTAATTCTGCATCGAATGTCATTGAGGCCAATTCTTCTATAGTCGCAAACGACAACCCTGCCACTCCAGTTCCGGGTAACGAAGCTATTGGCGACACAAACTTTGGTGTACCAGAATCAGAGGAACGAGGGAGCCCAGTACCTGATCAACTGAACTCAGATTATGTAGAGGAAACTTTGTTACAATCACAAATAGCTGAGGAGATGCAATTAGGATCACAGGAGGCCACAAACGATCAAGAGGAGAAAATAGCAAAAACTGCTTCAACCGCTCCCACATATCAGAATATCAAAGAGAGGTTATTAAGCTTAGTCAAGGATCTTGAGGATGCTGCTCTCAGCCGAGATGAAGGAAATGAGATGGAAGATATGTTTATGGATGCAAAAGTCCAATTGTATGGTGCGATTAAACGAGGAAGACAATTGGCTGATGGTTAAGGAAACTTGTATTGCGGATGGCGTTTTGCTTTAGGTTATGGTTGGCTTATATATGTCACATGAAGTGATATGGATGACATGATTCGCATGAAGGAGTTTAATTATAACGTGTAACGTAGATAGCAGAGATAATACCAATTATGTTGCATATGATTAGGATATGATTGGTGTATGGGATTGGTTTGTAATGTAAATGCGAAACATGTATTGTATATTATCCGTATGTTATCTTTATTGACTTTTTAAGATCTTAATCCTGATCTCAATACACTTGTCCTGGAATATTTATCTCTGTCTAGCTACCTATGCCAATATATCTGCCCTGTATCTCTGCCCTATAACCTTACTAGATTAACTTTCCTAATAGTTAAGCCCTCATCAATATATATCTGACCTTTCTCCTATCAATTCCATGTTTTGAGTCTTTGACCAATCATTATTTAGGCTGATTGATATCTTCGTAGCTTTTATGTTCATCGTCTACCCCACCTTTAGTCTGCCCTCCCAATTCGCCACTAGTCTATTTCCATCCATCCACTGATGCCCCGAGCTTGGATTCCATGATGATTCTCTTGTTTCAGGTTTCTCGCTTACATCCCACATTCTTTGCCGTGCTTGGGTAGCTCCCGGACTCGTGTAATTCTACCTACTTCGTACATTTCATCCCGCTCTTGTCTTGTCTTGTCTCTCTCTCTAACTCTTCACTCCTCACCTGAATATCTTCACAACATAATCATCTTGTACATCTTGACTTATTTTGTTTCATCCAATCTGCAGGCACAAATCGAAAAGTATAAATACTTCGAAATATCCCACCTTGTTGACAGCACTCTATAGCTTCTTTCACATACCATTTACCCCTCATTCAATCCAACAAGTCACAACTCAAACATACAACCCAACAACTTCAATCATGGACCGACCCAAGAAGCCATCCGCTCTCTCTGCCACTCCAGCTCTCACACCCCATCCTCAAATAAACACTACACATTCCAATTCACGCGTCTCGGCCGTCCTCCCCACCGGTGAATCAATTGAAATCCTTCTCTACGGCGCCACAATCATAAGCTGGAAAGATGCCGCCGGAACCGAAAAACTCTGGCTTAGCGAAAAAGCTGCACTCGATGGTACAAAAGCGGTGCGCGGTGGTATTCCACTAGTATTCCCGGTATTTGGAAAAGTCGAGGGTGAGGAAGGTAAGGCGAAAGGTGTTGATACTTTACCTCAACATGGTTTTGCGCGCAATTGCAGATGGGAGTTTTTGGGAAAGAGTACAAGTGAGAGTACTCTTAAGGGACAGGAGGGTGGTAGCAGTGTCAAATTGGATTTTGGTTTGAGTGCTAGTAATCTACCAGAGGAGACCAGGAAGCTATGGGGTGGTGAATTTGGTCTGATTTATAGTGTTACTCTTGGTAAAGAGAGTTTGGGAACGAGTATGGTGGTTAGGAATGAGGGTACCACAGCCTGGGAGTTTCAAATCTTGATGCACACTTATTTGAAGATTCAGGTATGTTTATTTACACTAATTTTTTCAATCTGCAAATGGTGATGCTAATCTGCGATCGATAATAGGATATTTCCCAAATCTCCATCAATGGTCTCGAGAATGCAACTTATGTTGACAAACTCACCGAACCAATTTCCACAAATACTGCTCCTTCCGAACCTCTTACCATCTCTGCTAAAACCGATCGTGTCTACACTCCAGCTGGTGGTCCATCTACCGAAATTATTGTTTCTGAAGGAGGAAAGAAGAAATACACAGTTGCTAGAGATAACATGAATCAAGTCGTTGTATGGAACCCTTGGATTGACGCCAAAGATATCGGAGATTTTGCTCCAAAAGATGGATGGAGAACAATGATTTGTGTCGAGGCTGGATCTGTTACTGGATGGCAAAAATTGGAAGCTGGTGAAACTTGGGAAGGTGGTCAAATTATTACACTTGCTAATTAGCAATTCATGGATGGGATGAATTTGATATCACGAATTTGATATCACGAATTTGATATCATAAGAACAATGTTTTGGACTGGAAGGGAATCTTTTTTTGGGTGAGCTGCGCGTTGGTGGTGCTACACTATTCAACGGTATATTTGATGGAAAGGAATATTTTATAGTACTAGGCTGGAAGAGGTTCTGTTAGATGAATGAATCATTATGGTATTCATGATTTTAGAGCAGCTATCATTGACTTTGGGTGTAATCTTACATCTACTTTCGCTCTTTAGACTCGGGTCCTGTTGATCATTCATTCCAAGGAGTTGCAATCCCTTTAAATCCCGAGTGGGAAACTACCAATAATAGAAGCGTAGTCTAGTTAGCTAAGCAATCAACAAATCGAAGAATTATCCTCCTATAAAACTATACGAACTCTAGACTAATAAATACCCACTCTAACGCAAAAGTTTCTGATCGCATATATCGCTGCAGGAGTTGCTGTGTGAGATATTATTAAGATCTAATTCTATAGTGTAGGCGGGGTTATGATTGAAATTTTGGAGGTTTGTGTAGAGTTTTGTCTTGGTTTTTTGGATTGTTGTTGTTTTGTATTTTTAATCTGTATTCGATTGATTTTTGATTTTGTAGTGTTTTAGATTTATACTTGTGATTTTGATGTTAGCATTGATATTGATGTTTATTTCGTTGTTATATCTACAGTTGTAGGTGTATAGTTTAGATATATATTCTATACAAACAAAATCTCTTCTCAGTCCTTCCCGAGGCTATTTCAAATCTCGGACTGGTGTGAATATTATTTTTCTATGAATTATTCTATATATATATATTTTTTGAGAGGAAATATATCACTGTGAAAAAATCTATTTTAAATTTATAATAAAAGATGGACTTTAAGAAAGGAGTTGGGGATTGATATTTTGATTTTTTATTAGTGAATTATTTAAATTATCATTTTGATAGTTCATATTTATTATAAATCCTGAGTAGTCTAGTTAGTCTGGTTATATACTTCTAGATTTAAAAGCTTAAAAGTAAAAGAGTGAATACGATTTAAGATTATCTGACTAGTAGTGAATGACTCAGTTGTGGTTACTCGGTTGTTGCTCAAATTATTAGAAACTAATGTATATAAACCTTGAAATGATTATAATTTAGAGTGACTCTAAGATAGTGAGTTAACTCTTTCGAGTTAATTATTAAGAGACTTGCGAGTTTGGGATTTTGCTGTGGGATATTGGCGTTGTGTTGGGGTGGGTTGTAGTGGGTTGTAGTGGGTTGGATGGGTTGAGAGAGGGGATAGGAGGATAGTTATTTCTATGTATATATGCATGAGATTTTTATTGCTGTTGAGATTTTCTTTGGTTGTGTTACAGTTGTAGGAGTTGTCAGTTCTTATCTTTTATTACCGATTCAAATTAAAAGAGTTTACTTGGATATATGTACGAGTAGACTTTATATATATCTACTAGGTACTCTCACAAGTTTAAATCTCTACTTCCATTATACTATACTCATTCTCACACATCACACCTTTAGACACTGGATTTCACCTGTTGCACAAACAAGTTCTTACAAACTCCTTTACATTTTATTACATCTTACGCGAATCTGATACGATTTGAAGAAGTCTTCTGGATTGGCTCTTTTATATAAGATTACTATACCAGATATCATATACAAAAACCTTTGATACCTATCTGAGGAAAAAATGAGGATCGAGAAAGAGAAATTCACTAGGTTTATGATGATGGATGATGTAATGAGATATTGAATTCGAAGTGGGTGGGTAGGTACTAGTGGAGCTAGATGGATGATAGATGCGGGGCTAGCAGGCTTGGTAAATGTAAAAAGTATAGTATATAGGAAGTCATTTTGCGGAATTAAAAGAATCAAGGATTTATTGGGATCAATTAATAAAGGCATATCATAGTATGTGGAGGAGCGGAGTTTTTTTCTGTTTTTGTTGTGTTAGTACGATTTCTGTGTGTAAGTAAGTTTGAGTGTTGATTTTTTGTATTTACAAAGTATATAATGAACTATAAAGTTTATTTACTTTGTTATTAGTCTTATTTTTCTATTGTCGATCTATATATAACTGGATTATTACTATAATACTTTTTTTAATTTAAAATCTATAATAACTTCTACTCTATTGTGGGGGTGTTTATTAGTTAAAGATAATTCAAAATGATTACACCTCATTTTAAAAAAATAAATCATTCTTTTTGTAATATAGAAAAGAAAAGAAAGAAACGAAAATGATATACATTTATACTCTTTTCATTATTTTTTGATGTAGTTCTAGTTCAAGCTTTTAAATCTATATACTTACATTATGATGTAGATTAGGATCTACTACAAATCATGTAACGGCTAATACAGTTGCATAACTATATTATATCACTCACCTCTCCTCTGACGGAATTATCAAATTTAAATATATAAACAAGCTCGTTCCATCCCATTCGATCTTCAAAGTCATATACTGCTTCTTTACTGATCATATCAAGGACATCCTCTCTATAGGTAAACTGCAAGCCAAAGTTTGAATTCACTTGCTTCTGTTGCTAGCTATGAAAGCTAGATGGCCGATATCCGAATCCACTACCTATCTTTTCTCATATCCCTTTACCGCTGTCATGTTTCCTAGTACCATCACTGCTAGTGCAACATCATTATCGTTTTTACAATGAATAAAGAGATAATCATAGGAACATACTACAATACCGGTAAGCGTAATACTCTTGATATATTATCACATTGTAAGACTTACTAGGTAATTATATTTTGTTTGGATTTTTCGCATAACTCCTTCTAGTGGTTGAAAATATTGTTTATTGTATATACATGAGTATATGTATTGTTATACCTTTTGGTCAGTAGTTCTGAGGGTAAGATGTAAATGGACAAAAGGGAATAATTATTTTGAAAGTTCTCGAGCGACATTCATATCGAAGGAATCTAATCCCATAGACACCATGAACGGACAAAAAGTTAAATTATTACCATTAGACTCTCCCCCGGAGTTATCTATGGAGTCAGATATGAAAAGCTCGATCTAGCCGGCCTTTATATAACCCAACGAGTAAAGTTAAATTTTTTGAACTCGATCTCTCTCAGTAATAAAGCTGTACATATTACGTTGGACTAAAGAAACTTGTCAATTTCAAACGGAAGAGACTGGTGAACTTGATGCTCATGTGGTAGTTAAGAGACACTACACTTGTGTCTATACTTCAAAAAGTACACTTTCCAGCAATCTATAATCATACAGGCATATAGATGAAGAACCTTCGACTCGTACCAGAGAAAACATGCACATAAACATTACCTACTATAAAGACCATTCCCATCCAGAAACTCCAAATCCCTCCAGAAATGCGCTGCATGAGATCACCGAAAACCTATCCAAGTAAGCAAGCAAGATCAACGATCCACTTCAATAGCAACACCTACCCACTTCAATACCTATTCATCCATCCATCCATCCCTCAAACCAAATACTAATTAAGATCCCACTAATTCCAAACTTCAAAAGATCATAGCGGTTCAAATATCCCATCCTTATCCTTTCCCATCCTATCCTAGGCCCAGGATGGAGATTCTATATTCTATAGATTCTATAAATTTTATAAATATCCTTATGTGACGGAAACCCCTGCTTTCCTCCCACCTTTATTATATAAGAAACCTCAGGTACATTAACCATGTCCACACATGATACGATTACTCGGGATTAGTATACGATTTAGGTGGCCTGAGGATCAGATCCGGACAAGTACTAGGTATCAATGGTTATCGGTAAAGTAAGATCATTGGAGGGATAAATATGACTTCTTTTTGCCTAGCCATTGCGGACTAGGCCATTCATTTGTGTATATATAGAGTAGCTATC